ATAACATCACGAGAAAATAAATAAACTAATCAAGTAAAATAAACAATCCAAAATAACATAATGGAAAATAAAACATAGTTTAAAAAATAAAATAGCCTTGCAGCTTCAAAGCCTGGCTGTTTCCTGCTTGGGGAATCCTTTGTTGGGAGGTGTTAGCTGTTTCCCAGTTTCCAACAGACCTCACAACCTTTGAGGATGCCTGCAATAGATGTGGGTGAAATGTCAGGAGAGAATGCTTCTGGAAAATTCACAACAACCCAGTGATTCTGGCCATGAAAGCATTTGACAACATATTGAGCTGTGCTTTGCTTTGCCTGAAACTGCTGAACCAAAACTTTTTCTAGAGGCCTGAATGCCCGAAAGTGATGCGCGGTGGGTTTTGACTCCTGAACAGAAATGCATAGGACAGAGTCTTGGTTTGCATGCGCAGAGGGAAAGTTTGGCAAGATTGATATCTCACTTTGTTTGAGATTCCCTTGGGGTATCATAAGACTCCGAAAACCCCTTCCTACAGTTGGAATGGAGCCAAAAAAACGCCACTAATTCTCCTGTCCCGGAATGATAAAACACCTCTAAGACCCGCGAGTCAGGACAAAAGCAGGGAGCAAAACGGCCGATTTGCAGACTCTCGGCTGGAAGTGATGAGGACACCTAAGCAGAAACGGAGCGACTACTGGAGAGTAAGCAAAAAATATTAATTAAAAAGGAAGCCAACCCCTTCCCTAAAGAGCTCCGCAACCCTCCCAAAATGCACGGCTGTTTTCCGTCAAGAGATCGGATTATATATTTCAGGGACACTGTTTTTCGCTCTGTGATGAGCTCCCCCCTCCCTCCCCACCTCTCCCAATGAATTATTTTTTATTTTATATCTATGTCTATATATAGATATATAGCTGCTATGCGTTCCTCTTTCCTCCGAGCAATTATGCAGCAGTATATAAAGAGCAGGGGAGATTATGTTAATTAAACAGAAGGTAATTTCTGTCAGCCCGAAAGGTGGGGGGCAAAGGGTGGGAGCGGAGCGGGGGGACGGCGGGGGGAAGGAACCGAGCCCTCGCTCGGGGATGCAAAAAAAGGGCAGGAAACGGGATAATTCAACTGTAAACATTAGCAAAGTTTTGAAAAAGACTATGAATGAGCAAGCGGTCACGCATTCTCAGCCCTGGAAAATCCCATGATTGGAAATGGCTGGAAGAACAACAACAACCAAAAGAGCAAAACAACATTGACCCGACTGAGGCAACTCACTCCCATCAATCATTATAAACCTTGAACCATGAAACAAAACTTAAGTTTGGCAAAAGCTTGGTACATGAAACTCAGAGGACTGGAAAGCAAGACCGTGATAAAATAATAACGTTGACTCGACTGAGGCAACTCACTCTCATGAATCATTATAAGCCTTTTCCAGAAGACACACAATACAGCAATGCAATAGTACTGTCATACACCAAAGCTGGAACACCTCTAACCTTAAACACCATAGCCGCTTGGTAAAATAAGCAAGCACTTTATTATACTAAAAAGTTGTAAAACAGTAAAATCCAAAACAGTTCAGACGTTTCAAAGGAGAACCAGATCCATAAGTCTATAGAAATCAATGAAGCAGGGCACTCGAACCATGAAACAAAACTTAAGTTTGGCAAAAGCTTGGTACATGAAACTCAGAGCACTTGAAAGCAAGACCGTGATAAAATGACAACGTTGACTTGACTGAGGAAACTCACTCCCATGAAAATCATTATAAACCTCTTCCAGAAGACACAAAATACAGCAATGCAATGGTACTGTTGTATAATACAGCTTGAAGACACAAAATACAGCAATGCAATGGTATTGTCGTACACCTCTGACCTTAAACACCACAGCCGCTTGGTAAAATCAGAAAGCCGCTTATTGTAGGATATATGTAAGCAAAGCAGTAAAAAGTTGCCGAATGGTAAAAATCCAAAGTAGTTCATAAACTTCAAAGGAGAACCAGACCCATGAGTCTATAGACATCCATGAAGCAGGGCACATGAAACCATTGAAACAAAACAGCAGGAAAATCCCATAGGCAAAACTTACATTTGGCAAAAAACTTGGTGCACGAAACTTAGAGCACTTGAAACCAAGACCAGGATAAATAGCGACGTTGCCTCTACTGAGACAATTCACTCCCAGGAATAATTATAAACCATTTCCAGAGCCCAAATCTAACAAGAAGGCATTCTTGTTGATTTTCCCACTAGATAACAGGAGCTTTTTTGTTGAGTTTCAGGGTCAGAGAAAGAGATGGCGAAAACAGAAGAACGGCCTGCCTCAGGGGAGCGTGATTGTTCCATCAATCTGTAACATTTACACACACGACCAGCCATTGCCAGAAGGGACAGAGAGTTTCATCTATTCTGACGATCATGCCATCACCGCTCAAGCGGTTGAACAGAAGCTCCCTGAAGCTTTAGATGCTTTTACTGCCTATTGCAGGAAAAACCAGATGGCACCATCAAAGTTTAACATTTACACAAATGATCCTCCACTGCCAGAAGGGACAGAGAGTTTCATCTATGCTGACGACTGTGCCATCACCGCTCAAGCAGGGAGATTTCAAATGGTTGAACAGAAGCTCTCCGAAGCTTTAGGTGCTTTTATTGCCTATTACAGGGAAAACCAGCTTGCAACATCCATGTTTAATATTGACACAAATGCTCAGCCACCGCCAGAAGGGACAGAGAGTTACATCTATGCTGACGATCGTGCCATCACCATTCAAGCAGAGAGCTTTGAAATGGTTGAACAAACGCTCTCCGAAGCTTGAGGTGCTCTTACTTCCTCTTACAGGGGAAACCAGCTGATTCCTAATCCGTACTGTAATCAGGAACGGGTATGTTGTGCCACTTCAGCACACTTTTATGATGCACAAAAACAGAAAACCATCTGCAGATCAACTCAAAGGAAACAGGGAAGGCTAATGGGAGCGCAGATTATAGGGTGCGTATAAGAAGTGGTGCTGCTGAAGAAAAAAGGTGCTGAATGACCCCCCAAAATTCCCCACGTGGTGTTGATAAATCTCACACCCGGTAGTAATTCCATAATTGGAAGCCTTGAAATGGGCAGCTCGCAAGGACACAATTACTTTATTTCGGGGCATGTTGGGGAAAAGCGCATCAATGCCGAAAAGATCGATGTCTCTGAAAGCTTCGAGTGCATAAAATCTATGACTTGCACAGCGTGTGTTTATAAAGTGCTTTCGTCGGTTAACTGGTTATTTTAATCTCCTGTTATGTTTTAGTTTTGAGAGAAAAAGAGTATTTAACGCATTTTGACAGAAATTGAGAGTTTGAATGCATCAAGGGAGACGGTGCAGAGATCAAGCACCGGAAGACGAGACTAGATATATTCGTGCGATTCCCTCTACATAGTCTAGAGTGTATTGATTAATGTATTGCAAATAAATGCACAAATTATGAAAAGGCGCCCACCGCACACCTTGAAAGAAAAGCATCTCTAAACAAGGAGGAGATATATAAACCTCACTGTCTGGGGAACTCCAGACAGAAAACAATCAGGGACAGCTAACACCTCCCAACAAATGACTCCCCCCCAGGAAGCAACCAGCCAGGCTTTGAAGCTGAAAGGCCACTCAATGCTATTCAAGCTGGCCAATGCCAACATTCACAGACAGGCGTTCAAGGCCAGCTAACACCTCCCAACAAAGGATTCCCCCAGGCAGGAATCAGTCAAGCCTTGACACTGCAAGGCTCTTAGATGCTAATCAAGGCAATCAACTGCAACATTCACACCTGCCTCCAACAGATAAGAGTTCTTTCTCCCACCCTGGACACCATTCCACGGATATATAAACCTCACTGTCTGGGGAATTCCAGATAGAAAACAATCAGGGACAGCTAACACATCCCAACAAATGACACCCCCCCAGACAGCAACCAGCCAGGCTTTGAAGCTGCAAGGCCATTCAATGCTATTCAAGCTAGCCAATGCCAACCTTCACAGACAGGCGTTCAGGGTCAGCTAACACTTCCCAACAAAGGATTCCCCCAGGCAGAAATTAGTCAAGCCTTGACACTGCAAGGCTCTTCAATGCTAATGAAGGCAATTCACACTTGCCTCCAACAGGTAAGAGTTCTTTCTCCCACCCTGGACAGTAAACAATCTGGGCCAGCTAACACCTCCCAACAAAGGATTCCCCCAAGCAGGAAACCCTAGACATTGCTCCGATATATAAAAACCTCACTGTCTGGGGAATTCCAGACAGGAAACAAATCAGGGCCAGCTAACACCTCCCAACAAATGATTCCCCCCAGGCAGGCTTTGAAGCTGCAAGACCATTCAATGCTAATCAGGTTGGCCAATTGCAACATTCACACTTGCCTCAAGCAGACAAGAGTTCTTTCTTCCAAACTAGACCTCATTCCACAGATATATAAACCTCCCTTACCTAGTTTCCAACAGACCTCACAACCTCTGCCTGCCATAGATGTGGGAGAAATGTCAGGAGAGAATGCTTCTAGAATATGGCAAGTCTGGAAAACTCTCAGCAACTCAGTGATTCCAGCCATGAAAGCCTTCAACAACACATAGAACTCGTCTCTTTGAGGCAAGTGTCAATGTTGCAATGGGCCACCTTGATTAGCATTGAATGGCCATGCAGTTTCAAAGCCTGGCTGCTTCCTTTCTGGGGGAATCCTTTGTTGGGAGGTGTTTAGCTAGCCCTGAGTGTTTCCTGTGGACTTTCTACAGATATATAAACCTCCCTTGTTTATATATCTGTGGAACAACAGACCTCACAACTTGTAAAGCTGCCTGCCATAGATATGGGAGGAACGTCAGGAGAGAATGCTTCTAGAATATGGCAAGTCTGGAAAACTCACAGCAACCCAAAGACATGTCAGGGAACAGAGAGACATATAGGTCAATGTAAACAAGCCGTGCTCTGAGAGTGATGCTCAGGAGTGACCAAACCAGTGGAAGGAAACACAAAAGGGAAGCAATGAACTCACCAACGCTTCGCGGGATGCTCCATTCTCATTCCCCGGAGGAGAGCCAGTCTGCAAAAAAAGGGGGAAAGGCAAGGTTAGAGCGCCACCCAATGGCAATCTGACTGTGACAAAGCACACCTTCCGAACATGTAATTAAAATAAATCCAATTACAAAGGTTGCCAAAGCAGCCATCGTGTGTTTGACCCAAGTACATAAGGTTAAAGCACGGAGATGCTTTGATTCGTAGAAACAAGGCCCTGTTTTCTCTAAGCTTGTTCACAGTTACTAGGAGGTGGATTTATTTCACCCCACCTAAAACTTTGCTCATAGTCTAATAATGATTTATCTCCTTGGTTGCAAAGTATGAAGTCAAACATGACCCCCCCCCCCCCAAATAAAAGATAGTAACTTATAGTTTTGCTAAGGACAAGGACACCAGACTGGATAAGGAGAAAATCCTCAGTTGAAAATAACCTTATCAAAAGACACTTTTTTGCATGGACAATAACAATGGATCATGACCCCTGGGGCTCGGAGTTGCCCCCCCCCCCCAGCGGAAGCGGTCGCTTGGCACTAATGATCATATCTCCTCGGGGATAAAGGGCCTTCGGAAAGCCACACTTTGTCCTGATCTCTTACTCATTTAAATCTTCCTCCACCGAAACTTCAGCCAGATTTCCTCATTGTTCCCATATCTCAGCACCAAGAAAATCCGGATCTGGCAGGCTTGCCAGACATCAACATTTATTGCCACTAATCAAGGACAATAGGAGGGCCAGCTTGGACATTTCATATCTCCATAATCCATTCAAGAATGCATTGTTTCCCCCTCGTCCCGCCTCCCACTCTCCTGATTTGTCAGGAAGCCAAGGCGGCAGAAGCTCAACCATTGGCCCAGGCGCTTGGGAGGCGGCCAAGCCTCCTCCCAGCTGTAGCACCCCAGTCAATCATCGTTGAGCTGGTGGAGGGGTGGGGAGCAGGAAATTCAAATCTGACAGCTCTGTTTCTGTATTAAAAAGGCTTTATTGATGTGTTGTTGGGCTTGGCCTCATGTAAGCTGCTCCGAGTCCCTTGGGGAGATGGTGGCGGGGTATAAATAAAAATTATTATTATTATTATTATTATTATTGAATAGCCTTGTAGCTTCAAAGCCTGGCTGTGAGGGTATCTGCCTAGAGGTAGCCTGGCCTTTGTTGCCTGGAGGCACCCTCTGTGCAATATTGTCCAGGGTGGGAGAAAGAACTCTTACCTGTGAATGTTGCAATTGACCACCTTGATTGGCATTAAATAGCCTTGCAGCTTCAAAGCCTGGCTGTGAAGGTATCTGCATAGAGGTGGCCTGGCCATTGTTACCTGGAGGCACCCTCTGTGGAATATGGTCCAGGGTGGGAGAAAGAACTCTTGCCTCTGAATGTTGCAATTGACTACCTTGATGGCATTGAATAGCCTTGCAGCTTCAAAGCCTGGCTGTGAGGGTATCTGCCTAGAAGTAGCCTGGCCTTTGTTACCTGGAGGCACCCTCTGTGGAATATGGTCCAGGGTGGGAGAAAGAACTCTTGCCTCTGAATGTTGCAACTGACTACCTTGATGGGCATTGAATAGCCTTGCAGCTTCAAAGCCTGGCTGTGAAGGTATCTGCATAGAGGTAGCCTGGCCATTGTTGCCTGGAGGCACTCTCTGTGGAATAATGTCCAGGGTGGGAGAAAGAACTCTTGCCTGTTTGAGGCAAGTGTGGATGTTGCAGTTGGCCACCTTGATTGGCATTGAATAGCCTTGCAGCTTCAAGTATGACAGGAAGTTTTCAGAATATTTACATTGGGTGGCACAACGTGCTTCTCCTCCTTTATTGTCTCAGCGCAGTCTATAGTTAGCACTGCTTTACAGAACTGACATTTTGGGTTCACTGTCGCGCCAAACCACCGTCGGAAGCCACAGCTGGAAGTGGTTTGGGAAACGGTGGTTTTAGGCTCATTATGATTAGCAAAGATGCTGGCTCAGGGATCCAGATCGAGCGCATCCTTCGCTTTGCTGAGGACAGGGTTTTCTTTCCTGTGGATTTCCATCTGCTGATGTAGTGGCACATTTAGATGTATAGAGCGTCCAAGAGTCGGGAGAGACCCCAAGGGCCATCCAGTCCGATTCTGCTCGACAGGAAGACACCCAAACCCTCCTGCTTAAAAGCCTCTAATAGTCACTCCTCCATCGCCTCCTCATGAAAAAAGCTGTATAATATCACAAAGGACTACCACGTCACCCGCTTCATAGGAAACCTGCTACAAAACAGGAGACAAGCTCTCCAAATTTGGCATACATTTGAATACTGGTGCAGTTGGGGAGGTTGATTTTGTCATTTGGGAGTTGTAGTTGCTGGGATTTATAGTTCACTTCCAATCAAAGTGCATTCTGGACCCCACCAATGATAGAGTTGGGCCAAACTGGGCACACAGAGCACCCATGATCAACAGAAAATACTGGATGGTTTGGTGGGCATTGACCTTGAGTGTGAGAGTTGTAGTTCACCTACATTCAGAGAGCACTGTGGACTCAAACAATGATGAATCTGGACCAAACTTGGGTCCTAGGCCTATCCAAAATATGTGGTCTTTGGTGGCCCCTCTGACACCGCCCCCTAAAAAAACCCAGGGGTCCCAACCCCCCACAACCTCTGAGGGCACCTGCCATAGACGTGGGTGAAATGTCAGGAGAGAATGCTTCTGGAACATGACCAGACAGCACGGAAGACTCACAGCAAACTAGACAAGAGTTCTTTCTCCCACTCTGGACATTGCACAGATATCTAAACCCCTCTTGCCTAGTTTCCAATAGACCTCACAACCTCTGAGGATGCCAGCCACAGATGTGGGTGAAATGTCAGGAGAGAATGCTTCTGGAACATTGTCAAAAAGCAGAGAAAACTCACAGCAACCCAGACAAGAATTCTTTCTCCCACCCTGGACATTGCACAGATATCTAAACCCCACTTGCCTAGTTTCCAATAGACCTCACAACCTCTGAGGATGCCTGCCACAGATGTGGGTGAAACGTCAGGAGAGAATGCTTCTGGAACATGACCAGACAGCACGGAAAACTCACAGCAACCCACTGTTTTCTCTTTTGTTTTTGAGGGGGGTGATTTATGGCACCATTAAGAATCCTCACGAATACAATAATAGCGGGTTATAAATCAGCAAATGTCTCGTTTGGCCAAAAATAGCCCAAGATGAAAGAAAATCGCTTTCCGGGTTTCTTGGAAGATGACTGAAAATTTGATTTAAGCACACGCATGCAACTTAAGAAATCTGAACATTGGAGAAAGCAAGACTTCAAGGCAGAGGCCTTTTGGCTCTGCGTGATTGAATTTTACATAAATGCACAGATATACATACAAAAACCCCGGCTCCTTGGGGAACTCCGTCTGAATGATTTGCCCAATTAGGCCGCCGTTTGGCTATTATGTTGGGTATTGAACCTATCAATCAGTTTGGGTTAAAGAGGAAGGGCCAAGAGAGGAAGAGAGGCGGATGTCTACACAGAAATGGGTCTTTAATTTGAAAATAAGCATACTTAAGGAAACGAAGACGGAGACTGGCTTTGTAATATCGATCCTTGTTGTGCACTTCGAACTCAAACTAACAAATGGACGCAGATTGTATGTGTTTCCTCCACCCCAGGCACCCCAGTGTTTCTTATTCTCTGCCAATGTCCTCCACCAACAACATACTGCCCACCACCCAAGGAATGCTTTCATACGGGGACAATATTGTCATAGATTGTATGTATTCCCTCCACCATAGGCACCCCAGTGTTTCTTACTCTTTGCCAATGTCCTCCACCAACACCATACTGCCCACCACCCAATGAATGCTTTCATACAGGGACAATATCGTCCTAGATTGTATGTGTTTTCTCCACCACAGGTATCCCAGTGTTTCTGACCCTCTCCCCCTGAAAATGTCCTCAACCAACACCATACTGCCCACCACCCAAAGAATGCTTTCATACGGAGACCATTTCATCCTAGATTGTATGTGTTTCCTCCACCAGAGGCATCCCAGTGTTACTGACTCTCTCCCCTGCCAATGTCCTCCACCAACACCACCACAGGCATCCCAGTGTTTCTGCCAATGTCCTCCACCAACACCATACTGCCCACCACCCAAGGAATGCTTTCATACAGGGACAATATCATCCTAGATTGTATGTTTCCTCCACCACAGGCACCCCAGTGTTTCTTACTCTTTACCAATGTCCTCCACCAATACCATAATAATAATAATAAACTTTATTTATACCCCGCCATCATCTCCCCAATGGGTCTCGGAATGGCTTACATGAGGCCAAGCCCAAACAACAATCTCCAATAAAGTAAAACCGAAAACGCAAACAACAACATAATTACATAAAACATGTGAATACATACTGCCCACCACCCAAGGAATGAATTTCATACAGGGACAATATTGTTCCAGATTGTATGTGTTTCCTCCACCCCAGGCATCCCAGTGCTTCTGACTCTCCCTGCCAATGTCCTCCACCAACACCATACTGCCCACCGCCCAGGGAATGCTTTCATACGGGGACAATATCATTCTAGATTATATGTGTTTCCTCCACCCCAGGCACCCCAGTGTTTCTTACTTTCTGCCAATGTCCTCCACCAACACCATACTGCCCACCACCCAAGGAATGCTTTCATACGGGGACAATATCATCCTAGATTGTATGTGTTTCCTCCACCCCAGGCACCCCAGTGTTTCTTACTCTTTGCCAATGTCCTCCACCAACACCATACTGACCACCACCTAAGGAATGCTTTCATACGGGGACAATATAATCCTAGATTGTATGTGTTTCCTCCACCCCAGGCACCCCAGTGTTTCTTACTCTCTCCTYCTGCCAATGTCCTCCACCAACACCATAYTGCCCACCACCCAAGGAATGCTTTCATACGGCGACAATATAATCCTAGATTGTAGGTGTTTCCTCCACCACAGACATCCCAGTGTTTCTGACTCTCTCAATTGGTGTGGAATTTGCATGACCCCACTGCACTGTGTGCCCCACCCTTAACCCTTTCCTACTCTTTTCAACTGTCTGCGCAACAAACAGAGGAGAACTAATCAGTTTGAGGAATTGATTCCACATGGTGGAAGTTGTAGTTCGCCCAGCAACAAGTCAGAGCACTGTGACCCCCCACCCCCACTGACAATGGACCTGGACCACATTTGGCACACAGAACCYCCATGACCAAAGAAAAATACTGGTGAGGTTTGAAGTGAATTCACCTTGACTTATAGCCGTTGTAGGCACTGGGATTTATAGTTCACCTTCAATCAAAGAGCACTCTGGAGCCCACCAACGATAGACCTGGACCTCACTTGGCACACAGAACCAATAAGAAATACTGAAGGGCTCTGGGGGAAATTCACCTTGCTTTATAGCCATTGTTGGTTCTGGGATTTATAGTTCACCTGCAATCAAAGGGCACTCTGGYCCCCACCAACGATAGACCTGGACCTAACTTGGCACACAGAACTGCCATGACCAATAAGAAATACTGAAGAGCTCTGGACCAAACTTGGCACATATACCTGATATGCCGAAATTTAATTCCTGGAGGGGTTGGGGGGGAGGGAAATGGCCTTCCTTTCTGGGAGTTGTAGTTCACCCACAACCAGATCAAACTGTGACTTCCACCAATGATGGATCTGGACCAAACTTGGCACATATACTGATATGCCGAAATTTGATTCCTGGAGGGGCTGGGAGGAAGGGAGGAAACTGACTTTCCTTTCTGGGAGTTGTAGTTCACCCACAACCAGATTAAACTGTGACCTCCACCAATGATGGACCGGGTCCAAAATTGGCACATATATCTGATATGCCAAAATTTGATTCCTGGAGGGGTTGGGAGGGAAATGTCCTTCCTTACTGGGAGTTGTAGTTCACCCACAACCAGATTAAACTGTGACCTCCACCGACGATGGACCTGGACCAAACCTGGCACACAGAACCCCCAGGACTAACTCAACCTACTGGAGGGCTTTGAGGGGACTGACTCCCCAGAGTGGGAGTTGTAGTTCACCCTGCAGCCAGAGAGCACACTGAACAAAAAATATACCAAGCTAGTATATAGTGATCTAACTTCAGAGTAAACACTGCCAAGGATGGAATAAATTGTTGGGGGAGAGAGATCCTTTTGTAGGGAAGGCCTGGCTTTGGAAAAAGCACCATCCTCCTCCTCCTCCTGGAAGGATACCCTTTGCAAGGGGCCACAACAAGGCAGGCCCTTCTCTTTGGAAAGGCAATGGGGTGGCAGCTCTTGGGCCCTGGCTGTGGGGCAAGCAAGGCATGTGGCCCCTATCTCCCTTCCCCTGGCAGGCCACAAACAAGGCCCAAAGGAAGCCCCAGCAGCCCCCCATGGAGGCCCTTCCTCCCAGGGATTGGGGGCCAGCCCCCCCTCTCCGCAGGCCTCCTTCCCTCTGCCTTGCTCTTACCTGCTGCCCAGGTTGCTCTGCCTGTTCCGAGGAGGCCATCTTTCCAGACCCGGCTAATCCAACCCCGATGAGACGGATTGGGGAGGAAATAGGCTCTGGAGGGGGAGGCCAAAGCAATCGAGCTGGGAGCGGATCGATCGACAACCCAGACTCAGAGAAGAGAGAACCATGTCCACAAAAATACACCATCCAAGCCCTCCCGACAGATGGCCATCCAATTCCAACCCTATCCTGCCTGGGAAGATGACACCATTCATTCTGTAAATACAGCACCCCAAGCCTGTGGGATCCAACAGCAAAGGCTGGAGGACACCATCCAAATCCTCCCGACAGATGGCCATCCAATTTCAACCCCATTCTGCCAGGCAGGAAGACACAATTCATTCTGCAAATACAGCACCCTAAGCCTATGGGATCCAACAACAAACTGTTCAAAGGCAGGAGGACACCATCCAAACCCTCCTGACAGATGGCCATCCAATTCCAACCCCCTCCTGCTAGGCAGGAAGACACCATTCATTCTGCAAATACAGCACCCTAAGCATATGGGATCTAACAGCAGGAGAAATGATACAGTGCTCAAGGCAGGAGGACCCCATCCAAGCCCTCCTGACAAATGGCCATCCAATTCCAACCCCCTTCTACCATTCATTCTGCAAATACAGCACCCTAAGCATATGGGATCCAAAAGCAGTAGAGACGATACAGTGTTCAAAGGCAGGAAGACACCATCCAAGCATTCCCAACGGATGTCCATTCAATTCCGACCCCCCTCCTACCAGGGAGGAAGACACCATCCATTCTGCAAATACAGCACTCTAAGCATATGGGATCTAACAGCTATGTAACAATTGAAAATATAAATTAACATATACCCCTTTTTATATTTTATTTTAATTTTAATGTTAATATTTAATAATTTCATTTTAAAATATTTTAACTTTAATACTTTTATTTTGAAATATTTATTTAATTTTGAAATATTTTATGTGAATATTTTAACTGTTTCATTTTAAAATATTTTAATTTTAATATTTTAGTTTTAAAATATTAAATTCTTTAGTTCTAAATATTTTATTTTAATGTTTTGATTTTAAAATATTTATTTTATTTTAAAATATTTTAATTTTAATACTTTTATTTTAAAATATTTGTTTAATTTTAAAACATTTTAATATTTTATATTTAAAATGTTTGTTGCATTTTAAAATATAATATTAACTTTAAAATAATTTATTTTGAACAATTTAATTTCCAAATATTTAATTAACTTTACAATATTTTATTTTGATATTTCAAATTTAAAATACCCAATTATTTAATTTTAAAATATTTTATGTTAATGTTGTAATTTCAATATATTTAGTGGTTTAGTTTTAAAATATTTTATTTTAATATTTTGATTTGTTCTCTCTCTCTGTGGTCTGTTTCAGAGTCCCAGGAATCCCACTTCCTCCTCTTGCAGCAGAGTCCGGAAGGAACGTTGGGCAAGGACTTCATTTCCCAGCGCTCCCTGGGAGAGCGGGCTCTTCCCTGATTGGCTGCCGCCTGCAAGAGGCTGTTTACCCTCCTGGCTCGGCTCTTTCCTGGCTCAGAGCAGGAGGCGAGCAGGAGGGAAGCATGGCTCGGAGAGGCTCGGCTCTTTCCGCCTTGAAGCAGTGCCTGATCCGGCGCAATGGCCGGCAGGAGCAGCACGGAGTGGCCGCGTCTGGCCTCCAGGAGCTCCGCAGCAAAGGTCAGAATGGACTGGCCCAAGTGGCTTTGGCCCAGATCCCACTGAAAGCCAACCATGGCCAGACCTCCATAGATAAGACCTCAGAAACTCCCTCCTTAACCTAGCCTACAGGGAGAGTTTCACCCTAGATTGTATGTGTTTCCTCCACCACAGGCACCCCAGTGTTACTCTCTCCATTTGTGTGGAATTTCCAAGACCCCCACCCACCGCCTCTCCCTTAACCCTTTCCTATTCTTATGGCACACAGAAGAAATGATCAAGACATCCTGGTGTTCCTTTCTCTCTCCACTCGTGTGGAATTGGCATCACCCCCCCCACACACACACACACACAGCCTCTCCTTCTTTACAGTATTTTCCTACTTGACAGATGCAACTGTCTTTCGGGTTGCAAAGGTCAACAACAGGCTACACACAATTGGTTGGAAACCCACTCCAACCCGGGCTGGCTTCGAACTCATGACCTTTTTGGTCAGAGTGATCTTAATGCCCCTCTCATCTCTAGGGGGTCTCAAAGCGGTTTACACATAAATAACGGCGGAATTGATCAGCAACAGACATCCCAGTGTTCTTTTCTCTCTCCACTAGTGTGGAATTTACACCCACCCCCCGCCTCTCCCTTCACCCTTTCCTGTTCTTTTCTATGGCACACAGCAAACAGAAGAATTGATCAGCAATAGACATCCCAGTGTACCTTTCTCTCTCCACTGGTCTGGAATTTGCATGACGCACACACACACACTGCTTCTCCCATCACCTTTTCCTATTCTTTTCTATGGCACACAACAAACAGAAGAATTGATCAGCAATAGACATCCCAGTGTACCTTTCTCTCTCCACTGGTCTGGAATTTGCATGACGCACACACACACACTGCTTCTCCCATCACCTTTTCCTATTCTTTTCTATGGCACACAACAAACAGAAGAATTGATCAGCAATAGACATCCCAGTGTTCCTTTCTCCACTGGTGTGGAATTTACATTACCCCTCCCCACCGGCTGCCTTTCCCTTCACCTTTTCCTGTTCTTTTCTATGGCACACAGCAAGCAGAGGAATTTATTTATTTATTATTTACAGTGTTCATATACTGCCTTTCTCACCCCTGGGGGGGGGGGGGGACTCAAAGCGGTTTACACATAAATAACGGCGGAATTGATCAGCAACAGACATCCCAGTGTTCTTTTCTCTCTCCACTGGTGTGGAATTTACACACACACACACACCGCCTCTCCCTTCACCCTTTCCTGTTCTTTTCTATGTCACACAGCAAACAGAAGAATTGATCAGCAATAGACATCCCAGTGTACCTTTCTCTCTCCACTGGTCTGGAATTTGCATGACCCCCCTCCCCCACCCACTGCCTCTCCCATCACCCTTTCTGTTATTTTCCATGGCACACAGCAAACAGAAGAATTGATCAGCAATAGACATCCCAGTGTACCTTTCTCTCTCCACTGGTCTGGAATTTGCATGACGCACACCCCCACACACACACACACTGCCTCTCCCATCACTTTTCCTATTCTTTTCTATGGCACACAACAAACAGAAGAATTGATCAGCAATAGACATCCCAGTGTTCCTTTCTCCACTGGTATGGAATTTACATTAGCCCCTCCCCGCCCTCTGCCTCTTCCTTCACCCTTTCCTGTTCTTTTCTATGGCACACAGCAAGCAGAGGAATTTATTATTTACAGTGCTCATATACTGCCTTTCTCACCCCGGGGGGGGGGGGGGGGCCTCAAAGCGGTTATAGCACACAGCAAACAGAGGAATTGATTAGCAACAGACACCCCAGTGTTCCTTTCTCTCTCCACTGGTGTGGAATTTTCATTACCCCTCCCCACTGCCTCTCCCTTCATCCTTTCCTGCTCTTTTCTATAGCACACAGCAAACAGAGGAATTGATTAGCAACAGACACCCCAGTGTTCCTTTCTCTCTCCACTGGTGTGGAATTTTCATTACCCCCTCCCCACTGCGTCTCCCTTCACCCTTTTCTATTCTTATCTATGGCACACAGCAAACAGAGGAATTGATCAGCAACAGGCATCCCAGTATTCCTTTCTCTCTCCACTGGTGTGGAATTTGCATGGGGAAACACACACACACCCCCGGGCACTGGCTCTCCCTTCACCTTTTCCTATTCTTTTCTATGGCACACAGCAAACAGAGGAATTGAGCAGCAACTGCACATACTAGAAAGGTCAACATGATATGTAGTTCACCTGCAATCTAAGAACTGCACTCTGAACTCCACCAACAATGGACCTATTCAAATTTGGGCACAATGGGTATGTGTGCCATGTTTGGTCCTGATCCATCGGTGTTTGGGTTCATAATACTCTCTGGATGTAGGTGAACTACAACTCCCCCAAATCAAGGTGAATTTCCCTCCAAAACCTAAAGTATTTTTTGCTGGTCATGAGAGCTCTATGTGCCAAATTTGGTCCAGTTCCCTCTTTAGTGTGGTTCAGGGTGCCCCTTGATTGCAGGTGAACTATACATCCCAGAATCTACAATGCCAAAATGTCCTGGCCAATTCCCCTCAAAACCCACCGGTGTTCAAATTTGGGCATATTGGGTAGCCATGCTGAGTTTGGTCCAGATCCATCCTTGTTTGGGTTCAAAGTGCACTCTGGATGTAGGTGAACTACAACTCCCCTTCAAAGACCTCCAGTATGTTTTGTTGGTCATGGAGCTTCTGTATGCCAAGTTAGTTCCAGGTCCATCGTTGGTGGAGTTCAGAGTGCAGTTCTTAGATTGCAAGTAAACTATAAATCCCAGTCCCTACAACTCCTATAAATCATGATTTCTCCTCTAGAGTTTGGTCCAGATCCATCATTGTTTGAGTCCACAGTGATCTCTGGATGTAGGTGAACTACAACTCCAAAACCAAAGGACACTGCCCACCAAACCCTTCCAGTATTTTCTGTTGGTCGTGGGAGAATTGTGTGCCAAGTTTGGTTCAATTCCATCGTTGGTGGGGTTCAGAATGCTCTTTGATTGTAGGTGAACTATAAATCCCAGCAACTACAACTCCCAAATGACAAAATCATATATATATATATTGGTGAAGGACATACATTGGGTTGTGGGGTGTCTTGTGTCCAAATTTGGTGTCAATTCCCCCAGTGGTTTTTGAGTTCTGTGAATCCCACAAATGAACATGACATTTTTATTTATATAGATTGTCAAAGGCTTCCAAGGCTGGAATCACTGGGTTGTTGTAGTTTTTTTCGGGTTATATGGCCTTGTTTTAGAAGCATTCTCTCCTGACGTTTCGCATCACTTTCGGGCATTCAGGCCTCTAGAAAAAGTTTTGGTTCAGCAGTTTCAGGCAAAGCAAAGCACAGCTCAATATGCTGTCGAGGGCTTTCATGGCCAGAATCGCTGGGTTGTTGTGAATTTTCCGGGCTGTATGGCCATGCTCCAGAAGCATTCTCTCCTGACATTTCACCCATCTATAGCAGGCCTCCTCAGAGGTTGTGAGGTCTGTTGGAAACTGGGAAACAGCTAGCACCTCCCAACAAAGGATTCCCCCAAGCAGGAAACAGCCGGGCTTTGAAGCTGCAAGGCTATTCAGTGCTAATCAAGATGACCAATTGCAACATTCTCAAGCAGACAAGAGATCGTTCTTCCACTCTGGACATTATTCCACAGATATGTGAACCGCACTGCCTGCATTTTTAGTGTCATAACAAATAAAGTAAGAAGTGAGCACATAGCTTGCATGGCGTGTGCCATCAAGTTGCCTGCCAGCCAGTGAATTTCATGGCGTTGTCTTGGGCAAGGCAATCTCTGAGTTGGTGGTTTTGCCAGTTCCGCTCTCAGAAACAGAGCCTCCAGCGCCTGCTTCTCATCCGAGGGCTAACCATAACTGACACTGCTCAGCCTCCATGATGAGATGGGTTCGGGTGCCTTCAAGCCATTTTCGGCTGGGCGCACCGGAAAGCAGAAACTATTTGAAGGCACACACCACTATCGTCCCCTTTCCTATTTCATTTAGTTCAGGTCGGAAACTGCTTGAAGACAGAGGGAGAAAGGACCTCAACACCCCCTGAAAATTAAGCCAAAGGAGAAGGTGGCCTACTTATCGTTTGCTTCCGAGGTGTTGACGAAACTCTCGTTAGTGTTTAATTGCATTAGGACTTACAAGCTCCGTTGGTCGAGGACAAAGCCCTGGTCCAACCTGTCTTTCTTGCGCTTCCCAGTCTCCGATTTGGTTGCCTCCTTATCTTTTAAGCTTTGAGTGAGTTGTTACCTAGCCTTTTGACGAGGGTTGAATGAAAAGTAATGCCTACACCTTCGTTACTTGGGTTTGGATGGAAATATTTAAGGATTCTAAATAATCCTTAAAATGTGCTCTTCAACTACCACGATGTGGAGCCCCCAGTGGTGCAGTGGGTTAAACCCCTGTGCTGGCAGTGCTGAAGACCAACAGGTCGCAGGTTCGAACCCAGGGAGAGGCAGATGAGCTCCCTCTATCAGCTCCAGCTCCTCATGCGCGGACATGAGAGAAGCCTCCCACAAGGATGATAAAACATCAAAACATCCGGGAGTCCCCTGGGCAGCATTCTTGCAGACAGCCAATTCTCTCACATCAGAAGTGACTTGCAGTTTCTCAAGTCACTCCTGACACAACAAAAAAAAAAAATACCATGATTCACTTTTCCACATAATCACCAGACAATTGGATACATTTCTGCCAATGATGAACAAGTTTTCTGGAGCCGTCACAGAAGAAGTCGACACCATCAGCGTCTCACAGGTCTCTCATTCTGGGTACCCATTGTGCACAGATCTTTCGATAGCCAAGCAAAGCAATAATGTGACCCACGTGTTCTTGTGAAATGCCGATTATGCTTGAAATTTCTCTTTGAGTGAGACGACGATCGTCCTGAATCAATCTGTCAACCTTTTGCTTGTGAAACTTGGTGGTTGTTGTCACAGGATGTCCAACTCTTTGTTGGTCAAGCAAGTCAGATGTTTCCATCTCAACATCTTTAAACTTTCTTGCCCAACGACGCACAGTACTCACATTAACACAATCCCCATAAACAGCTTGCATTCTCTGATGAATCTTATTTGGGGTAAAACCTTCTGAATTCAATGACTGCACGTTGCTTAAGTCGCATTGACCAACCATCTGCACAGGGTTCTATACTTCGCACTTTAACAACACAACCGTTCAATACTAAGGCTTCCCACCAAAATGGAACTGTAGAGGAGAGTCTACTGAACAAGCCAGTACCTGCCGCATACCAGTACTGCCATCTGTTGAGGAGTTACGAAGGTCCGTTCAATGCTAAGCCTTTCCGCCAAAATGGAACTGTACAGGAGAGTCTACTGAACAAACCCTAACCATGTCCTGCCACATACCAGCACTGCCATCTGTTGAGGAGTTACGAAGGTCCGTTCAATGCTAAGGCTTCCCGCCAAAATGGAACTGTAGAGGAGAGTCTACTGAAGAAGCCAGTACCAGTTGCATACCAGTACTGCCATCTGTTGAGGAATTACCAAGGTCCCTTCAATGCTAAGGCTTCCTGCCAAAATTGAACTGTAGAGGAGAGTCTACTGAACAAGCCGGTACCTGCCGCATACCAGTACTGCCATCTGTTGGAGTTACGAAGGTGGAGGCATTACTTTTCATTCAACCTTCGTACTTTGCTGAGTTTCAACCTGTTACCCCTTGACAATGACTCAAGTGGCTTTCTTTCGTTCTGTGTTGTTATGAGCTTTTTTCCACTGATTGTCAAACCAAAAGTGTTACCTGTGCTTAGTGTACTTTTGTCGCAACTCTTTCCTCTTTTTCCGCAGCTTGCGAGCTCTTTGCGATTGACACTGCATCCCAGCCCGTCACATTAGTTTTGGCGGAGGATGGCACCATTGTGGACGACGAGGATTACTTCTTGTGCCTGCCGCCGAACACCAAGTTTGTGGCACTGGCGAAGGACGAGAAGTGGGCTTGCAGCAGCATAGGTAAGGGAGGGAGGGAGAGATCAATGGGCAGCAACGCAATAAGGGGCAAGCGTTGCTCTCCAAGGCTGGGAACACACACTGCAGTCCAAGGTAAAAAGGCAAAGCAGAGAGAAAATAATGCCTTTTCCCCTGGGAAACCGATAAGCACTTCTTCCCTAACAATCGTCTTGAGCTTCGTATGCTGAGAAGCCTTTTATTTGGGGAATTTAAACCATTTACATTATTGAGAAGCCCTATGTTGATGGAACATAAATCTCCTATCTAACTGCTTTTTAGTCTGTCCACCTTCACTTTCATTTTCATCCTCTCAGCTGAGGTCTGTTTGTGACCTTGCTTCCCTAGTGAACTGCGTTTCAGGAATGTGGCCTTCAGACACAGACCACTCCTTTTCAGTGCTTAAAAAAGGAGGGCCACTGAGTCATACTTCTATTAGGCTTTTGCTTGTTTCTTTTAGTAAGACACTCTTGGTCCTTTTTCTCTTTTCAGACGGAGGCACCGCCTGGCTCGAGGGAGAGGTCACTGATATAGACGGAGTGGAAAGTGGTGAGGAAAAGTGGAAACGCCTGGCCAGACAACTGAAAGACGACCTTTCCACCATCATCTTGATGTCTGAGGAAGATCTCCAGGTACGGAAAGGCCTGAACAAGAGGGCCACACAAATCCCACCCCCGATGAAGGGTACGGAGATTATATAGTATCCAAAAGGTCAAGTCTATTGAACTCAAATTTTGAGCTGTCTTGGGCCCCATATTATCAAAAGAGCAAGATTAAGTAAGGAATAATAATATGCTATATACATATCCATACATATATGCATATACATATACATATACATATATTCTGCCCTATCTTCCCAAGGTGACTCAGGATTTGTCCATGCCTTAGTTACATCCAGAATGGACTATTGTAATTCACTCTACATGAGGCTGCCTTTGAAGACTGTTTGGAAACTGCAGCTTGTTCACTGGCTTCCAACAAGTTTCCGGGCCCAATTTAAAGTGCAGGTGATTACCTATAAAGCCCTATACGCTTCAGGTCCAACCTATTTTCAAGACCACATCTCCTTCTATGAACCAGCATGGACATTAAGTTCTCCTAGGGAGGCCCTTCTCTCTGTCCCACTGCCATCTCAAATACGGTTGGTGGGAACGAGAGAGAGCCTTCTCGGTGGTGGCTCACCAGCTCTGGAATACCCTCTCTAATGAAATTAGATTAGTTCCCTCTCTTCAGGCTGTCCAGGTGAGATTAAAAACAGGCCTTTGATCCTGAGTAATCCATGGTCAACGTGATGAGTCGATAGTACTGCCCCGCACTTTGATTGTTATGATAGATAGCCAGCTTCCCTGCAGGTTCTAGTGCGTTTGAGAAATTGTATAATTTTATAGTTTTATAATTTTGTCAGTGGGGTTGCTGATTGTACTTATGTCATTGTATTTATACTTCTTTATTATTGCCTGTATGTGGCACTTGGAGTGCTTCTGTGAGCCACCCCAAGTCCCTTTGGAGACATGGTGGTGGGGTACAAATAAAGATTTATTATTATTATTATTATTATTATTATTATTATTATTATTATTATTATTTAAAACACAACAAGATGAGTCCACAGCTAACAAGATCACTCTGCTGGCTGTTGCACTGGATCATACGTCAGACACTTCCCAAGTGAATAATTATTATATAATTATTATTATCATTATTATATTATAATAATATACTTGATTTATATTCCACCCTATCTCCCCGAGGGGACTCAGGGCGGATTACAGTACACATATACAGCAAACATTCAATTATTGAGGGCAGGCAGTACATAAACAAAGGCAAAGGCTTTCCCATCTTTTTCTATCTCCGGCATCTGGAGGCTGTGCTCCACTCCGGCCACGAGGGAGTGTTGTTGCTCCATTTTCCATGCCAAGCTTTGTTGTCTTTAGACGCTCTCCCCACGGCATGCCCGCATGGGCAGCTTTTATTACCTCCCTGCCAAAGCAATACTTATTTATCTATTCGCATTACTGTTTTCGAACTGCTAGGTGAGCTGACAGTTGGGAGCTCACCCCAACCTGGGCTTGAACTGTCAACCTTTCAATCGACAAGCTTTTCTGCAGCTGGCGGTTTAAACCGGCTGTGCTAAAGCCTGGCCCCATAATTGAGTAAGCCAAAATCAAGACAGACCCAGGTTGCTTATGAGCCTGGAAAAGGGATCATGATGATAATAATATAATAATAAACTTTATTTATATCCCGCCATCATCTCCCCCAACGGGGACTTGGAGCGGCTTACATGGGGCCAAGCCTGGACAACAAATTACAATACAGAAATACAGATTGCAATAAAATAAACAACACCTTAGCAGTGACATGACAGCTTTGTCTTAATCCAGGCGCTCATCGACGTGCCCTGCCCAGACCTGGCCCGAGAGCTTTCCGACACGCAAGCCAAAGTCCAAGCGCTCCAGGAGACACTTCAGCAGGTGTTGGACCGGCGGGAAGAGGAGCGGCAATCCCGCCAGCTCCTGGAACTCTACCTGCAGGCGGTGAAAAGCGAGGACCACATTGTACCCAAGAAAGATGGTAATGAATTCAGGCTGCTCAGATGTGTTACTACACTGAAGGGGAGGGGAGACATGATGCAAGTAGTTATTACTATTGCATAGCATCATGAATAGTGTGTTGCAGTACCTTTCACCTCATAAGGTAATCTTCCTCTCAGGCAGTATATTATGAGGTACAATTCAAGTATTTTTTAGTCTGGTGGGAAGAATGGAAAGACTTTCAGTAACCTGTTTATACGAGGGTTGAATGAAAAGTAGTCTCCACCGTCGTAACTCAACAGATGGCAGTACTGGTATGCAGCAAGTACAGGCTTGTTCAGTACTCTCCTTTACAGTTCCATTTTGGTGGGAAGCCTTAGCATTGAATGAAGTGCGAAATATGGAACCCTGCACAGACGGTCAGTCAATGTGACTTAAGCAACGTGCAGTCATTGAATTCTTGACAGCAGATTCATCAGAGAACGCAAGCTGTGTAGATGTGAGTACTGTGCATCATTGGGCGAGTAAGTTTAAAGATGTTGAGGTGACACCTTCTGCTGTCAAGAATTCAGTGACTGCATGTTGCTTAAGTCGCATTGACCGACCATCTGCGCTGGGTTGCATTAATTTCCACTTTAACAACACAACCGTTCAATGCTAAGGCTTCCTGCCAAAATGGAACTGTAGAGGAGAGTCTACTGAACAAGCCAGTACCTGCCCCATACCAGTACTGCCATCTGTTGAGGAGTTACAACTGTTGAATGCTAAGGCTTCCTGCCAAAATGGAACTGTAGAGGAGAGTCTACCGAACAAGCCAGTACCTGCTGCATACCAGTACTGCCATCTGTTGAGGAGTTACGAAGGTGGAGGCATTACTTTTCATTCAACCCTCGTGTATATATATGTTCCCTTTCTTAAAACATCCCTCTTCTATAATCAGAAGCAGCAGACACAGCCATGGAGGAAGCAGACACAGTGGATGCCGGGGCCAGCAGCACAAATATTGCGGTGACGGTTCCGCTCAGCAGCCACATCCTAACAGCACTGCGAGAGAAGGCAGCACCTGAACTTGGCTTAGACAGCCAAGACCTAGAGGTGGGCCTCAACACCCTTCATTTTTTTTGTTCGGGCCAACCAGCTCTACCGTGAGGTCGTGTAGTGCGGTCGTCTCAGGCAGTTCGACCTCAGGGCATTTTGATTCCCGTCAGCTCAATATGCTCATAATAATAATAATAATAATAGTAAAAATAATAATATACTTCATTGCATTTTCGGTGAACTTTCTAATATTTTCACAAACCCCAATGACATCTAGACATTTGATAATCCAACAATGTGGCAATGAATCAAATGCTTTTTTGTAATCAATCCAAGTTGTATAGAGGTTTGTTTTGCGAACTGCAAAGACTCTGGCATAAGCCGGTCAAGGTGGTCCCAGTGGTAATCAGCACACTGGGCGCAGTGCCTCAAGACCTTGTTCTGTACTTAAAAACAATTGGCGCTGACAAAATTACCATCTGCCAGCTGCAGAAGGCCACCTTACTGGGATCTGCACACTTCATTTGCCAATACATCACCCAGTCCTAGACACTTGGGAAGTGTCCGATGTGTGATCCAATACAACAGCCAGCAGTGTCTGATGTGGACTCATTTGCTGTTTTTCAAATAATAATATGCTTTATTTATATTCGGCCCTATCTCCCTGAGGGGACTCAAGGCGGATTACAGTACACATGTACAGCAAATATTCAATGTCGACTATACAGTAATCCCTCGCTACTTTGCTGTTCGCTTTTTGCGGACTCACTGTTTTGAGGTTTTTCAGGAGCCGGCTGGAAATTGAAGAAAATCAGTTCATGATGGAAGAGAGGAGGAAGCCTCAAATGTATAATATATTGTATATACATATAATATTTATAATATTATAATGTAATGAAATATACTACTAATATATTATAATTATATAGTTATATTACATGTAATATTACAATATAATGGTATAGTACAACATAGTAATATTTAATACTGATATTGAACTATGCTAATAATATAATATATATTGTGTGTGTGTGTGTATGTATGTATGTATGTATGTATCTATATAGATAGATAGATAGATAGATAGATAGATAGATAGATAGATAGATAGTAAGCCGCTTTGAGTCCCCTTCGGGGTGAGAAGGGCAGCATATAAATGTCATAAATAAATAAATGACAACTTTTGTCCAAAAACAAAATGGCTCCCTAAGCTTCCAGCAAAGGGGCCGCTCTCCATGCCCATAGAGGAAGTACCAAAGAGCGAGAAGGCGTGCTTTCCATAGAAGGAAGCTGGCTGGCATGCGAGCACGTTTGCAGCACACACGCATATACATGCGACAAATAGGCTGGAGGAAGAAGGGTTAGATTGTGTATGCGCCAATGAAGAACGACTCTCTCAGCCAATTGAAAATGGAGGGGCGCCGCTAGCTTTGAAAGGGACAGTGGCCTCGATGCCTCCTGGAACGTAACACCCACGATAAGTGAGGGAACACTGGTACAATTAAAGACAGCCAGTACATAAACAGAGGCAAAGGCTTCCCCTCTTTTTCCATCTCTGGGATATGCAAGATGTGCTCGACTCCATCCAGTTTCCTATGTCCCTACTTCGCGGATTTTCACTTATCATGGGTGCCCTGGAACGTAACACCCGCGATAAGTGAGGGAACACTGTACAATTAAAGGCAGCCAGTACATAAACAGAGGCAAAGGCTTCCCATCTTTTTCCATCTCTAGAATCTGGAATCTGTGCTCAACTCCGTCCACAGTTTCCTATGTCCCTACTTCGCAGATATTCACTTACTGCAGTGTCCTGGAACGTAACACCCATGATAAGTGAGGGAACCCTGTACAATTAAAGACAGCCAGTACATAAACAGAGGCAAAGGCTTCCCCTCTTTTTCCATCTCTGGGATCTGTAAGATGTGCTCGACTCCATCCACAGTTTCCTATGTCCCTACTTCGTGGATTTTCACTTATTGCGGGTGTCCCGGAAGTAACACCTGCGATAAGTGAGGGAACTCTGTACAATTAAAGACAGCCAGTACATAACCAGAGACAAAGGCTTCCCCTCTTTTTCCATCTCTGGGATCTGTAAGATGTGCTCGACTCCATCCACAGTTTCCTATGTCCCTACTTTGCGGATTTTCACTTATCGCAGGTGCCCTGGAATGTAACACCCGCGATAAGTGAGGGAACTCTGTACAATTAAAGACAGCCAGTACATAAACAGAGGCAAAGGCTTCCCATCTTTTTCAATCTCCGGTATACAGAGGCTGTGCTCGACTCCGTCCACAGGGGGATACTGTTACTCCATCTTCCATGTCGAGGAGCTTTGTTGTCTTCAGACGCTCTCCTGATTGACTTGCCGGCATGTTCTTATGGGCGCCTTTTATTGCCCCCATCAAAGCAGTCCTTATTTATCTACTCGCGTTACTGTTTCAATCTGCTAGGCGCGCAGAAGCTGGGCTGACAGGTGGAAACTCACCCCAGCCTGGGCTTGAACTGTCCACCTTTCAATCGGCAAGATATCTGCAGCTGGTGGTTTAACCTGCTGTGCTAAAGCCCGGCCCTGATGATCATGATGCAGTAGGTTGCATGAAGGTGAATGGTATCAAACCTCATAAAGCTGTCTTTTCAGCACTATCAAATGAGTGATGAGCTTCTCTTTTGTTCTCCATTGCAGCTGGTTTACAAAGAAGACCCAGACGTTTTAGCTCAAGCCCTGAGCTGGGAGAAGGCAAAAGTCCTCGCCTTACAAGAGGCCTGTGAGCAAGAGCTTTCGAGGCGCCTGCAGCAAGTCCAGGCCTTGCATTCCTTGAGGAGCCTCTCCAAGGGAAAGAAGAAGCTGCCGTGGGGGGAATGGCTGAGCTCCAAGCGGAAGAAATGAGGGCCCGGACACCCAAAACAATAGGCTGGTGCTTGGAGGAGGCGTGTTTTTCCTCCACATTCAAGGAGTAAGGACTGAATATAAGAGCTGGACTTCATTCCACCAAGTCTGAAGCATCTCGCAATAGCCAAACGTTGTTTTTCCACATTGCCAGCTTTCAGTCAGGACTAAGGAAAAGGGATACTTTGGCACTGAAATTGGAATAACGAAGTACAAAGAAACGAGACAGTATCTTTGGTACTCATGGGTCAATCCGCTGCATTTATTGCTGCTGTTTCAAAGTCAATTGCTTTGGGGTTTGTTTACTTTTGGGTCTAAACTCCTCTTGCCTTATCTCATGGTTTTCTGTAATGTTTATTACCATGCATTTAGGTCTAACTATCATCAATGTCCTGCGTTTCAATGCCACGTCTGCAAAGTAGGCCCAAGAGATAACTCTGCTTTTTTTTTTTGCCTTCGGAAAGAACTCTCATTTTATTTTCAAGGGCCACACTTCTCTCAGGGATAGTCTGCCAGCAACTTGCAATCCAGAAACAAGCAAAGTACATTTCCTCTCTCCGTGTCATCTCCTTTTCTCCCTTTCTTCACTCAGTTTCTAATAAAATTGATTATGTGTTTGATTAAATCTGAATTTTCTGAGCATTTTGCCTGTCTAATGAGATTTTTTAAAGTTCTAATGATGGTTTAAGATGGCTGCAGCATCATGCGACTATTACCGTTCTTTCGACCCAATAAACAGACTGCCTCAGGGGAGTGTGTTTGCTCCATCAATGTTTAACATTTACACAAATGACCAGCCACTCCCAGAAAAGACAGAGAGTTTCATCTATGCTGATGATGGTGTCATCATCGCCCAAGCAGGGAGCTTTGAAAGGGTTGAACAGAAGCTCTCCAAAGCTTGAGGTGCTCTTACTGCCTATTACAGAGAAAGCCAGATGATTCCTACTCCATCTAAAACACAGATGTGTGCTTTTCACCTTAAGAACAGACAGACACCTTGAGCCCTGATGATTACTTGGGAAGGAATCCCATTGGACCATTGCAGCACATTTTATTTATTTGTTTATGGCATTTATATGCCACCCTTCTCACCCCGAAGGGGACTCAGAGCGGCTTACAATATATATTTTCATACAATATATTATATTATTAGCGTAGTACAATATCAGTATTATATATTACTATATTGCACTATACCATTATATTGTAATATTATTAGTAATATTACATGTAATGTAAATATTTAATTATAATTTAATATTGTATCATTATTACTAGTATTATAATGTATTACATTATAATATAAATACCTGGGAGTCACTCTGGACTATGCTCTGACTTATAAGAAGCACTGCTTGAATATCAAGCAAAAATTGAGTGCTAGAAATAATATTGTACGAAAATGGATTGGCACATACTGGGGATCACAACCACACACAGTGAAGGCATCTGCCCTTGTGCTTTGCTACTCTGCTGCTGAGTACATATGCTCCGTGGACACATCTCACCATGTTAAAACAGTGGATGTGGAAGTTAATGAGACATGCCTCATTATTACAGGATGTCTACGCCCGACACCGCTGGAGAAATTACACTGTTTAGCCAGTATCACACTACCTGACATTCGCCAGGAAGTAGCAGCCAATAATGAAAGGACCAAGGCAGTAACATCTCCGGCCCATCCTCTGTTCGGATATCAGGCAGCATGGCAATGCATTAAATCAAGAAACAGGTTCCTAAGATCTACAGGGATACTCACAGGAACACCTCAGAAAGCGAGAGTCCAAAAGTGGCAGGCTAAAATCCAAAACCTCATTCAGTGGCTGAGACCAGAAGAGAAACTCCCTCCTGGGCACACAGAAGACTGGAAAGACGCTGAACAGACTACGCTCTGGCACCACGAAGTGCAGAGCCAATCTTAAGAAATGGGGCTACGAAGTGGAGTCCATGACATGTGAGTGTGGAGAAGAGCAAACCACAGACCACTGTCTACAATGCAGTCTGTGACCCTCCACATGCACAATGGGAGACCTTCTTATAGCGACACCAGAGGCACTCCATGTGGTCAAAGGAAATTCAGTATAATGTCAAGTTTTTAACTTTATGGTTTTGTAAAATACCGTATATACTCGAGTATAAGCCGACCTGAATATAAGCCGAGGCCCTTAATTTTACCACAAAAAACTGGGAAAACAGATTGACTTGAGTATAAGCCCAGGATGAGAAATGCAACAGATACTGGTAAATTTCAAAATAAAAATAGATACCAATAAAATTATATTAATTGAGGCATCAGGAGATTAAATGTTTTTGAATATTTACATAAAACTGTAATTTTTACATGAAACTTGCATACCCTTCCAATAAAAATAAATAGAGTAAAATAATAAATATAATAATAATAATACATTTATTACGTATTTATAACAAATAATAAATAACCTTGACTCGAGTATAAGCCGAGAGGGACTTTTTTAGTCCAAAAAAAGGTCTGGAAAACTAGGCTTATACTCAAGTACATTATAACTGGAATCTCAATTTGCTTCTGACATGATAAATGACATACCCAATGAATTATTAAATCACGCTTGCAAATAGAATATTTCTTTAATCCTGCGACTCATTAAATGTTTTCTGTTACTGCGTAAACCTCGGGCTACTCACTGATCTACTGACCTTCTTAAGCCTCTAGCATGCTTTGAAATGGGGATAAAACAAGTCCTGGAGATTAAATGCAGCTTATACTGGCCCTAAAAAAAGTGAAAAAGGATGAAATATTAAAATATTTACACCAATTTTATTACAAATTTTTGGGTGGTAGGCAGAAGTTGCACAACCAGGTTGGGAGCCACAGTCATAAGTTTTTCCTTCGACCCAATTCGCATACAAACTGATATAATCACAAATTTGCTAGCACCCATTTAGGCCAGGAAGAAGCCTCTCAGGGGCATGAAATAAAATGTTGTCAAGGAAGCAACAAAAACACAGCACAAAGATTATGTATTGCACAGTCACGTTATTTATTTCAGCGTTGTTAAAGGCTGATGTGCCAGAAGACAACCTCAACACGGGCAAAGAGTGAAGAAAGACAAAGGTGGAATGCCACATTGTTTTGGCTGAATCGAGAAAGCCAAACTGGGACTATGAAACTGAATGCGGACGCTCTTCTCTTGCCCTGTGAGTGCAACAGGAAGTCATCTTGAAGCAGGCATGGGCAAACTTCAGCCCTCTGGATTTCAGCTTCCACAATCCCTAACCGCCTAGGAATTAGGAAAGTCCAAAACACCTGGAGGGCCAAAGTTTGCCTATGCCTGCTTGAAAGTATCTAGGTTTCAACGTCGATTACAGGTATGGGCAAACCCAGGCCTGGAGGCCGGATGCAGCCCCCTGGGATCTTTTCTCAAGCCCTCCTCTCTCACACCAACCTTTCCTTTCTTCCTTTCCTTCCTCCTTCCCTTTCTTTTTTCCTTCCATACTTTCCTGCCTTCCACCCTTTTGTTTTTCCTTCCTTCCTTCCCTCCTTCCACCCTTCCTTTCTTTACTTGTCTTTCTCCTTCCCTCCCTTTCTCCTTCCATACTTTCCTGCCTTCCCTTTCTCTTTCTTCCTTCCCTTCCCTCCTCCTTCCTCCTTTTCTCTTCTCCTTCCCTCCTTTTCCTTCCTTATCTTTTCCTTCCACCCTTTCCTCTTTCCTTCTTTCCCTCCCTCCTTCCACCCTTCTTTCCTTTCCTTCTCTTCTTTCTTTCCCTCCCTTTCTCCTTCCATACTTTCCTGCCTTCCACCCTTTCATCTTTCCTTCCTTCCTTCCTCCTCCTTTCCCCCTTGTCCTTTCTCTCTTTCCCCTCTTCTCCCCCTCACTTCCTTCCTTCCACCCTCCCTTCCTTTCCTCCCTCCCTTTCCACCCTTCCTTTCCTTTCCTTTCTCTTCCCTCCCTCTTTCTCCTTCCATCTTTCCTTCCTTCCACCTTTCTCCTTTCTTTCCTCCTTTCCCTCATTTCTTTCCTTCTCTTCCCTCTCTTCCTTCCCCCTCACTTCCTCCATTACCTTCCCCTTCCTTCCCACTTTATCCTTCCTTTTTTCTTTCTCCTTCCTCTTCCTCCTCCCTCCTTCCCTTCCACCTCCCTTTCTTCCCTCCCTCCCTCCTGCCGCCCTTTCGTCCTTCCTTCCCTTTCCTCCCTCCCTCCCTCTTCCCTTCCACCCTTCCTTCCCCCTTCCCTTTCTTTCCCCTTTCCTTCCACCTTTTCATCCTTCCCTCTTCCTCCCTCCACTCCCTCCCTCCATTCCCTTCCATCCTTCCTCTTTCCTTCCCTCCCTTCCTTGCTTCTTCCCTCCCTCCCTCCTTCCACCCTTTCATCCCTCTTTCCTCCTGGGGGATGTTTATCTGGGAGAAGAGAAGGTAGAGAGGGAACATGAGAACCAAGTTTCACGCTTTCAAAGGGTGTCCCAAAGAGAAGGAGCAGGAGGAGGGAAACCGACTTCCTGCTGCTCTAGAGACCAGGACACAAGGGAGCCATGGGTTCCACTGAAAAGATTAGGAAGAATATTCTGGAGAGTGGCATTGGCTGCTTGGGAGTGTGATGGAGTCTCCTTCTCTGGAGGATTTTCCACAGAGACTGTCTATTGGGAGTGCTTTGGTTGTGCCTTCTTGCATGGCAGGGGGTTGGACTGGATGGCCCTTGGGGGTCTCTTCCAGCTCAAGGTTTCTATATCAGGACTAGTCAATATGGGGTCTCATGGAGACACTTCTTCTCTCCCGTCCATCATCTCATCCTGACCAAGACAAACCCTTTTGGGATCCACACGTTGACTTTCTGCCTCCAAAAGAGAAGAGGAAAGGCAGGGAAGGGCAGTGAGGGGGCTTGGGGAGAACCCTCTCCTTCACAGCCCTCCACGTGGCCCCCAATTTAGAAAGTTTGCCCATGCCTGGTCTACTATCAACAACAAGAACAAAAATAAGAGAAATCTAATCAGGCAGCAACGCTGACGCCCAAGGAGAGCCATCACTGACCCTTTGGTCTCGAGTCCACTGGTGTGATGGAAATGATTTATTTTTAGCAGGAGGAGAAGGTCTTCCAGAAGAAGTTCTTGCAAGGGGCCTTTTCCCGCGCCGGGTGCCGAAAGAAGGGCGCCCGCTCTTCCCGAGGGCTGTGCACCACCTTCTCCTGCCTTGCCCCACGCCTGTGGGAGGCCCGGTCCGCCATCCCAGACAGAAAAGCAAGCAGCTCATCCCTTCCTATGTCTGCCGATCCCTGAAGGTTAAGACAAAAACAATAGGGAGAATCCAAAGTTATGGTTTGGAACAGTACTATCATCTGAAATAAGGCAGGGTTGCTGTGAGTTTCCCAGGCTGCATGGCAATGCTCCAGAAGCATTCTCTCCTGACATTTCACCCACACCTATGGCAGGCATCCTCAGAGGTTGTGAGATTTGTTGGAAACTAGGAAAGGGAGGTTTATATATCTGTGGAATAATGTTCAGGGTGCCTCAAACAGACTTGAGTTCTTTCTCCCACCCTGGACATGTATATATTTAGGATATTTATATGCCGCCCTTCTCACCCCGAAGGGGACTCAGAGCGGCTTACAAGTAAAAAGTAAATACAATATATTATATTATTATCATAGAACAATATTAATATAATATTATATATTACAATGTACTATAACATTATACTGTAATATTATTAGTAATATTACATTTAATATAAAATATTTATAGTATCATATTATTATTAGTAATAGTAGTATATTGTATTACATTATAATATTATCAATATTATATGTATATACAATATACTATACTATACTATACTATACTATACTATACTATATTATACTAGGGGTCCCCTGCCAGGCGTTGCTGTGGCCCAGTCTGGTGATCTGGAAAATAAAGTCATGAGAAAGTGTTGGTTTCTAATATATGTAATGTCTTTATGCTTGTGGGTAAACAGTATTTCTTGCTGTTTATTTGTCAGTGTTGATGTGGAGATTGTCTGGTCTGCCTATTCTGGAACACACAACATATCATTGTCCTTCTTTAGGGGTCCCTTTCAAATCTTTGATACTGCATCTGTTATATACATATGTGTGTGTGTGTGAATGGCTGGATGGCCCTTTGTCAGGAGGGCTTTGATTATGTTTTCTTGGCCTGGTGAAGGGAGTTGGACTGGATGGCCTTAACTATTTTCTACCTGGGAGGTCAAGACCCCCGGGGGGGGGGGAGGTCACCAGGGGGGTGTCAGAAGGGTCACCAAAGACCACCAGAAAACACAGTATTTTCTGTTGGTCATGAGGGTTCTGTGTGGGAAGTTTGCCCAAATTCTGTCGTTGGTGGTTCAGAATGCTCTTTGATTGTAGGTGAACTATAAATCCCAGTAACTACAACTCCCAAATGTCAAGGTCTATTTTCCCCAAACTCCATCTGCGTTTATATTTGGGCATATGACATAATCGTGCCAAGTTTGGTCCAGATCCATCATTGTTTGAGTCCACAGTGCTCTCTAGATGTAAGTGAACTACAACTCCAAAACTCAAGGTCAATGCCCACCAAACCCTTCTAGTGTTTTCTGTTGGCTGTGTGGCAAGTTTGATTAAATTCCATCGTTGGTGGAGTTCAGAGTGCTCTTTGATTATAGGTGAACTATAAATTCCAGCAACTACAACTCCCAAATGACAAAATCATATTTTTTGTGTGTGTGATAGTCACTCTTTGTGTTGTGAGACGTTTTGTTTCCAAATTTGGTGTGATTGTGTTCATTGGTTCTTTTGTTTTTAAGGTACTCATTACGCACAGAGTATTTATATATATATATAGAAGATTATTATAAGCACAGTGCAGGAGACAAGATGGAACTGCCTTCCTGGCCCCTCTCTTCACTCTGATCTCAGAGCAGCGGTTGGTGCTAGAGAGGCCAGGAAGATTACTCCATTAGTAATAGTAATAGACATTACTCCACAGATATATAAACCCCATTTTCCTAGTTTCCAACAGACCTCACAGCCTCTGAGGATGCCTGCCATAGATGTGGGCGAAACATCAGGAGAGAATGCTTCCGGAACAAGGCCAGACAGCCTGGAAAACACACAGCAACCTGATGCAGAAATGGTTACGAGTATTGTTTTGAGGCTAAATAAATTCAGCTATAGAAAGTATGAATTGGAGTGAGTTCTGAGAACTCACTCTAAATCGTTATTGAAGAACTTGTCCTTGGACCTCCATTGTATATGTAGCAGTATTAAAAAAAACACACACACACACCAAAGCTGCTCATCTATCAATATAATTGAATGCCGTTATAGATTTTCAAAAGGGTCGTTAAAAGGAGTCATTTTCAGAGTTTCTCGACTCCTGAGCGGCTGATTTACCGTACTCTCTCTTGAAAAAGATCCAAGAACCAGTACATAAAATCCTCCATTAAAAATATATTTTTCTTCCAAATTATTACATGAAGTGCGGCATGGCAGCCTGATGGTTTTTTAGCTGATCGCCTTGCCTTTGTCATCATTTTTAATGAGTGCGTTTGAACTAAATGGAGAAGATTGGAATTGTTCTTAAAAGGCATCCATGCGCCAAGGCTTTTCAATATATTTTATCAAACGGAATGGAGCTATAAAGCCCAGGGTGGGAGGAAGAACTCTTTTCTGCTTGAGACAATGTTGCAATTGGCCACACAAATGGCCTTGCAGCTTCAAAGCCTGGCTGCTTCCTGCCTGGGGGGAAATCCTTTGTTTGGGGGTGTTAGTTGGCCCGGATTGATTCTTGTCTGGAATTCTCCAGATAGTGAGGTTTATATATCTGTGGAATGATGTCCAGGGTGGGAGAAAGAACTCTTGCCTGTTTGAGGCAAGGATGAATGTTGCAATTGGCCACCTTGATTAGCACCGAAAAGACTTGCAGCTTCAAAGCCTGGCTGCTTCCTGCTTGGGGGGATCCTTTGTTGGGAGGTGTTAGCTGACCCTGAATATTTCCTGTCTGGGGTTCTCTTTTTTCAGAGTGGTGTTCTTTATTTACTGTCTCAATTCTGGTGTTTTTTAATATTGTTAGTGCCTGGGGGAATCCTTTGTTGAGAGGTGATTAGCTGGCTCTGATTGAGTCTTGTCTGGAATTCCCCAGTTTTCTGAGTATTGCTCTTTCTTTACTTCCCTTATTTTATAGTTTTTTAAATACCAGTAGCCAGATTTTGTTCGTTTTCATGGTTTCCTGTTGAAATTGTCCACATGTCTGTGGTTTTCAATGGCTTCTCTGTGTAGTTTGACAAGAATCAATTCCAGCCAGGAAACAATCAGGGCCAGCTAACACCTCCCAACAAAGGATTGCCCCACATACATATACAAATAGTGCAACATTTTTTTTAAAAAAAAAAAAACTTTTGGAATCACGAAGAGGCATAACATTAAACTAATGTACCCACTTACCTGAGAAGCAGCCCCATTGAAAACAGTGGGACCTATTTGAGGGTAAACGGCCATTGGACTGTGCTGCAGATTAAAATAGAAAATATGCTTTAATAGTCTTTTGAATAACCAGAATCAAAACAATCCTTTTTTTTAAAAAAAAAAACCTTCTAAAGCATGTCACTATTTCATATCTGCCCAAATTAAATATTTTTGTATTGTCAAAGGCTTTCATGGCCGGAATCACTGGGTTGTTGTAGGTTTTTTTTTTTGAGCTATAGTTATTGTGTTTGTATTGTCAAAGGCTTTCATGGCCGGAATCACTGGGTTGTTGTAGGTTTTTCGGGCTATATGGCCATGTTCTAGAGGCATTCTCTCCTGAAGTTTCGCCTGCATCTATGGCAAGCATCCTCAGAGGTAGTGAGGTCCTCAGAGAGCCAGTTTCCTGCAATCTCCTTGAAGCCCATGATCATGATGATGATAATTCTGTAAAGTTTTTGCGGCTCCTTTCGAACCTAACAATACTCTATTATTATTATTATTATTATTATTATTATTATTATTATTATTATTATTTTAATGTTTTTGCTGCTGTAAACTAACACCCCTTTGGATGATGATGATGATAATAATAATAATAATAATAATAATAATAATAATAATAATTACTATTTTCTGTATCAGGAGCAGCTTGAGAAATTGCAAGTCACTTCTGGTGTGAGAAAATTGGCCATCTACAATAATAGTAATAATAATAATAACAATAATAATGATTCAATGTATTGTCGAAGGCTTTCATGGAATCACTTAGTTCTTGTGGGTTTTTTCGGGCTATATGGCCATGTTCTAGAGGCATTTCTCCTGACGTTTCGCCTGCATCTATGGCAAGCATCCTCAGAGACCCCTTTGGAAATAATAGTAGTAGTAGTAATTATTATTATTATTTAACATTTTTCCTGCTGTAGACTGATACGCCTTTGGAAAATAATAATAATAGTAATAACAACAACACTTTTAATGTTTTTGCTGCTGTAGACAAATACTCCTTTGGAAAAGAATAACAACAATAAAATAATAACAATAATAATACTTTTCAATTTTTTGCTGCTGTAGACTAACAGATACCCCTTTGGATAATGATGATAAGGATTATTATTATTATTATTTAACATTTTTCCTGCTGTAGACAGATACCCCTTTGGATAATGATGATAACGATTATAATTATTATTATTGTTTAATGTTTTTGCTGCTGTAGACTAACAGATAGCCCTTTGGATAATGATGATCAGGATTATTATTATTATTGACACAAAAGCACAGTATGTCACAGCAAACGAGATCTATATGCTGGATTATTATTATTATTATTATTATTATTATTATTATTTAACGTTTTTGCTGCTGCAGACTAACAGATACCCCTTTGGAAAATAATAATAATAACAACAACAACAACAACAACAACAACAACAACAATTCTTATTAACCTTTTTAATATATATAAATATTGACTTACCTCGCTGTGTTTCCAAACAGGACCCTCTGGGATCGGAAGCACGGCAGCTGGTGCGGCCCTCATGCCCCCGGAGAAGGAGAGGAGCGCCAGGAGGAAGGGAGCGGACGGAGGAGGATGCACAAGGATTGCCATCTGGTTGGACTCTGCCACAAGCTACACCTGTTTGCCAATTATATTTTGTACTTCCCCCCCTCAAAAGGATCCCCCCTCCTCTTTCATGTCACCACTACCACTCTATTCTCCCCCATCACCACCACTTTCCAAACTTAAGCAATGACGCACGAACAAGGCCGCAATTAAGCCCCCAAATTGTGCTTCTCCTGTGGCTTTAACCCTTAATTAGAGCCTCTGGGTGCCGATGCCATTAAAGTACATTTACTGTTAATTTAAGTCGCATGTGGCTTTTCATGTGCCACAGCAAAAACACAAAACAAAGGCCCTCCAAAACCTCATTTCCTCGCCATTATTCCCAGTAATGATCTGCCCGCTTTGAGTACAAAACAGGGTGATTTTTTTTTGCAACAGATGATTCATGATGCGAGGTTTTGCCCGACAGAATTTGCAGCCGCCAGGGCCTCAAGATAGACAAGTGTTGCTTCTGTGGACACATTTCCGACGTCGGAAATAAGTTCAGGATTTTTTTTTACAAATCATCGTTTTCAAACTTCATAAAAGAGTTCTAACTATATCCCCAAGGGCAATTCAATCTGAAACGATTCCAGTGACTGAGAAAAGAATATATTCGAGCTTAATGGCATAATTGTAAACAAAAGTGCTTCTTGCAACAATGCGGGGCATTGTTGCAGCGCATTTTTATTTCGAATAGATATTGAAAACTAATGTGTCAGAAGAAGTAAGGCAGAAGCTCATGTCCTCTCAAACCACCAGAATTTAAAATTTTCTTATGGCAAAGAGAAATGCAAAAAGGCAGGGCCTCAACCATCTACACCAGGCGTGGGCAAACTTTCTAACTTAGGGTCCGCATGCTAGCACTCCCTGCTAAGACTGGCTGCCCAGTGATGGATGGAAGGAAGGGAAGGAGGAAGTAAAAAGAGAGAGAGAAGGAAAGACAAAAGGGAAAGAAGGTCGAAAGGGTGGAAGGAAGGGAGGGAGGATGAAAGGGAAGGATGGAAGGAGAAAGAAGAGGAGGGGAGGGAGGGAGGAAGGAGGAAAGAGAGAGAGAAGGAAGAAAAGATGAAAAGGAAGGAAGGTCAAAAGGGAGGAAGGAAGGATGAAAGTGAAGAAGGGAAGGCTAAAGGAAAAAGACTGCAAGAGGGCAGGAGGGAAGGAAGCAAGAAGGAAGGAAAGACAGAAGAGAAGGATAAAAGGCTGGAAGGGAAGGATAAAGCAATGAGAAAAGGAAGGAAAGACAAAAGGAAAAGAAGGAGATAGAGGGAGAACGGGAGGAAAAAGGAAGGAAGGAAGGAAGAAAGGACGAAAGGGAAGAAGAAAGGTGTGGAAGGAAGGAAGGATAAAGGAAAGAGAGAAGGAAGGAAGACAAAGGGAAGGAAGGAAGGAGAAAGAGAAAGAGGGAGAGGGAGAAGAAGGAAGGACAAAAGAGTGGAAGGGAAGGATGGAGGAGAGAAAAGGAGGGAAGGGAGGAAGGAAAGAGAAGGAAGGAAGGATGAAAGGGGAAAGGGAAAGGATGAAAGGGAGAGAAAGAGGGAGGAAGGGAAGGAAGAAGGAAGAGAGAAGGAAGGAAAGAAGAAAGAAGGAAGGGAAAGGAGGAGGGAAGGGAAGGAGGAAAGAGGGGGAGGGGGGAGGAAGGAAAGACAAAAGGGGGGAAGGAAAGAAAGAGGAAGAAAAGGATGGAAGGAAAGGGAAAGGGAGGAAAAAGAAGGAAAAAAGGTGAAGGAATGGTGGAAGGGAGAAAGAGGGAGGGGAGGAAGGAAAGAGAGAAGGAAAAAAGACAAAAAAGGAAGGGAGGAGGGAGGAGGGAGGAGGGGAGGGAGGGAGGGAGGGAGGAGGGAGGAAGGAAGGAAGGAAGGAAGGAAGGAAGGAAGGAAGGAAGGAAGGAAGGAAGGAGAAAGAGGAATAGAGGGAAGGAAGGACGGACAAAATGGTGGAAGGGAAGGAAGGAGGGAGAAAGATGATGGTAAAGAAGGCCAGGAGGGAGGGAAGGAGGAAGAAAAGAGAGGAAGGAAGGATGAAAGGGTGGATGGGAAGGAGAGAGAGGGAGGAAGGAAAGAGAGAAGCATAGGATGGTGAGAGAGAGAAGAGCCTGAGAAAAGAGCCCAATGGGCCGCATCCCCAAAACAAAGATGAAACAGTTAAAGACCAGAATAACAAGGACGTTTATAGAAAGCGCAACAAATAAACAGAACTGTATGTAGGACAAAACAGAACGTTGCAACTTACATCCGATAAGGAAACAAACACAAAACATTGCCATTTCCTTCCATTTCTTACAGGACTGGTAAGAAAATGCTCTCTACTAGAAGTATAAGTGAGTTTTTTCCATCATCAGTAGATTCCCATCTGAGAGGAAACTAGAAATGTCCTGCAAACGGCTAGATTTTATGCATGTTTACTTACTAAGGTTCAGTTAAGCCATTGTATTATGATGTTGGGGTCTTTAATAAGGCCCAATAAAGATTCCTACAGGTTTATAAACAATTATCTTTATGTACAGTTTGCTCAAAGCATTCGTTGAGAAGAAACTAAACCAAGAGTGAATTGCACTGTGCTTCCTTAAAGCCAACCAACAGGCTTCCCGTGGTCGCACCACAACCCCACTGAAAATTAAACAAGACCGGTCAGGCCATGTTGGAATTCTCACTGTCAGCCGCCACTTGCTCCTCAGAGGTTCTTCTCCCTTTCTTCGAAGCAGCTTTCTTCTTCTTTTTCTCTTTTTGTTCCAGATTATTCAAAGCAAGCTCTTCACTCTTCTGGCTGATGTGCCTCAGCTAGAAATAAGAGAGAGTTGTATCAGCCATCTATGGAGGAGAGGATGGCCCAGGCAGGCAATTCGGAAACAGATGGTAACCTTCAGGCAGGCATGGGCAACTTTGGCCCGTTGGCCCTTTGGCCCAACTTTGGCCCCAGGGGTGTTTTGGGCTTCAACTCCCACAATTCCACAATTCCTGCCCTCTCTCACTCTTTCTCCTTCCAGCCATCCTTCCCTTCCTCCCTTTAGTCCTTCCTTCCTTCTCTCTTTCTTTCCTCCTTCCATTCCTTCTTTCCTTCCTTCCATGTCTTCTCCCAGCTAAACATCCCGCAGGAGGAAAGAGGAAAGAAGGAAGGAAGGAAAGAAGGGAGGGAAGGGAGAATGAAGGAAAGACAAAAGGGAAGGAGGGAAGAGAAGGATGAAAGAAAGGATGGGGTGGAAGGGAATGGAGGGAGAAAGAGAGAAGGAGGAGGGAGAGGAAGGGAAGGGAGGAAAGAGGGAAGGAAGGACGAAAGGGGGAAGAAGGAGGGAGAAAGAGGGAGGTAAGGAAGAAAGGGAGGGAGGGAGGGAGGAAGAAGGAGGGAAGGAGAAGAAAAGGAGAAGGGAAGGAAGGGAGAGGAAGGAAAGAAAGAAGGAACGGAGAAGGAAAGAAGGGAGGAGGGAAGGAGGAGTAAGGAAGAATGGAAGGAAGGGTGGGAGGTAATAGAGGGAGGGAGGAGGGAAAGAGGGAAGGAAGGAGGGAGGGAGAAAGAGAGAGGTAAGGAAGGGTGGGAGGGAGGAAGAAAAGAGAAGGGAGGGAGGGAGGGAAGAAGGAAGGAAAGACACAAGAAAGAAGAAAAAAGAGGGAGAGAGGTAAGGAGGGAGGGAGGAAAGAAGAAAGAAAGGAGAAAGAGGGAGCGAGGGAAGCAAAGAGAGAAGGATGGCTGTATGGAAGGAAAGAAAGGATGGAAGGAGAAAGAGGGAGTTAAGAAAAGAAGTGAGGGAAGGAGGAAGGAAAGAAAAAGAAGGAAGAGAAGAAAGGAAGGAAGGGAATGGAGGGAGGGGGGAAAGAGAAAAGGAAGGAGAAAGGGATGAAAGGGTGGAAGGGAAGTATGGAAGGAGAAAGAGGGAGGTAAGGAAGGGAGGGAGGAGGAAGGAAAGAGAGAAGGAAAGAAGAGAGAATGGGGATGGTGTGAGAGAGGAAGGCCTGAGAAGAGTCCCAGGGGCTGCATTTGGCCCGCGGGCCTGGGTTTGCCCATATCTGTAGCAGACAATCACACCTAGATACTCTAAAGCAGGCATAGGCAAATTTCAACCCTCCAGGTGTTTTGGACTTCCAAAATTCCTAGGCTGTTAGGAATTGTGGAAGTTGAAGTCCGACGTACCCAGAGTCGTGAAGTTTGCCATAGCTGCTCTAAGGCTATTGTGAGCTGAATGGGGCTGAGAGTATGTGACTTAATCACAGTCTCCCACTGGGTTTCACGGCCAAGTGGGGAACCGAACCCTGGTCTTCAAAGCCATAGTTTGACACTTGACATCAAAACACACCCATTTCTAACACCAGAAATAAACTTCTTTGGGCCCCCCACACCCACCAAAATTGCCCGCTTCCTGCGTGAGTCATTTGTGATACACAAGTGATGACAAATCCAAAAGGCTCTCGGTGGTACGGCCTGTAGGCAAGTCTTGCTTTGGCACAGTCCAGTGAGCGTGTGAAGAAATCTGTTCTAAATCTACTGACTATAGTCAGGCGATACTTCCACCTGTAGTGACATAACTAGTAGCAGGATGGCGTTGGAATTAAGCCCTCTGACTTAGTGAAAAATAGTTTATTATGATTCTAAAGGCAAGCAAGTCTGTGGTGTCCCATTCTGCAATTTGGTGGCACCTAGAACTTGTGACATGCCTTTTAAAAACATAGGAGTGGCCCCAAAGATTAACGAGTTAATGCCATTAGGAGTGTATGTCTTTTATAGAAATACATTTTAGTATATGTGTTCGTATAATTTTTGCAATTTTGTGTTTTGACTGTGCTGTGACTCGCCTCAAGCCATGAAGAGAGGCAGGTAATAAATACTATTATAATTATGATTATTGGGTGCAGTGGGTTAAACCGCTGATCTGCTGAACTTGCTGACTGAAAGGTCAGTGGTTCAAATCCGGTGAGCAGGAGTAAGCTCCCACTGTTAACCCCAGCTTCTGCGAACCTAGCAGTTCGAAAAGATGCAAATGTGTGTAGATCAATAGGTACTGCCTTGGTGGGAACATAACGGCGCGCCATGCAGTCATGCTGGCCACATGACCTTGGAGGTGTCCATGGACAATGCTGGCTCTTTGGCTTAGAAATGGAGATGAGCACCAACCCCCAGAGTCGGTCTCGACTAGACTTAATGTCAAGGGCAAACCTTTATCTTTACTTATGATATATATAATATAATATAGATAATTTTGTATTTATATAAATAAAAATGTAATGTTCGTTTGTGGGATTGACATAACTCAAAAACCAATGGACGAATTGACACCAAATTTGGACACAAGACACCCATCAGGCCAACAAGTGACCATCACTCATAAAAAACACCAAAAAACACAGCATAAGAGACTTAAAAAGCCAAAAAACAAAAATTACATTACAACGCATGCTCAAAACCACATATATATGCAAACACACATATATACACAACTATATACACACACACATATACACATATATACACTCAAAAACACATATACACAGACAGGGCCACAGCAACGCGTGGCAGAGGATGGCTAGTGATATTAAATATATATAAATATATATATATATATATATATATATATATATATATATATAAACATATAACATATAACATATAACAATATTTTAAATATTTTAAATATTTTAATATAAAACTGACTAGATTTAATGTCAGGGAAAAACCTTTATCTATTATTATTATTATTGTCATGTCTAAATGCTTATGGAGAGTTCACAGAATCATAGACTATTATTAGAGTTGGAAGAGACCACATGGCCCATCTAGTTCATACCCCGGCCATGCAGGAAAAGCACAATCAAAACACCCCCAACAGACGACCATCAAGCCTGTTTAAAAGCTTCCAAGGAAGGAACCTGCCATACATAAGCCAAGCCCACACACTACAAAACCAATAAAATATCATTTGTTTTGTGTTTATTGATCACTGACAATTTTAGAGCAATTTGTTATTAGCCTACTTATATGTGTGTCTTCAGTTTCCATCTGCATAAGAATACTTGCAATCGTTTGCTACAAGATTTCTCTGCTTAATGCCATTCAGAAGTTAATTGCTCTTATAATTGGGTTTTAATTTTTTTTCCTTCCAAAGTTAATTCTTATTTTATTAGGTCTGGCAACATATTCTCTTCCATTTCCAATTGATCTTCTGTCATCTGTTGGTTGCTTTTTTATTGCTCTTTGTTAAAGCATTAAGAAAGAACAAGGGAATCCGATCAGGGAATAATGATGGCAAACGACATATAACTTCCACTTATGGTTGAAGTTCAGTTACCATCATCCCTAAGCCATTAACTAGGCCAGCTAGGACTGATGGGAATTGCAATCTAAAGAGTCACAAGTTGCTCAGTCATTATAACCATGCATGCATCAACCAAAAAGAGTTTATGCTATCCTATACATAGAAAATGTATAGCTTTTCAGCTTGATATGAATAGGAAGTCCCATCACTGGTAGCCAGTACAGGTATAAGAGCGACAGTCCAATATATGGAGAACCCTATGTTTCTCTAACCAGGAATGGACAAAATTTCTAACTTTGGGGTCACATGTCAGGTCGGAGTGGGATGGGACGGAGGGGGTTCTCATTCCATGAATGAATGGAAGGAAGGGAATGGGAAAAAAGGATGGATGGATGGGAGGGAGGGAGGGAAGAAGAGAAGGAAGGATGCATGAGAGGGAGGGAAGAAGAGAAGGAAGGATGGACGGAAGCAGGGAGGGAAGAAGAGAAGGATGGACGGATGAATGGAAGAAAGAAAAGAAGGATGGATGGATGGAAGGAAGCGGGGAGGGAAGAAATGAAGGAAGGATGGATGGATGAATGGAAGTAAGGAAGGGAAGAAAAGAAGGATGGATGGAAGGAAGGGAAGGGAGAAGAGAAGGATGGATGGATGGATGGAAGGAAGCAGGGAGGGAAGAAGAGAAGGAAGGATGGACGGATGAATGGAAGGAAGAAAAGAAGGATGGATGGATGGATGGAAGGAAGCGGGGAGGGAAGAAGAGAAGGAAGGATGGACGGATGAATGGAAGGAAGGAAGGAAGGAAGGAAAGAAGGGAAGAAAAGAAGAGTGGATGGAAGGAAGGGAGGGAAGGAAGAAGGATGGATGGGAATGGAGGAAGAGAGGGAGGAAGGCAGGGAGGAAAGAAAGAAGGAAGACAAGACAAAAGAGAAGGAGGGATGTAAAGAATCAAGGAAGAAGGGAGGAAAAAGGGAATGAAGAAGGGACAAAAGGGTGGGAGAAAGAGGGAAGTAAGGGAGGGAGTGAAGGAAGGCAATAGCGAAGGGAGGGAGGGAGAGGAGGATGGAAGGGTGGAAGGGAATGGAGGGAAGGAAGGGAAAGAAGGAAAGTCAAAAGGGAAGGAGGGAGAAAGAGGTAGAGAGGGAAGGAAAGAGTGAAGGAAGGAAGGACAAAAGCGTGGAAGGGAAGAAAGGAGGGAGGAAAGAATGAGGGATGGGATAGTGAGAGAGAGGAGGGCCTGAGAAAAGAAAGCAAGGGGCCGCATACGGCCCACAGGCCTGGGTTTGCTCAAACCTCCTCTAACCACACTGACAGACTTACCTAGAGGTAATTATAATACTACTGATAATTTCTAATAATACATAATGATAATACTGTTTTATTACTGTATATTTGTGTATTTTGAGTTGTATTGTAACATTTTTAATTGTGAGCCACTTTGAGAGATAAAGCGAGATACAAATAAATAAATAAATCCACTCATCAATTCATTTTGGGCTAAACATATACCACGTTCATATTATAAAGTTGTTGGGTTTTTTGCTTGTTCCAATCATGCATTACTTGTGAGCAGACCAATTATTGATCCTACAACACAGATTCCAGTGTAGGCTCCAGGCCTTTGGCTTGAATGTCATTTATTTTCCCCAAAATTCTCAATTGTTAATGGTGCTAACAGCCAACCCAGTATAAAGAAGGGGTTATTAACTAGCACAGCTGTGAGTTCGGAGTTTAGACAAGCACAAATGTCTCCAAAAAAGATGTTCCATGTTCAATTAAGCGGCACTTGCAGCTGTTAGTTCAAGGGCGGATAACCCAGCGGCACCCGCAGCCTTTCCAAAATAGATAGCGATTTCGCAGGAGGAAGAACAGACTTGAACAGAGGCTAAAATTAGGAGAAACATGCAATATTTGAAGTTCTGGGTTTGATAAAAAAAACTGCGATGTCTGGCAGAACTTGCTTAGTATAATATATTGTTCTAGTAATATGAGAATACAATAATAAAATAATAATATACAATAATGATAATATAGTAATATAACACTAATATAATAATTATAATAATATGACATAATAATAATATAATAACAACACTTCAAAAGAGGCTAAAATGCTAAAAATAACACCATTTATCAACTAAATTAGGCCTGAGCCAACTTGGGCCCTCCAGGTGTTTTGGACTGCAACTCCCACAATTCCTAACAGCCTACCGGCTGTTAGGAATTGTGGGAGTTGCAGTCCAAAACACCTGGAGGGCCCAAGTTGGCTCAGGCCTAATTTAGTTGATAAATGGTGTTATTTTTAGCATTTTAGCCTCTTTTGAAGTGTTGTTATTATATTATTATTATGTCATATTATTATAATTATTATATTGCAGGGCCAAATTGTGGGAGTTGGAGGGCCAAAGTTTGCCCATGCCTGGTCTAGCTAGTCTCATTGGTACTAATACTAAGATGCTCTTGCACCCTTCCAAAAAAGCCAAAGTTTGCATCTCACCAATGGCCTGCTTCTTCTGGCCAAAAGCTTCACATCTTCAACATTAATCGTAGTCCGTTTTGCGTGCCTTTGAGAAGAAGCAACAGGAAAAGTGATCAAAATTCAAGACGTTTTGCAATGAAATTGGCGCTTTCATAAAAAGATACAAAAAATTTATTAAATTGCAAAAATTTTGTCTTTGAAAAACATCCTGCAGCACATTCTGCTCTATTTTTTCAATGAATGTGTCATACAGTCTCAACCAATTCATCAACATAATTCTATCGTTGGTGGGGTTCAGAATGCTCTTTGATTGTAGGTCGAATGATAAATCCCAGCAACTACAACTCTCAAATGTCAATGTCTATTTTCTCCAAACTCCACCAGTGTTCACATTTGGGCATATTGTGCATTCATGTCATTTTTGGTCCAGATTCATCTTTGAGTTCATAGTGCTCTCTGGTTGTAGGTGAACTACAACTCCAAACATCAAGGTCAATGCCCACCAAACCCTTCCAGTATTTTCTCTCAGTCATGGGAGTTTTGTGTGCCAAGTTTGGTTCAATTCCATCGTTGGTGGAGTTCAGAATGCCCTTTGACTGTAGCTGAACTATAAATCCCAGCAACTACAACTCCCAAATGTCAAGCTCTATCTCCCACAAACTCCAGCAGTGTTCACATTTGGGCATATTGAGTTTGGTCCAGATCCATCATTGTTTGAGTCCACAGTGCTCTCTGCATGTAGGTGAACTATAACTCCAAAACTCAAGGTCAATGCCCACCAAACCCTTCCAGTATTTTCATGGGAGTTTTGTGTACCAAGTTTGGTTGAATTCCATTATTGGTGGAGCTCAGAATGCCCTTTGACTGTAGCTGAACTATAAATTCCAGGAACTACAATTCCCAAATGACAAAAGTGTTCAGATTTGGGTATATCGGGTATTTGCACCAAATTTGGTCCAGTGAATGAAAATACATCCTGCGGCACAGTGGGTTAAAACGCTGAGCTGCTGAGCTTGTTGACCGAAAGGCCGCAGGTTTGAATCCAGGGAACAGCGTGAACTTCCGCTGTCAGCCCCAGCTTCTGCCAACCTAGCGGTTCGAAAACATGCAAATGTAAGTAGATCAATAGGTATCGCTCCAGCGGGAAGGTAATGGCGCTCCATGCAGTCATGCTGGCCACATGACCTTGGAGGTGTCTACGGTCAATGCCGGCTCTTTGGCTTAGAATTGGAGACGAGCACCACACCCCAGAGTCGGACACCTTTATGTTTACCTATTTACTCTGGCCCAGCCCAGTTTTATTGTGTCTTGGTGTATTGTTTATTGCTTGTTGTTTTAATATTGCTTTAATTGTTTTTAATTTGCTTTAGGTTTTGTGTTGTTATGTTGTGTATTGAGGCCTTGGCCTTTGTAAGCCGCATCGAGTCCTTCGGGAGATGCTAGCGGGGTACAAATAAAGTTAATAATAATAATAATAATAATAATGATTCCTAACCGTAGCAAAATTAGTTACGAATTAGCAATGCAAATACTGTGATGGTTGGTGGGTCACCACGACATCAGGAACTGTATTAAGGGGTCATGGCATTAGGAAGGTGGAGAAGCCCTGGACTAGATTGTCTTATGAGTGACAGATGTCTTCCTAACCATAGAAAAGAAACCCAGATCAGTGATTCAGACATAGTGAGATACAAGAAGGCAAGTAGCAAAAAGTTTCCAGCCTCAGGAAGTGAATTAACAACAGTATCAATTATGTTGCACTGCAAGCCTAAGTGGCAAGATGTGTGAAAAGACACCACACACTTCGAAAAGGCTGCAAACAAACCACCTACTCGCCTGCTTTTCAAGGGGCCTTCCAACTGTTGTGTGCTGTGTGTTAGGCATACACCTGCATGCAATTACGCTCGGCGTCACACCATCCGCCCACCCGACTGCTCAAGGGAGGCAGGACTCCACACAAAGGCTCCATTATCCCCAAGGAGATTTCCCTTTTGTCCAAGTTGTGTATGTACAATTTTGGTGCTTCGCAGCCATTCTGGAAGTTCAATAGGAAAGAACAGCCTCGCCAAAGCATCCCGGGTTCGTGAGAGCTTTTCGCATTTAGGGAACATTCAAGCCATTCTTCGGCTACTGATTCAGCCATGTCGCAAAAGAAAGGGAGAGTCTTCACCTCCAAAGGAAGACAACTTTCGGGTTTGAATAAATGTTTTCAGACTAGAAAATAATACAACTCTCAGGCCTTCCCAGAAGGCAAATACCTTCTAAAATATATCTTAGCCTCCTCATATACTTTTATGTTAGCTTCCTGCTAGACCAGTGTTTCTCAACTTTCCTAATGCCGCGACCCCTGAATACAGTTCCTCATGTTGTGGTCACCCCCCCCCCCTTACAAATGCCAGAAACGACAAAGAGTTTAATCTACTCTGACAATCATGCCATCACCGCTCAAGAAGGGAGCTTTGAAATGGTTGAACAGAAGGTCTCCAAATCTCTAAGGCAGTGTTTCTCAACCTTCCTAATGCCACGACCCCTTAATCCAGTTCCTCATGTTGTGGTGACCACTACAAATGATCAGCCACTGTCAGAAACGACAAAGAATTTCACGTATGCTGATGATCATGCCATCAACTCTCAAGCAGGGAGCTTTGAAATGGTTCAACAGAAGCTCTCTGAAGCTCTAGGTCTGTGTTTCTCAACCTTCCTAATGCCGCGACCCCTTAATACAGTTCCTGATGTTGTGGTGATCCCTACAAACGCCAGAAGCGCCAAAGAATTTCATCTATGCTGACGATCATGCCATCACTGCTCAGGGAGCTTTGAAATGGTTGAACAGAAGCTCTCAGAAGATCTAGGTCAGTGTTTTTCAACCCTCCCAATGACGCAACCCCTTAATACAGTTCCTCATGTTGTGGTGACACCCACCCATAGCATTATTTTTGTTGCTACTTCCTAACTGTAACTTTGCTCCTGTTATGAATCGTAATGCAACTATCTAATATGCAGGATGCATTTTCATTCACTGGACCAAAAAGCACTGTGGACTCAAACAATGATGGATCTGGACCAAACTTGGCAGATACTCAATATGCCCAAATGTGAACATTGCTGGAGATAGGAGAAAATAGAGCTTGACATTTGGGAGTTGTAGTTGCTAAACAGAAAATACTGGAAGGATTTAGTGGACATTGACCTTGAGTTTTGGAGTTGTAGTTCACCTACCCAAACCACAATGTATCTGCACTAAACTTGGCACAGATACTCAATATGTCCAAATGTGAACATCAGCAGAGATTGGGGAAAATAGACCTTCACATTTGGGAGTTGTAGTTGCTGGGACTTCTAGTTCACCTATAATCAAAGAGCATTCTGAACCCCACCAATTGGACCAAACTTCCCACACAGAACCCGCATGACTTGAAGGGAATTGCTGGCACAAACCTCCCTTCAGCCTCACATGCTCTCCCTCGCCTGCACATGTGCAACACTCTGCCATGTGCCAAGCATGTCTGCTCTCCCCTCCCCGCTTGGAGTCTCAGAAACAGCCCTCCCCTTGGCTGAGAGGCCAGCCAATCACAGTGGAGGAGGGTTTTTGGTGGGAAGATTGGCCCTGTTTCCGAAAAGGAAGAGAAGGGTAGGTGGAGAGATCTTTAGACTTCTCCGCGAAAAGGGTTTCTAAGGCCATCAGGAATATATGTTTTCTGATGGTCTTTGGTGACCCCTCTGAAACCCCCTCGCAACCCCCAGGTTGAGAAAAACTGTGCTAGACAAAGATACAAGGCATCAACCTGTTTAAGTATTGCATCTTTCCATATTTATTTATTATATATACTCGAGTATAAGCCTAGTTTTTCAGCCCCTTTTTGTAGGCTGAAAAAGCTGCCCTCGGCTTATACTCTAGTCAAAGTTATTTATTATTTTACTCTGTTATTACTATTATTAATATTACATTTATTATTTTACTCTATTATTATTTTATTACATTTATTTTACTCTTTATTTTTATTATTATTACATTTATTATTTTACTTTATTATTGTTGTTATTACATTTATTATTTTACTTTATTATTACTGGAAGGATACGTAAGCACACTGACACTGAAAAAGGTTAGAATAATAGGTTTTTAATTGCTGTATGTTATTATTGTTATTGTTTATTGCTTATTGTGTATTTTTGTTTTTTGAGTTTTATTTATTTTATTTTAACTGTTGTATTGATTATTTGTTATTGCCTTTGTTCATTGATGTGTTATGGGCTTGGCCTCATGTAAGCCGCACCAAGTCCCTTGGTCCCTATAATAATAAAGTTTGATTATTATTATTATTATTTAATCAAAGTTGGTCAGTCTTATTTTAAATTACAGTTTTATGTAAACATTGAAAAACATTTAACCTACTGTTTCCTCAATTAATGTAATTTTATAGGGATCTATATTTATTTTGTATTACCAGTAGCTGCTACATTTCCCACCCTCGACTTATACTCGAGTCAATGCGTTTTCCCATTTTTGGTGGTAAAATTAGGTGCCTCGGTTTATATTCAGGTCGGCTTATACTCGAGTATATACGGTATTTATTTTATTTACAACATTCTACACCACCCTTCTCTGAGCGGCTAACACTAGCAACAATTCAATGCCGCAATATCACAAGATAACAACAATATAAAACCATAAAAGCACAATAGATTAAACAATAACATTAATTATACAGTTATAGCCGTTATTTTCCATAGTACTCACTTAGCAAACATTTCAAGGTCTTTTGCAAAATTTTCTGAAAAAGAAAGGAAAAGATCTCTCAATTTTTTTCCCAATCCAGTCTTTAGAGTGCTGCTTAAGTAAAACAACTTTTAAGCTGAAGGAAGAAGCTGCACTTTCTGGCTAGGCCTGGTCAACTCTGATTTCTGAGCTATCTTACATAGAATCAAAGAGTTGGAAGAGACCTCATGGGCCATCCAGTCCAACACCATTCTGACAAGAAGCAGGAATATTGCATTCAAATCACCCCCGACAGATGGCCATCTCTGTTTAAAAGCTTCCAAAGAAGGAGCCTCCACCACACTCCGGGGCAGAGAGTTCCACTGCTGAACGGCTCTCACAGTCAGGAAGTTCTTCCTCATGTTCAGATGGAATCTCCTCTCTTGTAGTTTGAAGCCATGGTTCCATTGCGTCCTAGTCTCCAAGGAAGAGAAAACAAGCTTGCTCCCTCCTCCTCCCTGTGGCTTCCTCTCACATATTTATACATGGCTATCATATCTCCTCTCAGCCTTCTCTTCTTCAGGCTAAACATGCCCAGCTCCTTAAGCCGCTCCTCATAGGGCTTGTTCTCCAGACCCTTGATCATTTTAGTCGCCCTCCTCTGGACACATTCCAGCTTGTCAATATCTATCTTGAATTGTGGTGCCCAGAATTGGACACAATATTCCAGGTGTGGTCTAACCAAAGCGGATTAGAGCATGGGGAGCATGACTTCCCTAATTGGGCACCACAATTCAAGAGAGATATTGACAAGCTGAAAGTGTCCAGAGGAGGGCAACTAAAATGAAGAAGAGAAGGCTAACATATTCAAAGCTCACAAATAATTAACCATAGAAACAAACAAAGCCCAAACTCTGGAACACCCTCCCCAAAGATCTTAGACAGACCCCTACATTGGCAGTCTTTAGAAAGAACTTGAAGACCTGGCTGTTCCGATGTGCCTTTCCAGAATAGGAATCTCCAATAACAAGTCCCAGAAGCACTTTATTAGAACTAAGATTGCTGCACACTGCACACTGCACTTACCCTATAATCCTTACATATCACCTGTCACATCAGCACTTTTAATCCTTGTACCCATTACTCTGGCCCGGCCCAGTTTTATAGTGTCTTGATGTATTGTTTATTGTTTGTTGTTAATATTGCTTTAACTGTTTTTAATTTGCTTTAGGTGTTGTATTGTTGTGTTGTGTTTTGAGGCCTTGGCCTTTGTAAGCCGCATCGAGTCCTTCGGGAGATGCTAGCGGGGTACAAATAATGATAATAATAATAATAATAATAATAATAATAATAATAATAAGAAGAAGAAGAAGAAGAAGAAGAAGAAGAAGAAGAAGAAGAAGAAGAAGAAGAATTTGAAAGCAAGATAGCCTGGTTTACTAGAACTTGAAATGTTGTTTCAGCCCTTGTCTTGTGTTCTCCCTCCAGTGCGAGGAAAATCAAAATGAGTCATTAAGTCATTTCTATACGTCGCTAATTCTGGTTCTATTTTTGAAAAAGCACTGATTAGCTCCTACAGACAAATATAGATACGCATAAAATATACACCATACCGCACTGCCTGAAGGTGATCTCAGAAATACATGCGACGGCTTGTTTACTGAACTCGGTTTCTTTGTCTTTGCCAACTTCTTCGCAGAGACAACCGACTGCATAATGAACAGCAGCTCTCAACCTCTGGAAAGAGAAAAAAACATTTTAAAATGCTATACAATGTACTTTGTATAACTATTCCTTATCTCCTGGATAAGCTATTTCAGACCTTTGAAGTCTGTGCCTTCAAGGCACATATTTGGGCTTGTTAAGAGATTTGAATAACCCTATTTTAATATTAAGATGCAAGCAATAAAAGATATAAATAAAATAAATACTTATCTTATTATTGTTGTTATAATTTTGCTTATAATTTTATTATTATTAGATATTGATTGCTTATATTGTTATTATTACAAATAATTTTCTTACAGTTATATTGATATTATTACAAATAGGTTGTTTATAATTATATTATTATTTTTATTAGAAATAGATTGTTTACAACTGTATTGTTATTGTTGTTATTCTTCTTACAAATAGGTTGCTTATATTCTTCTTCTTACAAATAGGTCCCTTACAAAAGTTATTGTTATTATTAGTTCAAATAGGTTGCTTATAATTATATTATTATTATTATTACTACTACAAACAAGTTGCTTATAAAGTTTTCATTATATAATAATAATATATTACCAGAACAATATAATATATTGTTCTAGTAATACAATAATATAATAATAAAATTATAATAATACAATAATTATATCACAATAAGAATATTATAACACTAATATAATAATACATTAATAGAACAATATATTATAATATATTGTTCTAGTAATATAAGAATATAATAATAAAATTATAATACAATAATAATAATATATTACTAAAACAATATTATATATTGTTTTAGCAATACAATAATATAATAATAAAATTATAAGAATACAACAATATCACAATAATATTATAATATAACACTAAAACAATAACAGTAACATATTACTAGATTATAATATATTGTTCTAGTAATATAAGAATATAATAGTAATATAATATAATAATATAACAGTAATGTAATAATACATTATTAGAACAATATATTATATCAAAATATATGGTTCTAGTAATATATTATAATTATTATATTAGTGTTATATTATTATATTATTATTGTGATGTTAATATTGTTTTATTATTATATTCTTATATTACTAGAATACATTATAATATGACATATTGTTCTAATAATATAAGAATATAATAAAATTATAATAACAACAAAAATTATATCACAATAATAATATAATATAACAGTAATATATAATTGTTCTACTAATATATTATAATATTACTATTATATTATTATATTATATTATAATTGTGATATAATTATTGTTGTATTATTATATTATAATATATTATAATATTATAATTATTATATGTTATATGAGTGTTATATTATAATATTATCGTGATATTAATATTGTTTTATCATTATAATTTTATTCTTATATTCCTAGAATATATTATAATATATTATAAGAATATAATAAAAGATTATATCTCTCTCTCTCTCTCTCTCGTGTCAGGAGCGACTTGAGAAACTGCAAGTCGCTTCTGGTGTAAGAGAATTGGCCGTCTGCAAGGACGTTGCCCAGAGGACGCCGGGATGATTTGATGTTTTTATCATCCTTGTGGGAAGCTTCTCTCATATCCCGTATGAAGAGCTGGAGCTGATAGAGGGAGCTCATCTGCCTCTCCCCGGATTCAAACCTGCGACCTGTATTGTAATTGTATTATAATAATACAATAATTATATCACAATAATAATATAATATAAGAATATCTTACCAGAACAATATATTATAAATATATTGTTGTTGTAGTGTTATATTAATATATTATTGCGATATTAATATTGTTTTATTATTATAGTCTTATTACTATAACAGTATATTATAATATAACATATTGTTCCAGTAATATAAGAATATAATAAAATTATAATAATATAACAGTAATATAATAATATATTACCAGAACAATATATTATAAATATATTGTTGTTGTAGTGTTATAATAGTGTTATATTATTATTATTATATTACGATTATTGTGATATTAATATTGTTTTATTATTATAATTTTATTCTTAAATTACTAGAACAATATATTCTAATATATTCTAATATATAATAATAAAATTATAATAATACAATAATTATATCATAATATAATAATATAACAGTAATATAATAATAATACATTATCAGAACAATATATTATAAATATATTATTGCTGTAGTGTTATATTATTATATTATTGTGATATTACTATTGTTTTATTACTATAATTTTATCCTTATATTACTAGAATATATTATATTCTAAAATATTATAATATATAATAATAAAATTATAATAAAATAATTTTATCCTTATATTACTAGAATATATTATATTCTAAAATATTATAATATATAATAAAATTATAATAATACAATAATTATATCACAATAATATAATAATATAACAGTAATATAATAATATATTATCAGAACAATATATTATAAATATATTATTGTTGTAGTGTTATATTATTATATTATTGTGATATTACTATTGTTTTATTATTATAACTTTATTCTTATATTACTAGAACAATATATTATATTCTAAAGTATTCTAAAATATAATAATAAAATTATAATTGTATAATGTTATTCTTATATTACTAGAGCAATATATTATATTCTAATATATTATAATATATAATAATAAAATTATAATACAATAATTATATCACAATAATAATATAATAATATAACAGTAATATAATAATAATATATTACCAGAACAATATATTATAAATATATTGTTGTAGTGTTATATTATTATTGTGATATTACTATTGTTTTATTATTATAATTGTATTCTTATATTACTAGAACAATATATTATATTCTAAAATATAATAAAATTATAATAATATATTGTTGAAGGCTTTCATGGCCGGAATCACTAGGTTCTTGTGGGTTTTTTCGGGCTATAGAGCCATGTTCTAGAGGCATTTCTCCTGACGTTTCGCCTGCATCTATGGCAAGCATCCTCAGAGGTGGTGAAGTCTGTTGGAATTAGGACAATGGGTTTATATATCTGTGGAATGGCTGGGGTGGGGCAAGGAGCTCTTCCCTGCTGAAGTTAGGTGTGAATGTTTAGCTGATCACCTTCATTAGCATTTGAAGGCCTGCCTGAGCCTGGGAAAATCTCTTGCTGGGAGGTGTTAATCTGTGCCTGGTTTTTCCTCTCTGTTGTTTTGCTGTTGTAATTTTAGAGTTTTTTAATACTGTTAGCCAGATTTTGTTCATTTTCATGGTCTCTTCCTTTCTGTTGAAATGAACAAAATATAATATAATAATAATATACCATGAAAATGAACAAAATCTGGCTACCAGTATTAAAAAACTCTAAAATTACAACAGCAAAACAACAGAGAGGAAACAACCAGGCACAGATTAACACCTCCCAGCAAGAGATTTTCCCAGGCTCAGGCAGGCCTTCAAATGCTAATGAAGGTGATCAGCTGAAACATTCACACCTAACTGCAGCAGGGAAGAGCTCCTTGCCCCACCCCAGCCATTCCACAGATATATAAACCCTTTGTCCTAGTTCCAACAGACCTCACTACCTCTGAGGATGCTTGCCATAGATGCAGGCGAAACGTCAGGAGAAATGCCTCTAGAACATGGCTCTATAGCCCGAAAAAACCCACAAGAACCTAATAATATAATTTTATTCTTGTATTACTAGAACAATATATTATATTCCAAAATATAATAAAATTATAATGATATAATTTTATCCTTATATTACCAGAACAATATATTATATTCTAAAATATTCTAAAATATAATAATAAAATTATAATAATATAATTTTATTCTTATGTTACAATGTTATTATTATATTACTAGAACAATATATTATAATATATTCTAAAATACAATAACAAATTATAATAATATATTTTTATTCTTATATTACTAGAACAATATATTATAATATATTCTAATATAAAACAATAAAATTATAATAATACAATAATTATATCACAATAATAATATAACAGTAATATAATAATAATATATTACCAGAACAATATATTATAAATATATTATTGTTGTAGTGTTATAATATTATATTATTTTTAAATAGTTTTTCTTAAGACATATTCTTACAAATATATAGGTAAAAATTGGAAATTGGGAATTATTATATTATTGTGATATTACTATTGTTTTATTATTTTATTTATTTTAATTTTATTCTTATATTACTATTGTTCTAGTAATATAAGAATAAAATTATAATAATAAAACAATAGTAATATCACAATAATATAATAATTCCCAATTTCCAATTTTTACCTATATATTTGTAAGAATACGTCTTAAGAAAAACTATTTAAAAAATAATATAATCAAAAATTATATTCTAAAATATTCTAAATTATAATAATAAAATTATAATATTTTTTTCTTATATTACTAGAACACTATATTATATTAAAATATATTCTAATATATAATAATAAAATTATAATAATACAACAATAATATCACAATAATACTATAACACTAATATAATAATATATTATTATTGTTATATTATGATATATAATAATTTTATTTATCGTGTCATCAGCAACCATTGTATTACAATTCTAACAGAGCAAAACAAACACACAGATTAAAAAGAAAAAACACAAGATTTTGCAAGCTTGGTAGTGGATTAAATGTCCTTTGACCAGTATCTGGCCACTTGGAGTGCCTCTGGTGTTGCTGCAAGAAGGTCCTCCATTGTGCATGTGGCAGGGGCTCAGGTTGCATTGCAGCAGATGGTCTGTGGTTTGCTCTTCTCCACACTCGCATGTCGTGGATTCCACTTTGTGGCCCCATTTCTTGCATCTCGTGGTGCCAGAGCGCAGTCTGTTCAGCGCCTTCCAAGTCGCCCCGTCTTCTGTGTGCCCAGGGGGGAGTCTCTCATCTGGTATCACCCACAGATTGAGGTGCTGGGTTTGAGCCTGCCACTTTTGGACTCTCGCTTGCTGAGGTGTTCCAGCGAGTGTCTCTGTAGATCTTAGAAAACTATTTCTTGATTTAAGTCGTTGACGTGCTGGCTGATACCCAAACAAGGGTGAGCTGGAGATGTCTCTGCCTTGGTCCTTTCACTATTGGCTGCTACTTCCCGGCGGATGTATTATTATATATTATTATATATCATTATATAACAATAATAATAATAGAGCAACACCTCCAAAGAGGCTAAAATAATATTTTATTTATTTGTCGTGTCAGGAGCAAACCAAACAGTTCTATTGTATTAAAAAAAACTGCTAAAAATAATATATTTTTATACAAACAATACAATTTACCATCTAACAAATACAAACAATACAATACAAACAATACAATTTAGGCGAAACGTCAGGAGAAAATGCTGCCAGAACACATCGGCTGTTAGGAATTGTGGGAGTTGTAGTCCAAAACACCTGGAGGGAGGGCCCAACCTGGCCCGGGCCTGATCTAAATATTCGAATGACACTCTGCCCATGCTCAGAGGGCGGTCCAAAGGGAGAGAAATACTTCCCCAGGGCAGGGAATGTAAGCAGGGTGCGGTTTTCCTCACAGAAAATACCTGCGTCTCGTCGGAACCACCCGCGCTTTCGACGCGCTCCGGCTCCATGAGGGAAAATGGCTCTGAGGGAAAGGAGAAGCGAATTTGCCGCCTCAGCCGAAGCTCCGCCCACAAGAAATGGCGCCGGCGACTTCGACGACGACGCCCTTTGAGGGAAGTTGAGATCCCGCCCACAAAATGGCGGCGGCGACGCCTCGGAGGGAGTCAACTCTCCGCCCACAAAATGGCGGCTGCGCTGAGGGGAAATAAGCACCGAGACTTCAACTCCCAGAATCCCTCCCCGCCGGCCAAGCCAGCAGAGGCGTCTGGGAATTGAAGTCTTCCACTGCAGGAGCTTCAGCGCGCCACCCTTTCTTAAAGGGACAGGAGCCTTATAGAGAAAGAATCACATTGTGATGCAATCATACCAATATATTATCTATAATATGACTAATGTTGTAATATAATATATTATATTTAGTTCATATTAATATATTGTATATAATGTTACTAATGTTGTAATATAATATATTATATGTACATCATATTAATATATTATATATGACTAATTTTGTAATATATTATATGTACACCATATTAATATATTATATATAATATGACTAATGTTGTAATATATGAATTAAATATAATATGTTATATGTACACCATATTATTATATATAACTAATATTGTAATATATTATATTTACATCATATTAATATATATGACTAATGTTGTAATATAATATATTATATTTAATTCATATTAATATATTGTATATAATGTTACTAATGTAATATAATATATTATATGTACATCATGTTATTATATATAACTAATATTGTAATGTATTATATTTACATCATATTAATATATTTAATATGACTAATGCTGTAATATAATATATTATATTTAATTCATATTAATATATTGTATATAATGTTACTAATGTAATATAATATATGTACACCATATTATTATATATATGACTAATATTGTAATATATTATATTCACATATTAATATATTTTATATTAATATACAATATATTAATATACATTAGTATATTAATAATATACTAATGTTTAATATGTTATATGTACATCATATTAATATATATATTACTCATGTTGTAGTATAATATATGTACACCGTATTATTACATATATTACTAATATTGTAATATATCATATATACATAATATTAATATATTGTATATAATACTAATGTTGCAATATATTGTATGTACATCATACTAATATATTATATAAGGTAAAGGTAGTCCCCTGACACTAAGTCCAGTCATGTCTGACTCTGGGACTCTGTTGCTCATCTCCATTTCTAAGCCGAAGAGCCAGCGTTGTCCGTAGACACCTCCAAGGTCATGTGGCCGGCATGACGGCATGGAGCGCCGTTACCTTCCCGCCGGAGCGGTACCTATTGATCTACTCACATTTGCATGTTTTCAAACTGCTAGGTTGGCAGAAGCTAGGGCTGACAGCGGAAGCTCACGCCGCTCCCTGGAATCGAACCTGCGACCTTTTGGTCAACAAGCTCAGCAGCTCAGTGCTTTAACCCACTGCGCCACCGGGGGCCCTTATATATATAATATTACTAATGTTGTAGTATAATATATTATATGTACACCATATTATAGATATTACTAATATTATAATATATTATATATACTAATATACTAATCATACTAATATATTGTATATAGTATTACATAATTGTAGTAACTGTTTATTAATTGTGTAATGTGTTAGGTTGTTACTGTTTCTATACTGTAGCACTGAATTTTTGCTGTTCGTATTTGTTGTGAACCGCTGTGAGTCGCCTTCGGGCTGAGAACAGCAGTATATATGAAAGGTAAATAAATAAATAAAATAAATAAATAAATACTATTGTTGTATAATATAATATATTATATGTACACGATATTATTATATATATAACTAATATTGTAATATATTATATTTACATCATATTAATATATTGTATACATTACTAATGTTGCAATATAATATATAATACTAATGTAATATATGTACATCATACTAATATTTTATATATAATATTAATAATGTAAAAATATATATTGTAAGCCGCTCTGAGTCCCCTTCGGGGTGAGAAGGGCGGCATATAAATGCCGTAAATAAATAAATAAATAAATAATACTAATCCTGTGCTATGCTAATAATATAATATATTGTATATACATATAATATTAAGAATATTATAATGTAATGTAATAATATTGCAGTATGGTGGTATAATACAATATAGTAATATATAATAATGATACTGTGCTATGCTAATAATAATATATTGTATATACATATATTATTAAGAATATTATAATGTAATATAAAACTAATAACAATATATAATAATAATAATGATATATATTATAATAATTGTATATATTTTGCGGTATACTAATATAGTACAATATAAAATATGTAATATTCCTAATAATATTGCAGTAAAATGGTATAGTACAATATATATATATATATAATATATATATATATATTATATAATATATTATAATATATTGTATAATATAATATATAATACTAATATGGTGCTATGCTTATAATATAATATTTATGTATTTCCTCCTAAAATTGATGTACCAAACTTTACAAGGCAGCTCTAAAGTGAACCTATTCCAGGCCTTTCATGGTATGTTTCTGTGCATCAGCTTCCATTTGAGGCTGAGAGAGTGTGACTTGCCTACGATCAGCCATTGGCTTTCCCGATATTCAAACCCTGGCCTCCAGATTCACATTTCAATGCTCAAATCATGCAGAGACAGACTCAACGAAGAGCCAAGGAAAATGTGTGAAACGTGTAAGTCGTATTACATCCCCTTGATTCCCACCATCCACAATAAATCAACAAAACAATCCTAATTTTAAACTAGACTTTTAAAATTGTTTATTGTGCCTCTCTCATAAAGTATAGCCGTTAGAAAAACCAAAATAATCAAAGCATTTACATCTAGGAGTGGGAATGTGCCGGCTCTACGGTGTTTTTTCCGCGCCGATCTGGGGTTCTTTCACCCAAAAAAACCTAGGCATTATACGCTGAAGAAGAAACATTGCCACCGTGCCCAGTCCAATTGGTGTGGATGAATTCGCCCGGTTTGGACTGCAGTTCGTAGGTGTGGGCTCCAAAGTAATCCCGCTGCGCCTGTGGAGATTTGGGTACACGTCAGATTAACAAGAGAGGCTTCTGGGAAAGGACAGGATGGGGAAACCTGCTTCCAAACCCGTTTACCTGGATCAGGTTAGCAGGCAGGGTGCCGTGCCTGTATCCGTCGTAGAAGGAAAGCGCCGTGGTGAAGCAAGGCATGGGGATGCCCACCTGGACCCCGGTGCTGATGGCACGCCGCCACGAGTCCTTGGGGAGAAACACAAAGAAGGGACTATGACTTTCGTGAAAGCAGAAGAAGAGCTTCCCTGCCTCTGTGTCCGGCAACAGATCCTGCTTCGGAGGCTTTGAAACAGAGGCTGAATGGCCATCTGTTGGGAGGACTTTGATGGTGTCTTCCTTTATGGCAGAAGGGGGCTGGACTGAATGGCCCTTGGGGTCCCAACTTTACAGTTCTATATTATTATTATTATTATTATTATTATTATTATTATATTGGATTGTGTCTTCCTTTATGGCAGAAGGGGGCTGGACTGGATGGTCGTTGGGACCCCTTCCAACTTTACGGTTCTATTATTATTACTATTATTATTGTTATTATTGTTATTATTGTTATTATTGTTATTATTATTATTATTACTATTATTATTATTACTATTATTATTATTACTATTATTATTATAATATTGTTGAATGGTGTCTTCATTTATGGAAGAGGGCTGGTCTGGATAGTCCTTGGGGTCCCTTCCAACTCTAGGGTTCTGTTGTTGTTGTTATATTGGATGGTGTCTTCCTTTATGGCCAAAGGGAGTTGGACTAGATGGTCCTTGGGGTCCCTTCCAACTCTAGGGTTCTATTATTATTATATTATTATTATATTGGATGGTGACTTCCTTTATGGCAGAAGGGGGCTGGACTGGATGTCCCTTGGGGTCCCCACTCTAGGTTTCAATTACTACTATTACTATTATATTATTGTTGGATGGCAGAAGAGAGCTGGACTAGATGGCCCTTGGGTTCCCTTCCAACTCTAGGAGTCTGTTGTTGTTGTTGTTGTTGTTATATAGGATGGTGTCTATTCTTATGGCGGAAGGGGACTGGACTGGATGTCCCTTGGAGTCCCTTCGAGCTTTACGGTTCTATTATTATTATATTATCATTATGGCCCTCGGGTTCCCTTCCATCTCTAGGGTTCTATGAATGCCACCTCTGTGATGTATACAAGTGGGAATATCTTATCACGACTCGTGGTTCCGCACCTGGCAATCCTCCACCGCCGTCTTGAAGAACCCGTCCAACAGCAGGTTCTGGAGGTCAGGGTTCCGGTCGAAAGCTTCTTTGATCTTCCCCAGGAACACGCTGCAAGAAAGACACGCATGAGGAGGAGATGCAAATACGTCAATGGCCCAGGAAGAGGCACAGCCTTGAAAAGTACGCCGGAATTGCAAAACTGGACTTCAGTAGAGCAGAAACTGAGCGTCCGTTGCATGTTTATACAGGTATTATATTTTGGTCCAGGTATTGTAGTTCTTCCCCTCACCTTCGGATGATGCAGCCTCCCCTCCACATCAGGGCAATGGCTCCGTAATTCAGCGACCACCCAAACTCTTTGGCCGCTTGCCGGAGTAGCATGAAGCCCTGCGTGTAGGAAATGATCTTGGAGGCGTAGAGGGCCTACAAAGGAAGCCGGAGACCAAGGTTTAGCACACATGTGTCAAGCATGAATCCATTCTCAAGTCCCACATCAACACCTACTTAACCCTCCAGTGGATGTGTGTGATCACATGTCCATTAGAAGTGTATTTCCCAATCAATAATTGTCAGGAGTCAATTTCTGACGGCATGAAGACATCACAAATTCCCTCCGTGACATCCTGACTGAATCATCATGACTGACTCAGTTTTCTCTCTTGAAGCCAGAGGAGGGCACTGGAAACCTTGTATTGGAACTTGTGAAGCAACAAGCTCTAATAAGGAGACTGAGAGGAGGGGGAGTTGGGCAGGAAAGGTGTATAAATGGAAGTGGTGGTGGGAAAAAGTCAGTAGTGTCTTTTTTTGCTGCAGAGAAACAAGCAATATATTCATTTCCAAGCAAAACCGGCTTGTGAGTGATCATTTAATATTGCTATATAAAACCTACTGTCTTACAATAATGCACAATGGGGTTACGGACAATGCATTTCTATCTAACTGTGCATTATCTACCTAACAGTATACACTGCTGGCAAAAGGTGCAAACCCTTCCCGTGCCATTTTGGGACAACAGGCCCAACTCACTTTGCGGATGTCCTCCAGAAACGTGGCCTTCTTTCCGCCGAAGGACATCGCTTTGGGCCCGCTCAAGACTTTGCTCGCTTGGACACGTTCCTCTTTGAGGGAAGACAGGCATCGGGCAAAGACAGCCTCCCCTTCGGATAAAGAACAACCCAACAGAAGGAACTGTTAGCCCGACAAAATACACTTTCTCATCCCGCAAAAACTGGCCCAATTGGTTAAACCCAACATCCTCCAATATTGCAACGTTCCCTTCAATTTGGACTAGATAAAATTCTCCTCGAGTTGCATTCTGCTAATGTCCTCCCCCTCAAACAATTTTGCTTTTATTTATTTGAAAACTGCATTTGTCGTGTTCCGTTCTCTCTAGAGAAGGGTGAACTACAACTTCCATATGACAAGGTCAATCATGGCCAAATCCTGCATGTATGTGCAGCTGGCCATGTTGGGTCTGTGTGTCAAGTTTGGTCCAGATCAGATGTCAACTGTGCTTTCAACTGTGGATAAGGGTGAACTACCACTCCCCAAATCAATATCAATTCCCACAGTATGTTCTGTTTGTCATGGGGAATTTTGCGTGCTAAGTCTGGTCCACGTCCATCATTTGTGTGGGTCGCAGTGGTCTGTGGGAGCCGAATTCGGTGATGGTACTGCAAATCCCATCGTCTGTGGTCTATCCTCCGCCACACCACACCAGGACGTAAAGTGGGTGGTCAGTGTGTCAAGTCCATCATTCATGAGGGTTGCAGTGGTCTCTGGAAGTGAGTGAAGGTACTACAAGTCCCATCATTCATAGCAGGTGTGGTCCAGATCCATCGTTGGTTGGGTTCCCAGTGCTCTCTGGAGGTAGGTGAACTACAACTCCCCCAAATCGAGGTCGGTTCCCCCCAAACCTGGTCATGAGGGGTTCTGTGTGCCAAATGTGGTCCAGGTCCATTGTCTGTGGGGGGGGGGGGGTCACAGTGCTGTGTCTTGATGCAAGGTGAACTACAACTTCCATCCTGTTGAATCAGTCCCCAATCCCCATCCAGTATATTCAATTGCTAATCAATTTCTCTGTTTGTTGTGTGACATAGGAAAGGGTTAAGGAAGAGGCAGTGGATGGGGGTCATGCAAATTCCACACCAATGGAGAGAGAAAGGAACACTGGGATGTTATGCTCACTATAAGTCTCCCAACCCCCTCCAGTCTGTTCGGCTGCTGATCAATTCCTCTGTTTGCTGTGTGCCATAGGAAAGGGTTAAGGAAGAGGCAGGAAACAGGGTCATGCAAATTCCACGCCAATGGAGAGAGAAAGGAACACTGGGATGTTGTTCTCACTATAAGGTTTCCCAACTCCCTCCAGTCTGTTCGGTTGCTGATCAATTTCTCTGTTTTCTGTGTGCCATAGGAAATGGGTTAAGGAAGAGGCAATAGTCAGGGTCATGCAAATTCCACACCAATGGAGACAGAAAGGAACACTGGGATGTTGTGTTCACTATAACCAGCAATATCATTGGAGGGAGTGCTTTTGGTGGCTCCTCAGCACTGTGGGTCATATCTGTTTGTGGAGGCGGGAGGCTGTCTGTGTAAGTGGATCCCCCTGCCACATACAGATTTTTACTTTTTGAACTTGTACATAACTTGGGAGCTGTCTAAGAATACTGTGGAGCTTATAAATAAGCGTGCAGCTTAAAGAGTCACAATTGAGCAGCGGCACAAAAGAAACAAAGATATAAGAGAGAGACAAGAAGAATAAACACAGAATGACTCATACGATGGCACTCCCCCTGCGGAGGTACACAAAGCTCCCCTTGCAGGTATACAGCTCCTCCTTTGTCCCTTTGTACGCAACCCATTTCCTTCTCCATTTGTGCGGAGACGTAAGAATGACTCTGCTCTTTCAGGGCAGGATATTGCAAGTCATGCTGATCCGCACAAGGAAGCCAGGTTTGCTTAAAAGCTGGGCTGTTTGCATAAGGATGTGTGTGTGGGCTGCTCAAGGCGTCTTGAGATTTCGCAGTAGTAAGCAGTGAGGCAAGTGGAGTGTATATATMCCTGTGGATGAGGGTTTGCCTGTGTAAAGGAGTCGTTAAACTGCTGCCACCAATTGTAAAGAAGACCGTTTTAATGCCACCGAATGCCACCAAATGTGAAGGTGCGAGTGGTAAAACACCCACTGCCACCTAATCTATGAGGGAAGCCAGGCAACGATCTATATCAACCTAGGAGCTATCTTATAAAGGRACTGTGAATTACAGAAGGCTTTGTTTCAGTGATAGCGTAGCGTTTACTTTCCTGGCTTGACTTTACTATTGCAGGCTGTTCAACTTAGGAGAAACTGAATCAGGCAAGGCTTGAGGAAAACAGTAACAAGTTTATTTTAACAGGAGTATAACATATTTAACTGTTTCTTCTCAAGAGGCACAAATCTTGATGGTTACATTGGAAAGGTTTCATGAATAATCTCAGGCATAGACTTCAAAACGTTTCACAGCTGGCACAACAGGCTTAAACCCAGCCAAACCTTGATTCTTAATTCAGAATCAACAACCCCCTATACCGGGTCCTTCTCTGCAACCACTTTGGTCACCAATTGATTCCCTGAATCTCCACCAAGAGATTCAGTCTTTCCCTATAGCACACTGGCTACAGACACATTCCCTGAATCCCCACCAAGAGATTCAGTCCACTCAGTAGCTCGCCGGCGTACTGACTGACCTTTTAAAACAACTGCTAACGCCAAGCCACCATCTTCAACAAAACATAATCCTACATACTTACCATCCTTAAACCACTGTTTAAATTACACATAACCATAAGAATAGAAGTTACACATCGTCACAGCCTGGGCTTGAGTTAAGCTCAGACAAGTTAGGTCCGAGCTGTCTCAGGAAGGTTCACAAGGCCACATTCCTGGGAGAGGCCCTTCACAGTCTTTCTCAGAGCAACTGTCTGAAGATGGTTTATCAGGTGCAGAAGTCAATGAGAGTCAAGTTAATGAGAGTGTAGATCGAAAGCAAAGCTTTTGTAAACAAATACTGAGTGCTCAGACACAAAGAATATCAGTTTGTTTACAGGAAAAGAGAGATAAGAAATCTTCATCTAATGGTAATGTCAAGAGAAGTGCTTTCCTTTCGATTTTGGGATCTGAAAAAGCCTTTTATTGATTTGTGGGAAAGAGTTGCCTCAGTCGGGTCAATGTTGGAATTTCATGATGGTCTTGCTTTCAAGTGCTCTTAGTTTCGTGTACCAAGTTTTTACCAAGCTCCTGATTTATGTATTGGGTTTTTCATGTTGCCTTGTTGATTGATTGTTGTTCCAATTGATCTTATGTTGCCCTGAAGCTCACACCCTATCCTTTGTTTAGGGAACTTTACTGTTTTTGCTTCTTTTTCGGTCATGTCAGGAGCGACTTGAGAAACTGCAAGTTGCTTCTGGTGTGAGAGAATTGGCCGTCTGCAAGGACATTGCCCAGGGGACGCTCAAATGTTTTGATGTTTTTATCATCCTTGTGGGAGGCTTCTCTCATGTCCTTGCATAAGGAGCTGGAGTTGATAGAGGGAGCTCATCCACGCTCTCCCTGGATTCGAACCTGCAACCTGTTGGTCGTCAGTCCTGCTGGCACAGGGATTTAACCCACTTTTTTGCTAATTTTACTGCTTTGCCTACAAATATTCTACAATGCTTGCCGATTTTACCAAGCTGGTGTGGTGTTTAAGGTCAGAGGTTTACAACACAGAACTCCAGGAAACAAGCGATCGAGAGTGCCTCCAGGCAACAAAGGCCAGGCTACCTCAACGCAGGTATCCTCATTGACTGGTTTTGCATCTTTATGACTAATTCAAGCTTGCTAATTACAGCATTCACACTTGCTTTACAGACACACACACAGAGGACTCCCTTGGCTCTGTAGCTCTAAGTCTGCACTCCCACTCCTTTTCCAACCACCCCTGATTTCAAGAGCAAATACATAGTTGGGGGACCTACCAATGAGAGTGACGGGGACCCCGTACTCCAAGGCCGAGATGGCCGTCCACTTCCCGGTGCCCTTCTGCCCGGCGCTGTCCCGGATTTTGGGGAGCAGGTGCTTCCCATCGGCATCCCGGAACTTCAGGATGTTGGCAGTGATTTCAATGAGGAAGGAGTCCAGCTCGGTCTTATTCCAGTCCTCAAAGACCTGGGAATGAAGGAACGGGAGGAGGTCATCCTTCAAAGCAGACCATCCAAAGCTTTAGTTGTGCTTACAACTAATATATATGTTATTGACACCAGATATATATATATATACTATAGACTATAGACTATGTACTTACTCCTATTTCTTCTTTTCCCTCGTATTTTATTATTGATGATAATTAAAAATGTTGATTTGCATTCTATTGACGGTGAACGTTTATCTTACTATTCTTTGGTGTATTATGTATGTTAAAATGGCGTATTTCAATATATGTGTTTTGTTGTATGTATCATATCTTGATGTGTTGAGCCATTAGGCGAGGCGGACAACAAATAAATTATTATTATTATTGTAATATAATATAACATATTATTATTATAACATAATGAGATTGAAAGATGGGCTCAAAGCCAACCTTAAAAACTGGCATAGACACTGAGAACTAGGAAGCCCTGGCCCTTGAGGGCTCCAGCTAGAGGTCAGCTGTGATCAGCGGTGCTGCAGAATTTGAAGAGGCATGAATGGAGGGTGAAAGAGAAACGTGCCAAGAGGAAGGCGCGTCAAACCAACCCCGACCAAGTCTGCCTTCCACCTGGAAACCGATGTCCTCACTGTGGGAGAAGATGTAGATCAAGAATAGGGCTCTATAGTCACCTATGGACCCACCAGAATACGGATCCTGGAAGACTATCCTACTCGGCCAACGAGGGATTGCCTAAGTAATGCAATATACTATATTATTATAATGTAATATATTGTATATACATGTAATATTTATAATATTATAATGGAATACTAATAATATTATAATTATATATTTATATTACATGTAATATTCCTAATAATATTACAATATAATGGTATAGTAGAATATTGTAATATGTAATACTAATATTGTGCTATGCTAATCATACAATATATTGTATGTGTGTGTGTGTGTGTGTGTATGTATATATATATATATAGAGAGAGAGAGAGAGAGAGAGTAAGCCGCTCTGAATCCCCTTCGGGGTGAGAAGGTCGGCATATCAACGTCATAAATAAATAAATAATATTATAATTATTTATTATTATTATTATTATTATTATAAAAATAAATATATTATTTTATTATTTTATATTATATTATTTTAATAATTTTTTATTATTTTATTATTATTTTGATGATTATTATTACTATTAATTTATTTTTACTATTATTATTATTACAGGGCATCAATCTGCCGGGCTTTAGCACAGCAGGTTAATCGCCAGCTGCAGTGCATCTCGCCAATCGAAAGGTTGGCAGTTCAAAGCCCGGGTCGGGATGAGCCAAGACATTCCCTAGTGGTCTTTACTTTCCATTTGCCACTAATAATTTGGACTGAAAGCTACGTAAGATCGTTAGAATAAATAATCTTAATGACCAAGACTAAACTGCAAAGAAAGGCTGTATTTTGAGGCCTTCAAGCATTTTTCTGGGACTGGCTTCAGCACAGCATGTTAACCGCCAGTTGCAGTAAATCTTGCCAATCTAAAGGTTGACAGTTCAAAGTCTGGGTCGGGGTTTCAGCCCAGCTACTACCTACCTAGCAGTTCAAAAAGCAAAATGTAAGTAGATAAATAGGTACTGCTTTAAAGCCGGGAGGTATTTAAGGCACTCAGAAGTAAAATGCCAGAAAAGTGCTTGCGATTCGATCAAGGAGGAATTTACAAACAAAGCTCTTTGGCAGGGAAAATGGAGCAACAGCACTCCCTGTGGCCAGAACCAAGCACAGCCTCCAAGATGCCGAAGATGGGAAAGCCTATATATATCTATACCTCTATCCATGTATAGTTGTAAGTGTATAAAGGCACTGAATGTTTCTATATGTGTACTCTGATCCGCCCTGAGTCCTCTTTGGAGTGAGAAAGGTGGAAAATAAATACTGTAAATAGATAGATATCTTTTCAATTGAGAGGCTACCGGGCCAGGCTTTAGCAAGTAAGAAATTTAGGTACCACGTATGCAGGGAGGCTAATTTAACTAATTTACGATGCCATAAAAATCTCCAGCAAGCATGCAAAGAGTGAGGAAGTACTTCATCACTGTCACAAATGAAGCGACAACTCCCCTGGTGACCAGAATATCCTTATCAAAAGCTGAAATGTTAAATAGCCTCGGTGTGTCTGTCTGTATATGTTGTGTGTCTATGGCACTGAATGTTTGCCATGTATATGGCAAACAATATAAGGCACTTGGATTGTGGCGCAGCAGGCTGAGTGTCAGCTGCATTAAGATCACTCTAACCAAAAGGTCATGAGTTCGAAGCCAGCCCGGGCTGGAGTGGGTTTCCAACCAATTATGTGTAGCCTGTTGTCAACCTTTGCAACCCGAAAGACAGTTGCATCTGTCAAGTAGGAAAATTAGGTACCACCTTAAAGTGTGGGGAGGCTAAATTAACTGATTTATGAGGCCATAAAGAAGACACCAGCAAAGCATTCCAGCGGGGAAGCATGCGGGGAATGCGGAAGTGCTTCATCAGCGTCGCAGATGGACGATGAAAGCGACAGCTCCCCTGGCGGCCAGAAAAGGTTAAATAGCCTCTGTGTATGTCTGTATATGTTTGTATGTCAAAAATTGGCATTGAATGTTTGCCATATATGTGTACATTGTAATCCCCCCCTGAGTCCCCTGCAGGGTGAGAAGGGCGGAATATAAAAGCTGTAAATAAAAAAAGAAAGAAAGAAGCAATACCTTGGCCATCTCATCGTGGTCCATACCCAGCACATCTTTCATGAGGTGGTAAGCCTCGCAAATCAATTGCATATCTCCATATTCGATCCCATTGTGCACCATCTTCACAAAGTGTCCGGATCCTTCATCCCCGACCTGTTAGGGATCCCCAAAACAGATGAAGGAACCAATCAGGAAGCACCTCCCAACACAAAAGGGCTGTCTTCACCCTTTTCACTGCCAAGACTAAAGCCGTAGATCCCATAACAATATACACGCCGAGCCCCATTCGCCAGCGCCCATAACAAGCCCAACCTACCCAATCACAACAGGGTTCTCCGGTCCCCACTTTGGCAGCGATGCTCTGGAATATCGTCTTGATGTGCGGCCTGCAAAAGAAAGAACGGATATTTGAGCCAAGCAGAGAGACGGAGTGACAAGGGCTTTGAAGGCCAACCGGAAAGAGACACTCACCAGGCCTCCTTGGCTCCTCCCGGCATCAGCGAAGGGCCGTACCGGGCCCCTTCTTCGCCACCACTGACCCCGCTTCCCACAAACAAGATGCCCTTCTGCTTGAGGTCCTTGCAGCGTCTCTGGAGGGAGGAAAGAGAGATAATAGCTATCCCAAAGAGCAAGGGCACATGTTGATGGTTTTCAAAGGCAGCAGATTACAGGATCTGTCTTCATAGACATATGTTAGGGATTCCTCATCTTCGGAAGAGGAAGGGGAGCAGGGAAGTGCTCAGGAATTGGAGGGAGAAGAAGAATCAGATGATGAGGGTTTGAAAGTGCCCACATTTCTAGAGAGACAAAAAGAGACAGAGCACAGATGGTGCTCAGCTTGAATAGCTGCTAAAAACGCTGAACTAATTGGGAGACGCCCTAGCACCTCCTGCTTGGGAAATTCAGGGCTATAAATCAGAGGCAGGAGCAGTCAGCTTTCGCTGGTAACAAGAATAGCTGCTAAAAACGCTGAGCTAATAGGGAGACGTCCTAGCACCTCCTGCGTGGGGAATTCAGGGCTATAAATCAGAGGCAGGAGCGGTCAGCTTTCGCTGGTAACAAGAATAGCTGCTAAAAATGCTGAGTTAATTGGGAGATGCCCTAGCACCTCTGCGTGGGGAATTCAGGGCTATAAATCAGAGGCAGGAGCAGTCAGCTTTAGCTGGTAACAAAAATAGCAAGCTTAGCTGCTAAAAATGCTGAGCTAATTGGGAGATGCCCTAGCACCTCCTGTGTGGGGAATTCAGGGCTATAAATCAGAGGCAGGCGCAGTCAGCTTTCGCTGGTAACAAGAATAGCTGCTAAAAACGCTGAGCTAATTGAGAGACGCCTTAGCACCTCCTGCGTGGGGAATTCAGGGCTATAAATCAGAAGCAAGAGCAGTCCGCTTTCCCTGGTAACAACGACCCTGATATTGACGTTTTCACTCCAATGGAACCTACTTTGTGTCTGCTGCTAAGGACTTAGTTCATTGCCTGTAGTCTGATGGAAGACTGGTGTTTCGTTTGGGACTTTGTAAGAGACTTTAATTTGTGTCTGGATTAAGACTTCCTTGCTTTCTTTTGCACTTTTCAATTGCATTTGCTTATCCATTGTGTTTGAAGTAAAGCATTTCTCTTTTACTTTCAACATTGTCTGAAGGCTGTTTTTGAAGGGCAACTCAGGACAACCTGTCAGAAGCATATGACACTGTCAATCACCGCCTCCTCCTAAGAAAATAACACAGAGGGCAACCACTTCACCAAAATCCCTCCTCCACTGTGATTGGCCGGCCTCTTAGCAAAGGGAATGGCACACGTACCGTGGTGTCCCTGTACTCCGAATTCCCTCCGTCGATAATGATGTCTCCACTGCTCAGCAGAGGCACCTATCAAAGACAAGAGGCAGAGGAACACACAAGAAGCTCTGCTGAATCAAATCAAAATGTTGTGTGACTCCAACCACACCAACACCCGCACCCACCTTATATAAATAAAAATGTAATATTAGTTTGTGGGATTAGCATAACTCCAAAACCACTGGACGAATTGACACCAAATTTGGACACAAGACACCTCTCAGGCCAACGAGTGACCATCACTCATAAAAACAAAACAAAAAACAGTGGAAAGGACTTAAAAACCCCAAAAGACATTACAACACATGCACGAAAATGACTCCCTGGCCCCGCCCCCCTCCCTTTCTACTTGAGCCAAATCTGAATGTTGCGACTGCCCACCTGGATTACCTTTGAATAGCCTTGCAACTAAAAAGCCTGGCTTCTACCAGCCAGCAGGAAACCTTTGGTGGGCAGAGTTCCCCAGATTGTTTCATGTCTGTAAATCTTCGGTTTTCTGAGGGCCACAGCAACGCGTGGCTGGGTACAGCTAGTGTGTGTGTGTGTGTGTATATATATATCTATTCTTTAGCTTTGAATCACATTGAATCGGGTATTGTGTCTGCTCAGTATTTCATAAAGCAGTGGTTCCCAGCCAGTGGTTTGTGGACCACCAGTGGTCCACAATAACAAAAATATGGTCAGCGGCCTCACCATTACTACACCGTTGCCTCGAAACCACATGGCAACGAGACCGACACGTCTGGCAAAACCCTCTCACAGTACCAAGGGAACAAGGATGTCGGGAAGGGAGAGGCTGACTACCCATGTAAGATTACTACAGCTACAACAGCTCTAGATTATTGAATATGGTTTTCTGTGGGCGAGAAGACAGCAACTACTGGATAGTAAATGTTCTGTATCAGAAACTAGAGCTGATGTGGTCTATCCAATGCAATTTTCTGAATCAGCTGATGTGGTCTATCCAATGCAATTTTCTAAATCAGCTGATGTGGTCTATCCAATGCAATTTTCTGAATCAGCTGACGTGTTCTATCCAATGCAATTTTCTGAATCAGCTGACGTGGTCTAGCCAATGCAATTTTCTGAATCAGCTGATGTGGTCTATCCAATGCAATTTTCTGAATCAGCTGATGTGATCTATCCAATGCAATTTTCTGAATCAGCTGATGTGGTCTATCCAATCCAATTTTCTGAATCAGCTGATGTGGTCTACCAATGCAATTTTCTGAATCAGCTGATGTGGTCTATCCAATCCAATTTTCTGAATCAGTTGACGTGATCTATCCAATGCAATTTTCTGAATCAGCTGACGTGGTCTATCCAATGCAATTTTCTGAATCAGCTGATGTGGTCTATCCAATGTAATTTTCTGAATCAGCACCCCAAATAATCAAACCGAATGTAAAGCTGACCAAAAACCAATTTTTAACTAATATTGGAGTGTGGTCCCTGGTCAAAGTAGTCCCTGGTTAAAAAAAGGTTGGGAACCACTGTCATAAAGAAATGAAGAAACAGGCTTTTCCTCACCAGTTTGTTGATGAAGTCGTCCACCGCGCTCCCGGCCTTGACCAGGAGGATGATCCGCCGGGGTTTCTTCAGCTTGGAGACCATTTCTTGCAGAGAGTGAGCCCCAATCACTTTCGTCCCTTTGGCCTCGTTCGCCAGAAAGTCATCAACTTTGGAGACGGTCCTGTTGAACGCACAGACCTGGGAGGGGAAAAGGAGACAAGAGGAGTATTGTTTTGGAGGGGGATATAGAAATATATGATGCAATTTCTTAAATGCAACCTGAGATTACTATAGACATGACTTCTGCTGGCCGGGGATGATAGGAGTCGTTTGTGGCCTCTTGTAGATCAACCAGAGGCTGATGATTTAGAGGGGATTGTGAGCTTTCCTGTGGCACAAAGCGATGAACTCTCAAGTCAAGTAAATGATGGTTCTCTCTGTGAGAAAACTGGCTCAGAAAGTGCTGGACCTCAAGGGCATTCAAGGGAGTCAGAAGTAGCAACAGCAGATAAGGAATCGAGTGAAGATCTGTGTGATAAAAAGGCCTCCCATGAGAACCCACTTGTAGCTATGGAGGTCAACAAAAGTCTTCGTTTACAAATCAGAGCCGAAAATAGATTGTGTTGTTCAGAGAGATTACATGAGAAATTTGTGGAGGATATTCATGGGAAACAGAATGATTTCATGGGTGTCTATTAGGCAACAAATTGTTTACCTTAAAGGTCAGTTCAGGCAACGCTGTGTTAGAGTGAGAAGCTAAGCCTGCATTCTCTTGTTCCTGGTTTAAGTCAAGCTTTGATTTCGGATTACTATACTGGAAGTTTTCTACGTTCCTGTTCATGTACTCATGTTCAAGTTTTACTAGTTATACCTCTGCATTGTGGATTTATGCTGTGTCCGTGAATTCTGGCTGTTCCTGGATTTTGCCACTTCTGGAAATGTATGGGACATTTGTATTATTGTCTGGTTATCATCTGTTGCTAAACCTTTTCGCATTATATATCTGTATTTCTTATTCCTGTCTTTAATATGTTTGTGAGTAAACTGTTTGTTTATATTCTTGGACTCTTGTGTGGTGCGATGGCCTGGAGCGCAATGCCTCTTTCACTCACCACGAAGCCATGGTCGTTCATGTTCAGGATCAAGTTCTGGCCCATGACGGCCAATCCGATCAAGGCGATGTCTGCTCTGGAAAGGAGGACACAGAAAAGGGCATTTGCGAGTGGATTCTCCATAGATGCAGGCGAAACGTCAGGAGAGAATGCCTCTAGAACATGGCCATATAGCCCGAAAAAACCTACAACAACCCAGACATTCTGTTTGTTGGGCGAACAAAAGTCACCTAAGACCTTCTCAAGAAGGAGAAGGTGGGACCTTGGTTGCAAAAGGTCTTCTCCTCTTACTACAGAAGCGTAGGCATCTTGACGTCTTGCCACAGAGGATAACAAGGAAGTAAAGCAGGATTATTGCCTAATCCGCTGCGGTTCTATCTGTTTAACCTTATCAACCCAGGAGGAATGCCAAGGAGATGCCGGCGATGAACGTGGGATGGGAATCGGGACGGGGAATGGAAGCAGGACCTCCCAATCTCCCACCTTGTGTCCATTTGAGACCCCAAACAAGACTTTATAGCAAGGAACCCTTTCGTTTCCTGTGCCGTGTCTCAAGAAAAGGAACTTCCTCAAACAACAGGGGTTGCCCAACGGGAAAGAGAACCAACGACGAAAGGAGAACTCGAGAACCGGGGCCAAACTGCAAAGGCTCCAACAGATACGAGCGATTAAATCAGCCCTACTTTGAAAACATACTTGTGAGATCCAGCACATGACAATGAACCGCCTGACTTAGCCTATATTTTGCAATTCAATTTAGTAGGACAATATATGTGTGTGTTTGTGTGAACCTGTTCTGCATCCACCCCATTCCATCTTTGGTTCCAACAAACCTCCAAAGTTGTGATTATCCTCAAACTGCTTATAATAATAATTATAATTATTAGTTGTGGTAAGTATAATTCTCTCTCTATACACACACACATATATACACATATGGAAAAAGTCAAGGTTTTCCCCTGACCAAGTCCAGTCGTGCCCAACTCTAGACTTAAGTTTCTAAGCCTGAGCTGATGTTGTCCATAGACACCTCCAAGGTCATGTGGCCTGCATGACTGCATGGAGCGCCGTTACTTTCCAGCCGGAGTGGTACCTATCCATCTATTCACATTTATTATTTATTTATTTCCTATACTTATATCCCACCAACTCTGGACTTTAAGTTTCTAAGCCTGAGCCGGCGTTGTCCATAGACACCTCCAAGGTCACGTGGCCTGCATGACTGCATGGAGCGCCGTTACCTTCCCGCCAGAGCGGTACCTATTGATCTACTCACACTTATTTATTTCCTATATTTATATCCCACCCCCGAGGGGGGACTCGCAAAGCACCATACGGTGTCAACATCATAAAACAATCAACAGTACATTAAAAATATTAAAACAATAATTAACACAATTGATTAACATACGCCTTGCATGTTTTCCAACTGCTAGGTTGGCAGAAGCTGGGGCTGATAGCTATACACACACATACTTATATACCTAGTTTCATCTATGCTGACGATCGTGCCATCACCACCCAAGCAGGGAGCTTTGAAATGGTTGAAGAGAAGCTCTCTGAAGCTTGAGGTGCTCTTACTGCCTATTACAGGGAAAACCAGCTTCCATCATCAATGTTTAACATCTACACAAATGACCAGCCAGTGCCAGAAGGGACAGAGACTTTCATCTATGCTGACGATCATGCCATCAATGCTCAAGAGGGAGCTTTGAAATGGTTGATCAGAAGCTCTCTGAAGCTTTAGGTACTCCTACTGCCTATTACAGGGAACAATCAGCTGATTCCTAATCCATCTAAAATGGAGACATGAGCTTTCAACCTTTAGAGCAGACAAGCATTTCGAGCTCTGAGGATGACCTGGGAAGGAATCCCACTGGAGCATGGGAGTTACTCTGGACCATACTCTGACCTACAAGAACTGCCTGAATATCAAGAAAAAATGGGTGCTTGAAATAATATCATAGGAAAGCTGACTGGCAGAACCTGGGGATCACAACCAGACACAGTGAAGACATCTGCCCTTGTGCTTTGCTACTCTGCTGCTTAATAAGCATGCTCAGTGTGGAATACATCACACCACGTTAAAACAGTGGATGTGGCTCTTAATGAGACATGTCATATTATCACAGGATGTTTACATTGTATACCACTGGAGAAATTATACTGTTCACCCGATATCCGTCGGGAGGTAGCAGCCAGCAATGAAAGGACCAAGGCACTGACATCTCTGGCCTATCTTCTGTTTGGATATCAGGAAGCATGCCAATGCCTTAAATCAATAAATAGCTTCCTAGGGTCTACTTGCAGGAACCCCTCAGCAAGCGAGAGTCCAAAAGTGGCAGGCTAAGACTCTAATCACTTCTTCAAATTTCCACTTTGAGCATTTCAGTGCCCAAAGAGCAGGGTTGAGACGGAGCCCAGGCTTGCAAGATCTCTGCACGACTCTCTATTGTACGTCCTATTTGATTTAATGCCGCCACTCCCAGAAGACGATGGGGTCACGGAAAGGGAAGGGATCAAGGGCCCAACCCACCTTAATCCAAGCCTTGGGTGGGGTGTTGCCTTGGTTGTGTAGCTATTCAATTGAACATGTACGGACGGCACCGGGGTTGGTTTGCTTCGTTCTCCTTTTTCTCATCCCACCTTTGAGCTAATCGGGGAGCTGCGCCCAAAGTAAACACAACCCGCTCCCTCCCAAAAAAGCTAACATTCAACCACAAAGAAGTATACTACTAGCAGTAGCAAGGTTTTGATTTGCAAGGTTCAAATTTGATGAGTGCCATTGAGCCTTGAATGCGGACCAAAAGACCCTAAAGGCAAGAGATCCCTCTCATCTTGGATGCAGAGAAGGGTCCTCCCCGGTTAGTACTAAGATGGGAAACCACCAACCAATACTACGAGTCCGTAGGCTGTATTTCCAAGGAAGGAACTGGACAAACGAGCTTTTGGAGTCTTTCTGGTCTCCAAACACCCCAGAAGTCAACAAGATCTGACCCTGATCCCCTTTTCTCCAAACGTTGCTTCCAAAGAAAGGTGAGGCGGGTAATACATAAACAATTGTTGTTGTCGTTATTATAAAGTGAGGCTCACATGCTTACTCCCTTCTTACTCCATTTATGATGACGAAGTGAGGCTCACATACCTCCTTCCCACTCCTATTATTATTATTACTACATTTTCATGGTGATAATGATGATGAAATGAAGCTCACATGCTCCTTTCTTACTCCAATAATTATTATCTGAGGCTCACATACTTACTCCTTTCTTACCCCAATTATCACCATCATCATCTGGGGCTCACATACTTACTCCACTATTATTATTATTATTGTTATTATTGTTATTATTATTATTATTATTATTATTATTATTATTATTATTATTTGAGGCTCACATACTCCATTGTAATAATAATAATAATAATTATTATTATTATTATTATTATTATCATTATTATTATTATAAGAGGCTCATAAGACTTACTCCTGTCTTATTCATATCATCATCATCATCTGGGGCTCACATACTTACTCCATTATCATTATCATCATCATCATCATTATTATTGGCTCATAGACTTACTCCCTTCTTACTCAAGTTATTATTATTATTATCATCCCCATAATCTGAGGCTCACATAGCTACTCCATTATTATTATTATTATTATTATTATTATTATTATTATTATTATTATTGGCTCATAGACTTACTCCCTTCTTACTCAAATTATCATCATCATCATCCCCATAATCTGAGGCTCACATAACTACCCCATTATTATTATTATCATTATCATCATCATCATCATCATCATCATCATCATCATCATCATCGGCATTATTATTACTGGCTCATAGACTTACTCCCTTCTTACTCAAATTATTATCATCATCATCATCATCATCCCCATAATCTGAGGCTCACATAACTACCCCATTATTAGAGGCTCATAGACTTACTCCCTTCTTACTCAAATAAAAATTGTTGTTATTATTATTATTATTATCCAGGGCTCATATAATTACTTCATTATTACTATTATTATTAGAGGCTTACAGACTTACTCCCTTCTTACTCAATTATCATCATCATCATCATCATCTGAGGCTCACATAATTACTTCATTATTATTATTATTATTATTATTATTATTATTATTAGAGGCTCATAGACTTACTCCCTTCTTACTCAAATTATTATTATCATCATCATCTGAGGTTCACGTAATTACTCATTATTATGATTATTATTATTAGAAGCTCATAGACTTACTCCCTTCTTACTCAAATTATCATCATCATAATCATATGAGGCTCACATTATTATTATTATTATTATTATTATTATTATTATTATTATTATTAGAGGCTCATAGACTTACTCCCTTCTTACTCAAATTATTATTATCATCAGAGGCTCACATACTTTATTATTATTATTATCATCATCAGAGGCTCACATACTTACTCTATTATTATTATTATTATTATTATTATTATTATTATTAGAGGCTCCTAACTTACTCCCTTCTTACTCAAAGTATTATTATCATCAGAGGCTCACATACTTACTCTATTATTATTATTATTATCATCATCATCAGAGGCTCACATACTTACTCTATTATTATTATTATTATTATTATTATTAGAGGCTCCTAACTTACTCCCTTCTTACTCAAATTATTATATGATGATGATGAAGATCATCATCATCAGAGGCTCACATACTTACTTTATTATTATTATTATTATTATTATTATTATTATTATTATTATTATTATTATTATTATTAGAGGCTCCTAGACTTACTCCCTTCTTACTCAATGATCCTCATTATTATTCCTGTTGCTGTTGTTATGACTGTTGTCATCCTGGTCACTTGAGGCTCACCTCCTTACTCCCTGAGTTGCTGTGTGTTTTCAGGGCTGTACAGTCCAGAAAACTCCCAGCACCCCATGGCAGCCTTGGGCAAGAAGGCATACTTACTCCCTTCTGACCCTCAAGAAAACCCTCCTAAGGCGGATCATTGCCCCAAAAGGGAGTTTCCCAATCCCTTGGAGAGCCAGCCAAGCCAGGGAGGAAGGAAGGAGGGAAGGAAGGAAGGGTGCCTGGCTTCCGGGTAAACAAACAGTTCCAGGCTGGGGGATTCCACAGGGAAGATTCCACAGGGAAGATTCCACAGGGAAGATTCCACAGGGAACCTCCCCTCCCTGCCTGGGGTGCCTTGGGGGGTGCTACTCACTCTGCCATGGCGAGGAAGGGCTGGGTCTGCAAAGAGGCTGCTCTGCCAAAAGAGGAGCTTCCTGGTGTCTCGGGTGGAAGAGCTTCCCCTTCCTCCTAAGGCCAGCCCACGAAGGGGAGGGAGGGAGGCTCCACATCCACCCACCCACGTGGGCTGATCCAGGGATGCTCAGCCCTTTAAAGGAGCAGCAGCAGCCACCACCACAGAGGGCAAGGCTGGCTCTCCTTCAAAGCTAGTGTTGGGGGGGATGATGGAGTTCACCACCCTGCCCCAAACACATCCCCTCCCAGAACTAGCTCTTCTCACTCAATGTATTGTTATGATTATAATAACATATAAGTATTGTTATATATTCTAATAATAATAATATTCCGTGCTGGGCTGAGCTGCTGAGCTGAAGGTCAGCAGTTCGAATCCGCGAGGCAGGGTGAGCTCCCATCTGTCAGCTCCAGCTTCCCATGCTGGGACATGAGAGAAGCCTCCCACACGATAGCAACACATCTGGGCATCACCCGGGCAACGTCCTTGTAAAGGACTGCTGACCCAAAAAAATGGGTGGTAGCACATCCAGGCATCCCCTGGGGAACGTCCTTGCAGACAGCCAATTCTCTCTCACACCAGAAGGACTGCTGACCAAAAGCTCCCATCTATCAGCTCCAGATTCCCATGCTGGGACATGAGAGAAGCCTACCACAGGATGGTCACATCTGGGCATCCCCTGGGCAATGTCCTTGCAGACAGTCAAAAGGAACTGCTGACTGAAAGGTGGACAGTTCGAATTCAGGGAGCGGGCTGAGCTCCCGTCTATCAGCTCCAGCTTCCCATGCTGGGACATGAGAGAAGCCTACCATAGGATGGTCACATCTGGGCATCCCCTGGGCAATGTTCTTGCACACAGTCAAAAGGACTGCTGACCAAAAGGTCGGCAGTTCAAATCCGGGGAGCGGGATGAGCTCCTGTCTATCAGTTCCAGCTTCCCATGCTGGGACAACGTCCTTGCAGTCAAAAGGACTGCTGACCAAAAGGTGGACGGTTTGAATTCAGGGAGCGGGGTGAGCTCCCATCTATCAGCTCCAGCTTCCCATTCAAGGACATGAGAGGAGCCTCCCACAGGGTGGTAACACATCTGGGCATCCCTTGGGCAAAATCCATGCAGACAGTCAAAAGGACTACTGACCAAATGGTGGGCGGTTCAAATGCAGGGAGCGGGGTGAGCGCCCATCTATCAGCTCCAGCTTCCCATTCAAGGACATGAGAGAAGCCTCCCACAGGGTGGTAACACATCTGGGCACCCCCTGGGAAACGTCCTTGCAGATGGACAATTCTCTCTCACACACCAGAAAGGTTGTGAGAGAATTGTCTGCTGACTGAAACGTTGGCAGTTCGAATCCAGGCAGCAGGGTGAGCTCCCACCTGCCAGCTCCAGTTTCCCATGTGGGAACATGAGAGAAGCTTCCCATGGGATGGTAACACATCCGGGCATCCCCGGGGCAACGTCCTTGCAGACAGCCAATTCTCTCACACACACCAGGACTGCTGACCAAAAGGTGAGCGTTTCGAATCCGGGGAGCAGAATGAACTCCCATCTGTCAGCTCCAGCTTCCCATGCAGGAACATGAGAGAAGCTACCTGGCCTTCGTGGGCCCCGGGATGGGGCTTATTCTCTCCCTCTCCCCCTAACTAAGCACCCTTTGGTCTCCCTGAACCCCTTTGCCAACCTTCCATCCCCGTGGGTGCCCTGGTGTCCACAGATCTTTCTGTATTGGAAATTCCATAACCTATTGGAAATAAGTGCACCATAACCTTATTGAAAAAGTTGTAAAAACAATGTCACGTCCATTTGGCAAATGTGAATCTCCATGAACATGTGGAGACCACCTTTTGAAAACCACTAGTCAAGAAAAGCATGACCTTGTTAAAAGTCAAACCTTTGAGCAAGTGATATTCATAAGCATTCATGTAATGGCACACAGGTAACTCAGCTGTTAAACTGATGAACCATGTCTTTAAACTGCCAAGGATAAATACATGCCGCTACTAGGACTCCTATGAATCCCTCCAGTATGTTTCTTTGGTCATGGGGCTTCTGTGTGCCAAGTCCATCGTTGGTGGAGTTCAGAGTGCAGTTCTTAGATTGCAGGTGAACTATACATCCCAGGACCTACAACTCCTATAAATCATGGAGAATTCTCCCCAAACCTAATATGTTCAGTTGCAGATCAATTCCTCTGTTTGCTGTGTGCCATAGAAAAGAATAGGAAAAGGTTAAGGGAGAGGCAGTGGGTGGGGTTATGCAAATTCCACACCAGTAAGGAGAGTCAGAAACACTGGGATGCCTGTAGTGGAGGAAACACATAAAATCTAGGGTTGAATAGTCGGTCCTTCACTTGGGTGGTGGGCAGTGTAGTGTGTGCAGAGGGCATCGACAGGGCTCTTGGACATGTTTACGGCACTCACTATAACCTGCAATTTCATTGGAGGGAGGGATGTCTGTGGTGGAGGAAACACATAAAATCTAGGATGAAATTGTCTCCGCATGAAAGCATTCACTTGGGTGGTGGGCAGTGTGGTGTTTACAGAGGACATTGACAGGTCTCTTGGACATGTTCATGGCGGTCACTGTAACCTGTGCTGTCACTGGAGGGAGGGCCACTGGTGTCTCCTGTGAAGGCAGGACCTTGTCCGTCGAAGTGGACACCTCAGCCACATATACACATATTTTCACTTTTATTATGTGTATAGATTGTACCCTGACTTAAGAGACTTGGAAGAAAGGCTACAACATGGAAGAATACAAGCTATATGTGTGCAGATGTGAATCCTCATAGAGTTGGAAGAGACCTCGTGGGCCATCCAGTCCAACCCCATTCTGCCAAGAAGCAGGAAAATCACATTCAAAGCACTCCTGAGAGATGGCCACCCAGCTTCTGCTTAAAAGCCTCCAAAGAAGGAGCCTCCACCAAACTCCGGGGCAGAAAGCTTCACAAACCCCGATGACATCCAGACATTTGATGATCCAACTATGTGGTGGTGAGTCAAATGCAGTTTTGTAACCAATCCAAGTTGTATACCGGTTTGTTTTGTGGCTCTTGCAATACTCTAGTATCAAGGAGCCTCCACCACACTCCAGGGCAGAAAGCTTCACAAACCCCGATGACATCCAGACATTTGATGATCCAACTATGTGGCAGTGAGTCAAATGCTGTTTTGTAACCAATCCATGTTGTATACCGGTTTGTTTTGTGGTTCTTGCAATTCTCTAGTATCAAGGAGCCTCCACCACACTCCAATTGTGGTTGGATGACAATCCATGAAGCCGCTTAACTAATAGTGACGGCTAGTGAGAGTTGAAGTCCAACACATTTCCCCCTGTTCCTGATGTAAATAAAGAGAGCAGACGACACACTGACTTGGTAATGCACTGTTTTTTTAAATCTTTATTTGTTGTCGTTTTGTTCGCCTCGTTCGCTAACAGGTTTGGTGGTGCCAGGTTACCATACACAGAGTTAGATTAAGAGTTATCGGCATTGCACACCTAAAGGCTATACAGCAAAATGGATCAGAATTAGTACAAATACATGAACTGTATTTACATTTTGTATACCCCAAGCTCCGAACGTCAGATATATATTTACAAAATAAAACATGGAAGGGGAGGAGAAGAAGGGCCGAAGGGAGGGAAAGACAACAAAACCAATTGGGAATTCATCACGGAGGTGTGTTGCCTTCGCCGGAATGAGATCCTTTTTTCGGGAGGGAGCAGGATTCTGTTTGAGAAGGCCATCAACATTGTACATTTCGGGCAAAGGGATATGTGTGTTTGTGTGAGGAAAGGAACATAACAACTTATTCAAAACATTTGACCAACAAAATGTGTGGAAATTAGGCTATTAATAAATAGGATAATAAATAGGCTATGAGTGTTTCGGGTACGTGAAGCCCTCTTGCGCTTACATTGTTAAAAGTAATACTGAAAAGGAAAACATATTGTTTGGGACTTCCAGAGAGACACAAGTGCGTTGTCGTTAAACAAAAGCCTTCAATGAATGCCAAGGAGCTCTTCAAGTATGACAAGACCAGTCGGATCATCTGCTCTTGGAATTCGGAAACGCAACATGATACAGTCAATTCCTTTCCCTGTTTCTGTTCGAATGCGGAAGCACAAAAATCAAGATACATTCCCACTATGTCGACATAACACAGATTGACGATGAGTCACAACGAAGAAGGAAAACACAAGCTTTGTGAAGTGAAGTCTCATTCCGGGTTTGGGATGAGTCACAACGAAGAAGGAAAACACGAGCGTAAAGTGAAGTCTCGTCCCGGATACATTCAACAAAACCCAAAGCAGCAAAATTAGTCTCCTTCCCACATCCAAAAAAGCAACGTCATCCAGGCATCCGTCGTGCCGGGGACCGTACCGCTTGGTGCATAGGAAGCTTGAACCCCAAAGGGATCCGGCTTTAGTGTGCAAGTAAACTACAAACGCATAAATATAGAAACATTAGTCTTGTAAAAAAATCCCTGTAAATGATTAGATAAGAAAGCAGCAGAGAGGAATGTCTTTGCTTTGGAACGCCACAGGAAATCGAACCACTGATTTGGATCCCGGGAAAACTATTGATCCTATCTCTCCCCCTCTTCCCTTTAGGAACTCCATGAAACACTGGCCAGAAGAATTAAAGTGCAATGTGTAAATAAAAGAAGGTGGGAGAGAACGAAGTGCATTCAGTTTTGGAAACCACATCCCCATTGCCAATGCGATCTTCCTGGTTTCAGAAGACTTCCCTGGACTGAGAAAGCTGCAAATCTGACATAGGAGGGAGCCATGCCAACGTACAAGCATCCTTCATGTTTGTGGCCCATGCTCCGTGGGTTGGCTGGCCCAGGGCATGGCAATGAAGCTGCTTTCGGTGGCATGTTTTTGGTGGCAACCTAGGAGTTGATTGACTCCAGGAGAACCACAACTAGCTATGCCTTCAGAAGCAGATTCTCAGTCCTTTCCTCAAACTTCCTGAAATCAAAGAGTACTTTAGGATGAAGTGTGTATTCCTACTTGGTTTGTTGGCCGGGGAAAGGTCATCTGAGATGAATTTGGACAATTATAGCAACCTTGGAGTAAGCAACCAAGGAAGTCAAGGAGTAAGTCTTGAAACAATTCTGAAAGCCATCACTAAGCTCCAGAAAGAAGCGTATGTTTTTGGTGGCAACCTAGGAGCTGATTGACTCCAGGAGAACCACAACCAGCTAGGCCTTCAGAAGCAGATTCTCAGTCCTTTCCTCAAATTTCCTGAAATCAAATAGTACTTTAGGATGAAGTGTGTGTTCCTACTTGGTTTTTTGGCCGGGGAAAGGTCACCTGAGATGCATTTGGACAATTATAACAACCTTGGACTAAGCAACCAAGGAAGTCAAGGAGTAAGTCTTGAAACAATTCCAAAAGCCATCACTCAGCTCCAGAAACAGCATCTCAAGAGCATGTTTTTGGTGGCAACCTAGGAGCTGACTTGACTCCAGGAGAACCACAACCAGCTAGGCCTTCAGAAGCAGATTCTCAGTTCTTTCCTCAAATTGTATCACGGAGTACTTTAGGATGAAGTGTGTGTTCCTACTTGGTTTTTTGGCCGGGGAAAGGTCACCTGAGATGCATTTGGACAATTATAACAACCTTGGATTAAGCAACCAAGGAATTCAAGAAGTAAGTCTTGAAACAATTCCAAAAGCCATCACTCAGCTCCAGAAACAGCATCTCAAGAGCAAATGTTTGCCTCTCTCTCACTGATCTGAGCTCTGCATACATACAAAGGAGACGTGAAATCGGTGACCTTTACATAACACACTGCTATTAATTCTTAATGATCCTCTTAAGAAGATACCCTTAATGCCCATACGTAACCCCTGTATTTATAGTCCGCTCCAGGGTAGTGCTCTTTCCAAAGCAAAGACTTCGCCAATGAGTTGTATTCCACGATTTCAAAACACAATTAAAAAAACAACCTAAAACACATACAGTTTTGTCTTAGTGTGCACACAGTATTTCTCGGAAGAGCTCCTCCAGGGTTCTCTGGATTCATACAGATGGCCCACCTTTGTTTTCACTCAAGGGTTGCCGCTAGAGCAACTTAGTATCTTAAATCCATCATTTAAATCCGTCACAAAATCCGCTCAGCTCCTGAACCGGCGGCTTTGGTTTGTGCACAAAGACGCCGGTGATGCATAGTGTGTCCGCTGTGCTAATATGTACACAATTAGATGAGCACAAGGGACATAGCAAAGCAAAAATACATGCACAAACCATGTCCCATGCCAAGGACCGTCCCCTCCTCCCCTATACAAAGGGCCCAACAAAAGTGTCAATCTGGATCCATGACTAGTTTCTAAGGTGAGATGGGCACCCACCATCCTGACTGTTGCATTGCAAGCTCACTGATGTTTCCCAGAATGCAGCAAGGCTGACGTGTTGATGTCAACTCAGGTCCTCCATCCAATGAGTTCCCTGACTGGTTTGAACAGAAGGTCCCTTTCTGGGCTGACCAAACTGGAGGAACCATCTGAGATGCCTACAAAGGAGATGGAGGAACCATCTGAGATGCTTCCAAAGGAGATGGACATCTGTAATCTCCTCTGGACGCATGAACCTGAGGCTAAAAATGCTCTTCCACAATGAGCCGCAGAAGTACCAATGAGTTTGAAAGAAAAAGATGGTCCCTTTGAAGAATATGTAGACCTCACAGCCAAGAGAAACTTTGATGTTTGGCCAGAAGTCCAGAAAGCATTTGGTTTAAAGGATGAGTTCAGATGAGGAGAGGTCCCCAAGGACCATACCCTCCTCTCCTATACAAGGGCCCACCCAAAAGTGTCAATCTGGAGCTATGCCTTGTTTCTAAGGTAAGATGGGCGCCCACCATACTGACTCTGTTGCATTGCGTTTCCTTACAAAAGATGGTTTCCCAGAATGCAACAAGGCTGATGTATTGATGTCAACTCAGGGCCTCCATCCAATGAGTTCCCTGATTGGATTGAACAGAAGGTCCCTTTCTGGGTTGACCAAACTGGAGGAACCATCTGAGATGCCTCCAAAGGAGATGGCCATCTGTGATCTCCTCTGGACACATGACTCTGGTCACCTCCGAGAGAGCAGATGAGAAGGGCTGTACAGCTTTGCGCTGGTACACTACATAGTCACGCCTATCACTATGTCTTATTTTCAGGGTATGGCTTATATCGCGCAAGTGCTTAGAAATCCTTCTACGGCTTATTTTGTGGGGATGTCTTATTTTCGGGAAAACATGGTAGGTAGCTCCACTCTGTTTCTGATAGCCACAAAGAGATTTTGAGCAGCCCAAATGCAAGAAACTTCAACTAGAGAGCGGCGATCAAGTCACTTTCCAAAAGAGGAGGCGTCCAGAGAGAGACGAAAACACATCATCAACACTGAGCAGGACAGACGGATGCGACCGGGTGAGAGACAGAGAGTCCCGAGAAACAAAACAAAACAAAAACAAAGTGGTTTTTTTTCCCTTCTGTTAAAAAAAAAAGTCGTGCATATAAAGCGGACACCCCACCCCGACCCCCTTGTTTTCCCTATGGTTTCTTTCTCCAGTTTGGCCACATGCTATTAATAGAGGTAAAAAAAATGGAAATTATCATCATTAGACGAAGAAAAGTGGGGAGGCGGGAAGAGAAGAAGGGGAGAACAATGGGGTTAAGTGCTGAAGAGGAGGAGGAGGCGGAGGAGGAGGTGGACAACTGGGGGCAAGGGAGGTTGAGCCACAGGATTACATACGAGAAAAGAGAGAGGGAGTCAAGAGTATCACAGAGAGATGAGAGGTAACACTTTTATCTATATCAGATGGCGTGTTAGAAGGGGCAGGAAAATAGAGAGGAGACGCCCCACCAAGCGGACTCAGTACTTCAGCGGTCCCGAGCGCCTCCGGGCCAATTTGGACCTGTAAAGGAGGAAGATCAGAGTGAGAGCACTGCCTTCAGCAATTCCCTTCCTTCGCCTGTCGTACTCTCCCAATGCTTTCCTTATCAACATGGGATGTTGGGTTGCTCTGAGTTTTCCGGGCTGCCTGGCCATGCTCCAGAAGCATTCTCTCCTGACGTTTCGCCCACATCTATGGCAGGCATCCTCAGAGGTTGTGAGATTGTGTGTGTGTGAGCCAGTGGGAATACATACTTTCTTCCCCCAGCTGAACTTCTGACTAATATTAATAATAATACAATATAATAATTTTATATTTCATGTTATGTATAATATTACTAATAATATTACAGTCTAGTGGTATAGTAGAATATAGCAATATATAATACTATATAGTAACATATAGTAACATATAATACTATATAGCAACACATAATACTATCTAGCAATATATAATACTATATAGCAACATATAATACTATATAGCAATATATAATATTATCTAGCAACATATAATACTATATAGTAATATATAATACTATCTAGCAATATATAATACTATATAGTAATATAATACTATATAGTAATATAATACTATATAGTATTATAATATATAATATAATACTATATAGTAATATAATATATAGTATATAATACTATATAGTAACATATAATACTATCTAGCAATACTATTTGGCAATATATAATACTATCTAGCAATATATAATACCATATAGCAATATATAATACTATCTAGCAATATATAATACCATATAGCAATATATAATACTATATAGTAATATATAATACTATCTAGCAATATATAATACATAGTAATATATAATACTAATATTGTGCTGTGCTAATAATATAATATATTGTATGTACCTATAACTTGTAAGCCGCTCTGAGTCCCCTTCAGGGTGGGAAGGGCGACATATAAATGTCGTAAATAAATAAATAGTCATTTCCTCTGACTACTTCCTTTTGGCCGCTTCCCTCCTACTGAGGAGAGGAGCCAAAACTCAACCTGCCGCCGTTCTAAATGGCTGCATTCTCCCATCACATTCTTCCACTTCTTCGCAGCTCAGCTTCTCATTAACAGCCAAACCAAGAGGGCGATTCTAGCCCAGCCTAGGACAGCATCGTGTGCCCCGTACCGTATCGTGCCAGCGAGAAGCGGGTTGAAGGCGTAGAGCCAGTCGTTCATGTCTTTGTCGTTGATGGCTTGGAGGAGGACCCCTCGGTGTCTGGTGCACACGGCAAAGGTGTTGGGCGTCTGGAAGGGGTCGGCAACCACACCACAAGAGAAAAACAGGCCTTTCTTTAAGAATTGACTTAAAGCAGAAATCAAAAACATTTAGGGAAGGCCGCAAACTGAGGCAGATGGGGTCTTCCCTCTACTTATCCATCCATCCATCTAGAGCGGTTGCAATTGACCTTCACCATGGTCTGCTGATCTATCTGTCTATCCACATTGTTTATCTCTATCTATCTGCCTATCTATAGCAGCTGCAACTGACCTTCACATGGCCTGATAATCTGTCTGTCCGTCCGTCTATCTACATTATTGATCTATCGATCTATCTATAGCAGCTCCAACTGACCTTCACATGGCCTGCTGATCTATTCATCCATCCATCTATCTACATTATTGATCTATTACTGCTGATCTATCTATCTATCTATCTATCCAACTGCTGCTGATCTATCTATCTATCTATCTATCTATCTATCTATCTATCTATCTATCTATCTATCTATCTCCATCCATCCATCCATCCATCCATCCATCCATCTATCTACATTATTGTTCTATTGATCTATCTATTTCATCTATATCTCATCTATAGCAACTGCAACTGATCTTCACATGACCTGATAATCTGTCTATCTATCCATCTATCCGTCTGTCTGTCCGTCTATCTACATTATTGATCTATCTATCTATCGCAGCTGCAACTGACCTTCACATGGTCTGCTGACCTATCTATCTGTCCGTCCATCCATCCACATTATTGATTTATTCTTTCTGTCTGTCTATCTATCTATTGCAGCTGCAACTGACCTTCACCATGGTCTGCTGATCTATCCATCCATCCATTCCTCTACATTATTGATTTATTCTATCTATCTATAGCATCTGCAACTGACCTTTACCATTGCCTGATGATCTATCCATCCATCCATCTGTCTATCTACATTATTGATTTATTCTGTCTATCTGTCTGTCTTCTATCTATCTATCTATCTATCTATCTATCTATCTATCTATCTATCTATCTATCTATCTATCTATAGCAGCTGCAACTGACCTTCACCTTGGCCTGATGATCTATCCATCCATCCATCCACTCATCTGTCTATCTACATTATTGAATCTATCTATCTATCTATCTATCTATCTATCTATCTATCTATCTATCTATAGCGGCTACAACTGACCTTCAACATGGTCTGCTGATCTATCTAACCATCCATCCATCTACATTATTGATCTACTCTTTCCAGCTATCTACCTATTGCAGTTGAAACTGACCTTTACTGTGGCCTGCTGATTTATCTATCTATCCATCCATATGTCTATCTACATTAGTGATCTATCTATCTATTGCAGTTGAAACTGACCTTCACTATGGCCTGCTGATCTATGCGCTTATCCATCTATCCGTCGATCCACCCAACTATCTAGAGCAGGAACAGCTGCAACTGGCCTTCACCATGGCCTGCTGGTCTATCTATCCATCCATCCATCTACATTATTGATATACTCTATCTATCTATCTATCTATCTATCTATCTATCTATCTATTGCAGTTGAAACTGACCTTCGCTGTGGCCTGCTGATCTATCTATCTATCCATATGTCTATCTACATTATTGATCTACTCTATCTATCACAGTTGAAACTGACCCGGCACCATGGCCTGCTGATCTATGCGCCTATCCATCTATCCATCCATCCATCCACCCATCTGAACTATCTATCTATCTATCTATCTATCTATCTATCTATCTATCTATCCATCCATCCATCCATCCATTCATGTCTATCTACATTATTGATCTACTCTATATATCTATCACAGTTGAAACTGACCATCACCGTGGCCTGCTGATCTATGCGCCTATCCATCTATCCGTTGATCCACCCAACTATTTAGAGAAGGAACAGCTGCAACTGGCCTTCACCATGATCTGAGGGTCTATCTAACTATCCATCCATCTACATTATTGATATACTCTATCTATCTATCTATCTATCTATCTATCTATCTATCTATCTATCTATCTATCTATCTATCTAGTGCAGTTGAAACTGACCTTCACTGCAGCCTGCTGATCTATCTATCTATCTATCTATCTATCTATCTATCTATCTATCTATCTATCTATCTATCTATCCATATGTCTATCTACATTATTGATCTACTCTATCTATCACAGTTGAAACTGACCCGGCACCATGGCCTGCTGATCTATGCGCCTATCCATCTATCCACCCAAACAATTTAGAGCAGGAACAGCTGAACTGACCTTCACCATGGCCTGCTGATCCTCGCTGTACTCCACTTGAGCGGTGGAGAGGTTGATGATCCCTCTTTCCACGGGGTCCTTGTCGCTGTTGTAGATGAAAACATAGGGGCGGCGGACCACCACAAAGTGCTTTGCCCACGACGGAGAGAGGGGCTCCTTGAAGTGCAAGTAGCCTTTCTTGGAGACCACAGAGCTGGAGGGGGCAAAGCACAAGGAGGAGGAGGAGGAGGAGGAGGAGGAGGAGGAGAAAGCATTCAGAACAGAGACCCAAACGAGGAATTGCATTTAAAGCAATCAAGAGTGAAAGATGTAAATAAAAAAAGGAAACCTCAGCAATGCAGCCCTTTGTGGGCAATGATTATTTGAGGCATATCTTCCATGCCCTCTGGTGGCCACACGTTATTTCATAGAATCGTCAAATCATTCCAATGATGAACAACAGTGGTCGCCCTGTGAGTCGCCCTGGAAAATTCCTCTTGATGTTAACAGTATCATAGCTGCACACAAATAACTCTGTTTTCCATTGTTTCATTGCATTTTCAGTGAACCTGCTAATATTTTCACAAATCCTGATGACATTCAGACATTTGATGATCCAACTATGGGCAGTGAGTCAAATGCTTTTTTGTAATCAATCCAAGTTGTATAGTGGTTTGTTTTGTGGCTCTTGCAATTCTCCAGTATCATCTTGTCAATCAGAAGCTGATCTTTCGTGTCCTTACTTCTTCTTTTATTGCCTTTTTGTACTACTGGCAAGATGGTATTTGCCTCCAAGCGATCCTGAATTTGATCAGCTGCTGCTGCTATTATTATTATTATTATTATTATTATTATTATTATTATTATTTAGATCTTCTATGTGATCATTACCTTGACTAACTGGCTATTGCCCCAATGTTGGGCAAAATTCATCCATTTATTTATTAGTTAAGGGGAACTGTGGGAGAAAAAACAAATTCCCTTGATCTTGGCTAGAAATGAGGGTTTGGGGAACCGTAATGTGAACTCGGGGCACTCACCCAGGTCGGATTTCCTCAATGTCAGGAACCAGGTTCAGGAACTCGTTCTTGCCGGCCCTGGCCAAGTAAGAGGCTTCAACCGGCGGCATCAACTGGAACGGCTCTCCTTCTGGACCAGGACTAGAGGTGCGGGAGTTTGCTTCAGGGGTCCTTAAGGTTAATAAAAAGTGAAAGAGAAAAGGAAATCATCCTAAGAGAGAGGAAGTCAAGGGCCACATTTGGGCACCATGCTTTGCCATGGCTGATGTTAACTCAAGTCTCAAATTGCCCCATAGATGAATAAATAAACCACAGTATGATCTCCCACTTTCTCTACATATTTTGTTCCACTTGTGGAGGGAGGTGGAGAAATAAATGAGGGACAAGCCACAGTCCAGCAAGCCAGCTATCTGTGTGTGTGTCTGTCTAGCCATCCATCCATCCATCCATCCATCCACCTGAACTATCTATCTATCTATCTATCTATCTATCTATCTATCTATCTATCTATCTATCTATCTATCTATCTACCCTTCTGATCCATCTGTCTATCCAGCCAGCCAGCCATTCAAATTACCTGTCTGCCTGTCCGTCCATCCACCTGAACTATCTATCTATCTATCTATCTATCTATCTATCTATCTATCTATCTATCTATCTATCCAGCCAGCCAGCCAGCCAGCCAGCCAGCCAGCCAGCCAGCCAGCCAGCCAGCCAGCCACCTGAACTATCTATCTATCTCTCTATCTCTCTATCTCTCTCTCTCTCTCTCTCTATCTATCTATCTATCTATCTATCTATCTTCCCTATCTATCTATCTATATCTATCTATCTATCTATCTATCTATCTATCTAGCCAGCCAGCCAGCCAGCCAGCCAGCCAGCCAGCCAGCCATCCATCCATCCATCCATCCATCCATCCATCCATCCATCCATCCATCCATCCATCTATCTATCTATCTATCTATCTATCTATCTATCTATCTATCTATCTATCTATCTATCATCCTATCCATCCATCCATCTATCGTCCTATCCATCCATTCATCCTTGCCTATTATTATCTGTCCATATTATCTATCTATCTATCTATCTATCTATCTATCTATCTATCTATCTATCTATCATACCATCCACATCCATTTTTCCGTGGTTGCCCAGCCCATCTATCTATCTATCTATCTATCTATCTATCTATCTATCTATCTATCTATCTATCATCCATCCATCCATCCATCCATCCATCCATCCATCTGAACTATCTATCCATCCATCCATTTGAACTGTCTATCTATTGCCCATTCAACCATCCATCCATCTGTCCATCTGAACTATCTATCTATCTATCCTTCTCCTGTATATACTCAAGTAAAATAATAAATGTAACAATAACACTAATAGAGTAAAATAATAAATGTAATATAATAATAATAATAATAATAATAATAATAATAATAATAATAATAATAGCAGAGTAAAATAATAATTATCTTCTACTCCAGTATAAGCCGAGCGGGGCTTTTTCAGTCTAAAAAAGGGCTGAAAAACTTGGCTTATACTTGAGTATATACGGTATCTGATCTGATCTAATATATCTTTCTATCAGATCGATCTTTCTATGAGTTATATCTTTCTATCAGTTCTACCTATTGATCGATCCATCCATCAGCCTGGTTTACATGACCTCTGGTAGCAAACATTTTTATCTGGCTTTAGGGGATTAGAGTGAAGCAACTATATACAGAAATAGAAAGATTCGGGAATGCACAAAGGAAGGCACCCAAAGCTTCTCCTCCCACAAAACTCACTTCTGATCCACGGAGTTGCACCTGGAATCCGCCAGCGAGGGGCAAGTCGAGGAGGGCGTGAGGGTGGCGCTGCTGAAACTGGACACCGACGGGTCCCTCCCGATGGGAGAGATATCGGAGAGCTACAAGGACGCAAGAGATTGGAAGTGACCAAGGTGGAGCCAGTTAGTTTTTGGAAACAGCACCCTGCAGAGCAGGCAAACAAACAACCCCAAACACAAGTACAAACTGGGCTTCCCCTTCAAATATTTCCTATTTACCTTACAATCACTGATGCTGTTGTAGACCTGGTTGTAGTCACGGTTGAACGTGTGAGTAAGAAGCTGCAGGCACTGAAAATATATATATAAAAAACGTATTATTTGGATGGAAAACAGGTGTATTACACGTTTGTTTGGGTCTATCCAGTGTAGTTCTGTACCTTGGTGGCCAACTCTTTCTCTCGATCCACCAGGCTCTCGATGTCCGTCGAGTCGTAGCCGCTGCTCTCGCTGGGCGTGATGGCGCTCTCAAAGGTGGTGGAGGAGATCTGGGAGGAGATGCTGGTGGAGGTGCTGAGGGTCCCGCTGCTGAGGCTCGGGGACAGCGAGTCACTCAAGGACTTGGGCAGGCTGTCCCCGAGCTTCTCACGCAGCAGCAAGAAGTGGCGAGTCTTCTCGACCTGAGCGGGAAAGAAACGTCGTCACAAAGACATCATTTGGGGCACGTCTCAATGGTATCAATAGAGGAGGTAAACAGTTGGAACAACGTCTTCAGGACTACAACCTCGACAGCCAGCAATTCACTCCCCTGTTGTAGTTCAGCCTTTGATTGAGCCTGATCTATTTGGGGATTCTGGGTTTGTTAGTCATTCTGATGACTCTGGGGCTTCTGGATCTGCAAGTCAGCAGAAGAGCCAGCAAGAGATTTTAAACCCTGCAAATAAGCAGTCTGTGTCTGAAGGCCACATTCCTGAAAGGCAGTTCAGAAACAGAACTGAGCTCAGAGGATGAAAATGAAAGTCCAGGTAGACAAACTACTGAAGGGTTAGATAGGAGATTTATGTTTTGTCAACATAGAGCTTCTCGGGAGAATTTACGAAGGTCAAGATGCCTATTAGTTTCCGGGCAGAAGCAATGATTTTCTCTCTAAATTAGCTAGCCCAGTAGATGGGTCCGTTAGTCCAGGCAATGTTGGTGTTTGAGTATAGATCTACTGTCAGGTCAAGGGATTTCTAGTTCCATGTTCAAGGTTTCTTTTTGTTCATGTCTCATGATTCCAAGTTTTGAGGCCTGTTCCTGATTCTCATGTTTTGGATTTCTCCTGCTTTTTTATTCCTGGTTTTTGATGTTAACTTGTGTACTTTGAATTCTGTGGATTATTCCTGATATTAATTAATTTATTTATTTACAACATTTGTGTCCCGCCCATATCAGCCCAAAGGCGACTCAGGGCGGCGTACAAGTTGGCAATATATAAAAATATATACATCAATAAAAAGCAAAAACATCATTTAAAAACCATAAAAGCAATGAATAATAAAAAATTATAAAAACGATATCTTCTTGGGCTATGATTTTTTTTTTTGTTTCTGTTTTTTGGGGGTTTTTTTTGTTTGATTGTTTGTTTGGTTTTTTTGCTACTTTACCTTGGACTGGAGTGTGTGTTAAGTACAGAGATGGTTCCCAGCCCCAAAATAATTATTCCAGGCTTGAGTCAAACCCAGGTGCCCACCTCATGGAGTAGCTCCAGTTTCTCCAGTTCCCACTGGTGCTCCAGAATGAGGCTGTCCCCTCGGGGCCTCCAGCCCGCCAGGTTCTCCTCTCCCCGGACGTAGGCCACGGAAGTGTCCAAGACTTTTCTCCTCCGCCGCTGCATCCCTGAAAAGCAAGTCAAGGAGCTCAAGTTTAACAGCCGGGATCCATGCCAGCTAACAGGAAGGACTCCTCCCAGTTCAAGCCCACTTTGGACTCCCATCACTTCTCTGCCACTTCGGTGATTTTCAGAAGATAAAGACCACCGTCTTGTGAAATGTCATTTGTTGCTTTAGAGCAGTGTTTTTCAACTGGAGGGTCATCAGGGGGGTTTCAGAGGGGTCGCCAAAGACGATCAGAAAACATATATTTCTGGTCTTTAAAACCACTTTGGCAGAGAAGGCTGAAGACCTCTCTGCCTACCCTTTTCTTCCTTTTTGGAAACAGAGAGCGAATCCTCCCACCAAAAGCCCTCCTCCGCTGTGATTGGCTGGCCTCCCCTCCCATTGGCTGTTTCTGAGACTCCAAGTGGGGAGAGGGAGAGCAGGAGTGCTTCACGCATGGCAGCATGGTGCCAAATTTGTGCCAAATTTAGTACAGATCCATAGTCATTTGGGTTTGCAGTACTCTCTGGAGGTAGGTGAACTACATCTCTCCTAAATCACTGCCAATTCTTCCCAAATCCCTACAGTATTTTCTGTTGGTCATGGGGGTACTGTGTGGGAAGTTTGCTCCAATTCTTTCGTTGGTGGGGTTCAGGATGCTCTTTCATTGTAGCTGAACTCAGGGGCAGCTCAACCCATTACGCAAAGTAAGCATTCGCAGTACAGTTGATTTTGCCCAGGGGCGCTCTTGAGGCGCTCTTGGGGGAAAATAGACCTTGACATATGCGAGTTGTAGTTACTGGGATGTATAGTTCACCTACAATCAAAGAGCATTCTGAACTCCACCAATGATGGAATTGAACCAAATATGGCACACAGAACTCCCACGACAAACAGAATATATATATCAATGATTGGTTGGGGGGGGGGGAATACTGTTTGCTTACCATTGAAAATTACCTAGGGCCGCCTCTGCCTGAACTACAAATCCCAGCAACCACAACTCCCAAATGTCATTGTCTACTTCTCCCAAATTCTATCAGTGTTTACATTTGGACAAACTGAGTATTTACGCCAAGTTTGATCCAGATCTATCATTGTTTGAGTCCACAGCGCTCTCTGGATGTAGGTGAACTACAACTCCCAAACTCAAGATTAATGCCCACCAAATCCTTCCAGTAATTTCTGTTGGTCCCTGGAGTTCTGTGTGCCAAGTTTGGCCCAATTCTACCATTGCTGGAGTTCAGAATGCTCTTTGATTGTAGGTGAACTATAAATGCCAGCAAATACAACTCCCAAATGACAAAATCAATCCTATCCCAACTCCACCAGTATTGCAATTTGGGCGTATACGGTGTTTGTGCCAAATTTAGGCAAGTGAATGAAAATCCATCCTGCATGTCAGATATTTACATGACGATTCATAACAGTAGCAAAATTAGAATTATGACGTAGCAACGAAAATTGTGTTAAGGTTGGGGTCACCACAACATGAGGGACTTTATTAAGGGGTTGCGGCATTAGGAAGATTTAGAAACACTGCTCTAAGTCAAAAAAAGAGCTGCATCTCTAGGACAATAGATGGCAGAAAATTTCCTGCATCGTAGGGGGTTGGACTAGATGGCCCATGTGGTCTCTTCCAGCTTTATTATTCTATGATTCTGGGATTCTAAGGCTCTCCCTGGCTAGGACCAAGAGCCATTGAGTTGCTTATCCCTGTATTATTATTATTATTATTATTATTATTATTAATAATAATAATAATAATAATAATAATAATAATTTTATTGATTGCCCATCTCTCCTTATGGCTTGAGGCGGGGCACAATACATCATAATAACAGCTAATATTACTAATAATATTACAGTATAGTGGTACAGTACAATATAATAATATATAATACTAATACTGTGCTGTGCTAATAATATATTGTATACACATATAATATTGATAATAATATTATAATGTAATACAATACTGATAAAATATTACAATATAGTAATTATATATTTCATATTACATGTAATATTACTAATAATATCACAGTATAGTGGGACAGTACAATATAATATATGTAATACTAATACTGTGCTAATAATATATTGTATGCACATATACTATTGATAATAATATAATGTAATACAATACTGATAATAATACAATATAATAATTATATAGTTCATATTACATGTAATATTACTAATAATATCACAGTATAGTGGTACAGTACAATATAATAATATTTGTAATACTAATACTGTGCTAATAATATATAGTATGCACATATAATAGACAATAATATGATGTAATACAATACTGATAATAATACAATATAATTATATATTTCATATTATATGTAATATTACTAATAATATCTCAGTATAGTGGTACAGTACAATATATGTAATACAATACCGATAAAAATAATACAATATAATAATTATATATTTATTACATATAATATTACAGTATAGTGGTATAGTACAATATGGGAATGTATGGTACTGATATTGTGCTATGCTAATAATATAATATATTGTATTTACTTATAAATGTCGTAAATAAGTAATAATCCAAGCGAGACCTTTAAACCAGTTCTCCTTAGCCCCATCCAGCATTCTAAGCATCATGCTGGCTCTTGTTTATGAACTTTACTTTGCATTGATGTGAAAGTGGCCAACAAGGCTGCTTACCTGGGCTCCCCGTATCGGACATTTTGCACAAGCTCAGCTCGTAGATTCCAGTTATGCGGTTGCTGTTTTGGGAAAAACAAATAGAGAACACAAAAAAGTAATGAGGGCAAAACAACAATAAAAATGTAATGTTCGTTTGTGGTATTCACAGAACTCAAAAACCCCTGGATGAATTGGCACCAAATTTGAACACGATACACCTAACAACCCAATGTATGTTCTCCACTCAAAAAACTCCACAAAAACAAAAAGTAGAAAGGACTTCTGAACTACATGTCCACAAAGGAGAAACTGCATGTCTACAAAGAGACCCATGGCCACGCCCCCTCCTCCTCCTCGCGGGGAAACGGCCGGCTGTTAAAGCTTGATGAGCCAGGCGCGCATGCATGGCCCCACACACACACGAGAGTGGGCACCATGGGAGTAGAGGGGGAGGCTTGCCGCATGGAGCCCCTTCTCTTTCCCTGCTATGCCAGGAGGGCAGTCTCCTCCTCCTCCATCTTTCCCTGTTGGAAGAAGCCAGCGGGTGGGGGATGGACTTTCTGTAGACCCTTCTTTCTTTTTTAACTCTTTCCTTTCTGTCTGACCTGCTCGTCTGTCTCCAGCAACACAAGCAGACATTTAACACACACACAGGAGGTAGCTGCCTCTGCCACACTCCACCCGAAAGGACACCCTTCCCTTCTTTCCTCCCTCCTTTTCTTTCCTTTTCTTCCTTCCTTCCCCTTCCTTTCCTCCCCTCCTCCTTCCTTCCTGTCCCTCCCTCCTTCCTTCTCCTTCCTTTCCTTCTTTCCCTCCTCCCTCCCTTCCTTTTCCTCTTCCTTCTTTTCCTTCCCCAATATTTTCTTCATCCCCCTTTCTTTCCCTCCTTTCCCTTCCTCCTTCCTTCCTTCCATCCTTTTTCATTCCCTTCTTTCCCTGCTCCCTCTCCTTTCTTTTTATTTTCTTCCTTCCTTCTTTGTAAGCTATAAATACAATCATTATAATGTGGAGTGCAGATTACATATAAATGTTAAAATAGATATATATATATATCTTACTAATGTCACAGGGAAAAGAAGGAGACAAAGAGTGAAAGAAGAGAGGGAAGGGAAAGGAGAAGGAGGGAAAAGGAAGGAAGGAAGGAGGAAAGGAGGGAGGGAAAGAAGAAGGAAAGAAAGAAAAAAAGATAGAGAAGCAAGGAAGGAGAGAAAAATAAAAAAAGAGAGGGAAAGAAGGAGAGAAGGAACAAAAGACAGGGAAGGAAGGAAGGAAGGAAGGAAGGAAGGAAGGAAGGAAGGAAGGAAGGAAGGAAGGAAGGAAGGAGAGAAGGAAGGATGCAACCAAAGAGCAAAGAAGGGGGGAAAGAAACAGGTAGAGATGGAAGAAAGAAGAGAAATAGGAAGGGAAAGAAATAGAGGAAAGGAAGGAAAGAGGGAAGGAAGGAAAGAAAGAGGGAGGGAAGTTTGGCCACAGCAACACGTGGCAGGTACAGCTAGTATATAATAATAAAAAGAAAAGAAGTAAATTCACAAAAAGTCCGAAGAAAGAGGGAGGGAAGTTTGGCCACAGCAACACGTGGCAGGTACAGCTAGTATATAATAATAAAAAGAAAAGAAGTAAATTCACAAAAAGTCCGAAGAAAAAGGTGTTAACAGTTTCCTTGAAGATGACTGAATTGGGGACTTTCTGCAGGCAAGGTCTCTGAGCCACGGATGCAGCAACACAGGTGCCCTACTCTCCAAGTCAAACCATAGTTTGAAACTTCCCTTTTCCGCCACCTGCACGCACCATAAAAGGAAAACACAACTTACGCATCTGGGGATTTGGAGTAACCGCTGCCGAAGAGGCTGCGCAGGGAGCGAGGGGGTGAGATCTTGGCGTCTCGCGAGTAGAAGACCATGCAGATGTCCTTGGTGATCACTGCCGGTTGGATGCAGTGGTCCAGCTGAAAGGAAAGCATTTGTCAGTCACTTCTTTTGGGCTAGGTGTGACAACCCCAAGTGTTGTACAAGTCATTTCAGTATATTTGGGGGCAGGAGACGCACACTCACCTCGAGGTAAGCCGAGAGAGTCATGAAGATCTTCTCGCCGTAAGGAGTCACCCGATTCAGGAGAAGCGAGTTGTGGAGGGAGCTGTCCCAGACGGCCTCGAAGCGGTAGAAGGTCCTGAAGGGAGCAGGAGAGAGACCTTAGGCCCAGGCAACACTCCTGGCCCAAGGAGCACCTCCGGGATCCCAGTTTATCAAATCACAGGGAGGGAAAAGTTTTGCGGCTGCAAGAAAGCCCCACCAGAACCACATAACATGGCTCCAAGGGAAGGAGAAACATAAATGGGGTCTGTGAGGCAAGAGAGGAGTACTAGAGCAGGCATGGGGAAACTTTCTAACTTGGAGGGCTGCACGGTGAATGGGACAGGAGGGAGGGGCTTCTCCCCAAGCCCCCTCCCTGACCTTTCCTCCCTCTTCTCTTTCGGAGGCAGAAAGTGAGGGAAAGTCGGGAAATGTTTGGATCCCAAAAGGGTTCAGTGTGAGAGGTCTCAGTATGAGAACGCCTCAATGTTAGTAGGCCTCAGTGTGAGGTAGTCCTCAGAGTTCAGTAGGCCTCAGTGTGTGAGAAGGTGTGTGTGGATCCCAAATGGGTTGGCCGTAGTCAGGATGAGATGATGGACAGGAGAGAACAAGTGTATCCATGAGACCCTGTATTGCCTACTCCTGATATACAATCCTAGAGTTGGAAGAGACCCCCAAAGGCCATCCAGTCCAACGCCCTGCCAAGCAAGAAGACACTCTCGGTAGACAGCCTCTGTGGAAAAGCCTCCAGAGAAGGAGACTCCACCACACTCTGAGACCGCCTCTACCACTCTTCAGGAAGTTCTTCCGAATCTTTTCAATTGAATCTCTTTCCCTGTTACTTAAATCTATTGCTCTCTTGTGCCCGGGTCTCTAAAGCAAGAGAAAGTCAATTTCCCGCCTCTTCCTCCTCCTCAATGGGACGCCCTCTGAAATCTTGAAACATGGTTCTATGTTCCCTCTCGACCTTCTCTTCTCCCAGGAAAACATCCCCCAGGAGGAAAGGAGGAAGGAAAAAGAGAAGAGAGGGAGGGAGAGAGGAAGCAAGGGAGGAAGAGAAGGATGGAAGGGTGGAAGGGAATGGACGGAGGAAAGAAAGAAGGAAAGAGAGGAAAGGAAGGAAGGAGAAAGAGGGAGAGAGGGAAGAGGGGAAAGAGGGAAGGAGGGAAGAGAAAGGGGAAGAAGAGGAGAGGAGAAAGAGGGAGGAAGGAGGGGGAAAGAGAGAGGGAAGGAGGAAAGGGAAGAAGAGAAAGAAGGAAGGAAGGAAGGAAGGAAGAAAGAAAGAGAGGGAGGAGGGAGGGAGGGAAGGAGGGAAGGAAGGGAAGAAGGGAAAGGAAGGAAGAAAAGGATGAAGGAAATGGAGGGAGGGAGGGAGGAAAGAGAGAAGGAAAGACAAAAGGGGAGGAAGAAGAGAAGGGGAAGGAGAGGAAGAAGGAAAGGATGAAAGGGTGGAAGGGAAGGAAGGGGGAGGAAGAGGGAGGGAAGGAAGGAAGGGGAGGGGGGGCAAGGGAGGGGAGGAAGGTTCTCATTATCAAGAACCAAGGATACTAAAGGAGAAAGGACTATACATCATACAATAGGAAACAAACCTACCGTTAAGGATAGCAAAGGAGGAAAGGAGAGGTATAAGAATAACAAACAAAACATAAAGGTTAAGGAAAAAAGGCGTAACAAAGGGAGGATCCTAAAGCAACAGGAAAGACAAAAGAGAGGGGAGGAAGAAGAGAGAGGGGGAAGGAGATAGGAAAGAAGGAAGGATGAAAGGGTGGAAGGGAAGGAAGGAGGGAGGGAGAACGAGGGAGGGAAAGAAGGAAATGAGGGAGGGAAGGAGGAAGGAAAAGAAAAGAGAGGGAGGGAGAGAGAAAGCAAGGGAGGAAGAGAAGGATGGAAGGGTGGAAGGGAATGGATGGAGGAAAGAGAGAAGGAAGGAAATAAAAGGGAAGGAAGGAAGGAAGGAAGGAAGAAAGGAAGGAAGGAAGGAAGGAAGGAAGGAGAAAGAGAGGAGGGAGGAAGGGGGAGAAAGGAAGAGGGAAGGGATGAGAGGGTGAAGGGAAGGGAAGGAGGAGGGAAAAAGGAGGGAAGGAGGGGGGAAAGAGAGAAGGAAGGAAAGAGGAAAGGGAAGAAGAGAAGGGAGGAAAGAAGGAAGAAGAAAGAAAGAGAGAGAGGGGGGGAAGGAGGGAGGGAAGAGGGAAGGAAGGAAGAAAAGGATGAAGGGAATGGAGGAAGGGAGGGAGGGAGGAAAGACAAAAGGGAAGGAAGGAGGAAGAGAGAGGGGAAAGGAGATAGGAAAGAAGGAAAGAAGGAAGGATTAAAGGGTGGAAGGGAAGGAAGGAGGGAGGGAGGAAGAGGGAGGGAAAGAGGAAGAGGGGGAAGAGGAAGGAAAGAGAAGGATGGGAAGAAGGAAGGAAGGAAGAAGGGAGAAAGAGGGAGTTAAGGAAGGAAAGAGGAAGGAAAGGGAGAAGAAAGGACAGATAGGATGGTGAGAAAGGGCCTGGGAAAAGAGCCGAAGGGGCACATCCAGCCCCCGGGGTGGGTTTACCCACGCCTGTACTACAGGATGTCCTCAGCTCATCGGAGCATTTGGGTCCATGCTCAATGGATGACTCAGGAGCCCTTCCTTCTGGATTAAGTGGTTGACATTCCAGAGTAAGGAAGCTAAGGGGGGGGGGGGGGGGCAACCACCTTCCACATAAATCAGAGTCCTTTCCCACAAAGAATGGTCTTCCAGAACGATCGGAGCTGTGGACTCTTTGCCACATATCCAAAGTATATTTCACAAGGACATCTATAACTAGGCAGGTTGGTGCATGTTGCAAGAAGCAAAGGAGAAGGAGGAGGCAGAAGGGTTGCAGGAAAAGGAGAGAGAAGGCAAAACACAAGACGAGGAACATTCAACTCAGATTGCTAACGTTGCAGACGACAACAGAGCCTGAGAGAGCATAAAAACCATACTCTGGTGCAAAAAGAATGGAAACAGGAATATATTCTGAGCAACTAATTTACAGTGCCATAAAACTCTCCAGCAGCGTGCAATAAAATGAGGAAGTACTCCATCAGTGTCACAAGTGGACGGTGAAGCGACAGCTCCCCCGGTGGCCGGAATTCAAAGCATACCCTCATGAAGCTGGAAAGTTAAATAGCCTCTGTGTGTCTGTCTAAATATGTTGTGTGTCTATGGCACTGAATGTTTGACGTTTTATGTGCATTGTGAGCCGCCCTGAGTCCCCTGCGGGGTGAGAAGGGCGGAATATAAATACTGCAAATAAACAAACAAATAAATAAACGTCAAGACATCGTGGCAGGGACAAAGCAAAGGAGCACAGGGAACAGAAGAAGGAAAAGAGGGGTGAGTTTGTCTTCCGTTCCTTAGGAGAGAAGATATAGACTCCAAGGAATGGGAAAGGGAGCACAACACTCCAGATTTGCTAAGGACTCGTGGTTACGGGAATGACATAAAGGATTCTGAGCCAGAATCTTTATGCGCCAAGGAAGCAAACTGAAAAATACCTAGGCATATCCTTATCAAGGAAGAGCCTGTGAAGACATAGAAAGCGTCCATTAGTGCAGCCCAGAAGCCAGAAACAACCGAGAGGGAAAAGAAAAAAGACAAAGAGAGAACGAACGGAACAGCCAAGCAGCCACCCAAAAACCACATTGGCACGAAGCACACAAGACAGCGTATTCACACACCCTGCAAGATGTGCACACCACTACTGATATTAACATTCAAAAAATGCAATTTCGCAAAATCAGAGGTGGATCTCCAACTATTTCTGGTGTATTTATTTGCTGGCATTTTGGGAAGTCCTTGGGGCCTCACATGTGTATTCTTAGGGGCAGAAAACTCTCTCCACTTGGTTACCATTCCATGGGATGGCTAGTCTTTCAAGGGTTTGCCACTGCTACGGCTTTGGAAGTTGTGCCTACTGCTCTGCATATAGCCAGGCAGGTCACCAAAATTAATAATAATAATAATATAATTATAATGTATTATTATAATGTATTATTATTATTAATAATAATACAAAATCCAGCATATATCTTGTTTACTGTGACATACTGTGTTTTTGTGTCAGTAAAATATAATAATATAATCATAATATAATATATTATTATCATTATTATTATTATAAATACGAAGTCCAGCATATATATCTTCTTTGCTGTGACACATTGTGTTTTTGTGTCAGTATAATAATATAATAATAATAATAATAATAATAATAATATATTATTATTATTATTATAAATACAAAGTCCAGCATATATATCTTGTTTGCTGTGACATACTGTGTTTTTGTGTCAGTAAAATATAATAATATAATCATAATATAATATATTATTATTATAAAAACAAAGCCCAGCATATATATCTTGTTTGCTGTGACATACTGTGTTTTTGTGTCAGTAAAATATAATAATATTGTAATAATATATTATTATTATTATTATTATTATTATTATTATTATTATTATTATTATAAATACAAAGCCCAGCATATATATCTTGTTTGCTGTGACATACTGTGTTTTTGTGTTAGTAAAATATAATAATATTGTAATAATAATAATAATATATTATTATTATAAATACAAAGTCCAGCATATATATCTTGTTTGCTGTGACATACTGTGTTTTTGTGTCAGTAAAACATAATAATAATAATAATAATAATAATAATAATAATAATAATAATATCATCAGCTGCAAAGACTCTGGCACAAGCCAGTCAAGGGGGTCCCGGTGGTGATCGGCACACTGGATGCAGTGCCTAAAGACCTTGGCCTGCACTTAAACACAATCATCGCTGACAAAATTGCCATCTGTCAGCTGCAAAAGGCATGGAATCTTTGCCGATACATCACACAGTCCTAGACACTTGGGAAGTGTCCAACGTGTGTTCCGATACAACAGCCAGCACAGTGATCTTGTTTGCTGTGGACTCATCTTGTGTATCAAATAGTAGTAGTAGTAGTAGTAGTAGTAGTAGTAGTAATAATAATAATAATAATAATAATAATAATGCTTTCTGACCAATTTCCTCCAACTACAATCGGGCACAATTTGTTCCCACTTATACTATGTTTTGACTGTTTACACTGCCTCAAGCCGTTAGGAGAAGTGGGTAACAAATAAATTATTAATAAATAAATTTCTTGCTGTTTGGTAGCCAAGGTTTGTTTTCTGTAGAATTACTCACAGTGGGATCATCGCAATGATGAACAACAGTGGTGACAATGAGTCACCCTCAAAAATTCCTCTCTTGATGTTAACAGTTCCATAGCTGCCCACAAACAACTCAGTTTTCCATTGTTTCATTGCATTTTAAGTGAACTTGCTGATATTATCACAAACCCCGATGACATTCAGACATTTGATGATCCAAATATGTGAGTCTAATGCTTCTTCATAATCAATCCAAGTCATATAGAGGTTTCTTTTGTGGCTTTAGCAATTCTCCAGTATCATCTTGTCAATCAGAAGCTCATCTTTCATGCCCCTACTTCTTCTTTTATTACCTATTTGTTCTACTGGCAAGATGTTATTTGCCTCCAAGTGATCAGCTATTATGCCTGTCAGCAGTTCGAATACTGTAGACAGACATGTTATTGCCCTGTATTAGTAGTAGTTGTTGTTATTTAGACTGTACCCCCTAAATTTAAATTCCAGTTTGCTTAGATATAGAGTTGGCTGCCCATTCTAGCACTGTTTCTGTCAGGTTTTACAATGTAGTGTAATATAGCTGAGCCATGCACTGCTAATAGGCTTCTATTGGAAATTAACTGTATATAGGGAATCATTTGGGGAATGTGTTCCGGCCTAGTCCAGGTGTTTGTGAATAATCCTGGGTCTGAGTTAAGTTAATGAGTTGGGAGCCAATCAGAGATTGCTATGTGTAATTGTATAGAATTGTATATAAGGAAGTCATGTACAGTGTATTCTCTCTCCTTGTGCTGTGATGCTGTTCATCGAAGGCTCTATGTAATTGATTAAAAGAACCTGTCTGCGAAGACAAGATATAACCGTGTGCTGTGGTAAGTTTGTAATGTCATCTAGACTGGGGGAAAGACAATAGTAAAACTGACAATGGCCGAGCATGTGCTCAAGTGCCCATAAAAGAGTTCCAGAGTGACTGCAGTCTGTGGGAGCAGTTGACTGAAAATACTGTGCAGGAAGAAGCTACTGGAAAGCACTGAAGTTGTGCAACCGATCTGCTGCTGAATTGTGAAATTAATCTCAACAGTTTCGTCCAAGTCATACATTACAACACTCTTCCCAACCTTCAGAGACTTTGGTCTGTGAATCCTACTGGCTCATTGGCCAACGTTTGTGGATGACAGGTAATGGAGTCCAGTATTGTCTGGCAGCAAAGATCATCATTGGACATCCTTACCTGTTAGAGCTGTGTGAAATCCTCAGGTATTTCGCAGAGATGATATTCAGAGACAAGATGGCATCCACGGCACCCTCGTCCACTTCTGCTTTGTTTCTGATGCGCCCTGAAAGTGTGGAGAGGAAACTTAGAAGGTATTTCCATAGATTGGAAATGAAACTTATTGGCCAATCTTAAGAGATCTTCCAAATGGATCCGTGTGGTGAGAGGAACAAGGAAGGAGGAAATGCTTACCAACCACCAGCTCCCTCACATCTTTCCAGTGCAGCTCGTTTCCTTTCTCGTGGATAATTGTGACAGTGATCCTGCGCTGTATTCCCTGTAAAGATAAGCACAACAAAGCTTTAATTTCCCCTCCAAAGAGTTCCCACTCCACTTCTCTCTGTGAACCTAGTAGAATCCATCATTGAATAGCTTTCTTGCTAACTCTTGGAGGTATTGCCATACCTGATGAAGTAGAAACGTTCCTTGGCAAGGCAAGCCAGTGGTGTGGTCAACGATAGCTGGAATGTATCTGTGGAGAGGAGGCAATAAAGTCCATGTTAGACAGCAAAGGGTCGGAAGTAATCATGCCGGGACTGTGGTGCAGCTGGCTGGGAGTCAGCTGCATTAAGATCACTACTGACCAAAAAGTCCTGAGTTCGAAGCCAGCCCGGGTCGGAGTGAGCTTGCGATCAATTTGTGTAGCTTGCTATCGACCTTTGCAGCCCCCCCCCCAAAAAAAATTGCATCTGCCAAATAGGAAATTTAGGTACGCTTATGCGGGAGGGTAATTTACGACGCCATAAAAATCTCCAGCAAGCATGCAAAGAATGAGGAAATACTTCCTGCAATGATAGCATTTTTCAAAACACACTGCTGTTCCAACCAATGTTGAAAGTATATCAACCAAAGGAAAAAAGACATCTGATCTTTTGAAAAGCTGTTCCACTAAACATCTCTTAATATGAGGGACTTCCTCTGAGTGTTGGAATGAAATTGCAGGCCTTTATGTTCCTGTCCTCAAGAGCGACTCCAAATTAGAGTCCTTCATCTGATGCCTGACATACTTTCAAACTGTTTGAAGACAGCCCTCATATCTTTGCTTCTCATGGGCTAAATTTACCCAGTCTCCATGAGGTTTGATGTCAAGATCTCTCACGTCTTCTCTTCTTAAAGGGAATTTGGATCCTCACAAAGTGTTTCTCATATTCATCAATATATAGGAATGAAACGAGGCCAAACTTACTCTCCAGTCGGCTCCAACTCGCTGATCTCGAACCACACCAGGAGATCGTATTTGGTCATGCTCTGCCCCAAGCTGTGCTTGCTTAGCGTGTTCAGCTTGGTCGCTGGGACTGTAAGAGGAATACAAGGCCTACTTAGAAAAACATACAAACACAGACCATGAAACTATCACGGGAGGACTAGAAGGGCCTAAAACTGCCTAAACCTGGCTTTTCCGGGAAGTCATAGTGCTTTGTGAGGCAACAGAAGAAGTGACTGTATTTGGATCATCATTGCCTGGTTTAGGGATAGAAAGATAGAAATAAGTTTTCCCCCCATATCTATTAGGAATTGGATTTCGACAATGTCAAGAGGGTCTCCAACATTGACATCTAGCTTGTTTTATCTGACCCAAACAGCACCAATTATTGTCTTTGGAATCAAGATGGGGTATTTAAACCATAGATTATTAATCTTCTCCTAGTTTGGATGAAACATGAAACTGTGATGGGAAAAGGACGAATTGGTGGTATTCTTGGTTATAGTTTAGTGACTACAGTTCCAAAGCTGACTTCCTAGATCAGGTATGGGCAAACCTAGGCCTGGGAATCAGATGTGGTCCCTTGGGCTCTTTTCTTAGGCCCTCCTTTCTAACACCATCTCACTCTTTCTTCCTTTCTTCTCTCTTCTTATTCCTCCCCTCTCTTACATTTAATTAATTAATTGTCTTTCTAAGATCCAGAACAAATTTGTGAGATGTGTTATTTGCTTATTTTTGAAATCACCTCCATATTGTCTGCACAAGTGAATTACTTGTTTTCCAAGAAAGGGACAACATACTGAATCCCACCAACAGGATATAGTTTTCAGTATACTCCCAATTCTTATATTTATCAGTCCAATTATTAATTAATTGAATTAATTGAATTCTTATATCAGCTCAAATATCTAAATCATTAATTACTTAAATTCATTAAACAGAGCACTGGATAGTTGTTGTATGGGTTCTCTTTCTTTTCCGCCTTGTCTCGGTCTTTTACCAATATCTTACCTTCTTCTTATTTATTCCTCCCTCCAATCCCTTTCGTCTTTCCTTCCTCCTTCCTTCCCTTTTGCTTTTTCTTCCTCCTTCCCTTTCTCCTATCTTTACCTCCCTCTTTCTCCTTCCTTACTTCCATCCTTCCTTCCCTTCCACTCTTTCATCCTTCCTTCTCTCTTTCCCACCCTCCCTCCTTCCCTCCCTCTTTCTCCCTCCCTTTTTCCTTCCTTCCATCCTTCCATCCTCTTCCACTCTTTCATCCTTCCTTTTCCTTTTTCCTCCCTTCCCCCGTCTTTCCACCCTTTCATCCTTCCTTCCCTCTTTCGTCTCTCTTTCTGCCCTCCTTTTCTTTCCTTCCTTCCTGTCTTTCCTTCTTTCTCTCTTTCCCATCCTCCCTCCTTCCCTCCCTCTTTCTTTCTCCCTCCCTCCAATCCCTTCCACCCTTTCGTCTTTCCTTCCTCCTTCCTTCCCTTTTGCCTTTTCTTCCTCCTTCCCTTCCTCCTTTCCTTACCTCCCTCTTTCTCCTTCCTTACTTCCATCCTTCCTTCCCTTCCACTCTTTCATCCTTCCTTCTCTCTTTCCCACCTTCCCACCTTCCCTCCCTCTTTCTCCCTCCCTCCAATCCCTTCCACCCTTTCGTCTTTCCTTCCTCCTTCCTTCCCTTTTGCCTTTTCTTCCTCCTTCCCTTCCTCCTTTCCTTACCTCCCTCTTTCTCCTTCCTTACTTCCATCCTTCCTTCCCTTCCACTCTTTCATCCTTCCTTCTCTCTTTCCCACCTTCCCACCTTCCCTCCCTCTTTCTCCCTCCCTCCAATCCCTTCCACCCTTTCGTCTTTCCTTCCTCCTTCCTTCCCTTTTGTCTTTTCTTCCTCCTTCCCTTCCTCCTTTCCTTACCTCCCTCTTTCTCCTTCCTTACTTCCATCTTTCCTTCCTTCCCTTCCACTCTTTGATCCTTTCTTCCCTCTTTCCTCCCTTCCCTTTTGTCTTTCCTTCCTTCACTTTTTCCTCCCCCCTCCCCTCCCTCTCTCTCCCTATCTCCATTCACCTCCACCCTATCGTCCTTCTTTCCTCCCGTCCCTCTTTCCTTCCTCCCTCCTTCCCTTCCTTCCATTCCACCCTTTCGTCCTTCCTTCCTTCCCTTTTGTAATTCCTTCCTCCTTCCCTTCCTCCCCTTCCATCCTTCCCTTCCACTCTTCTTCTGTCGTTCTTCGTTATTGAGCATGATACTGAGATTTTGTTGTTGTTGGGCTGTGATGTTCATGGAATCATAGAATTGGAAGAGACCCCAAGGGCCATCCAGTCTCATGTGTCTCTTGTGCTAGGAGGGCACCATTCAAACACCCCCAGCCGATGGCCATCCAGCCTGTGGGGGCCTCCACTAGACTACGAGGCAGTCAGTTTGACTCTTGAGCAGCTGTTACGCTAAGTCCTTCCCAATGCTCAGGTGGAATCTCCTTTCCTGCCATATGACCCCATTCCTTGTCGACTAAGCCAAGACACAATCACCTGACCAGGCGGGGCCAGGGCCGAGCTCTAGGAAAGGGTGGCGGGGGGGGGGGTTGTTCCTACATCTATGACAGACGGACGCTGGCTACTAACCATCTCGCTTGGGGAACCGCTCGGTCTGGCAGCTGGGGATTGGCAGAAAGAGGAATGGAGGCAGCTGGTCGGCCCCGTCCTGGAAGGCTGCCACGGCCGAGGAGGCCAGCACGTTGGCGTGCTCCGAGAAGGTGTCCAAGACATGCACGTTTACATAGCCAGACATGAGATACCTGATCAACTCAATTTTTCTCTCATGGTCTGGAGAAAGGGAGCGGAAGGACAAGGGGGGAGAGAGGAGGGGAGTGTGAGGCAAGCGGACCATGGATGGCAAGGCACGGAGGGGCGTCCGGGAAGGGGACCAACCGAGGAGGAGGAGGCGGGAGAAAAGAGGAGGGAAAGAAACAAGAGTTCATCATGCTGAAATGAGACAAAAGAAAATCCAGGGATTGTTGCAGCAAGCTTTGGGGAGGGGTGTCATGAGTGTTAACTGGAAATGGAACGACACGGTTTACGTGGAAGTCGGACGGAGCTCCCTGAGAAGCAGGACAAATCGTTTACTACAATCAGGACAGCTGCAACCTCTAGTCCAGCCTCACCAAGCAACTTCCTCTAAAGTGGTTTTCGACTCTGGGGATGCAGGGAGATGCTGCCAAGCCCGAGAAGACTAGTTCTCACCCTGTGGGTCCCCAGATGTTTTGGCCTTCAACTCCCAGAAATCTCCAACAGCTGGGATTTCTGGGAGTTGTAGGCCAAAACACCTGGGCACCCACAGGTTGAGAAGCACTACCTGTTTCAGGATCGGGGTGCTTTGGATGTGGGGAGTGATGTCAATGAGTTTCAAGATGGCAAAGGTTTGGTCAATGATATTGATGAAGAAGGATCAGGAACAGGACACTGTTCAAAGTGTAGTTTCCCATGAGAATGTCCCTGAAGAGTGTGGAGATGCTGGTGTACTCCATGAATTGCTACCAGAGAGTTCCCAGCATTTGGGGCTTGAAAACAACTCAACACCTGACCCAGCTGCAGAAATTAATGAGCAAATACAAGGTGAGGCAGCATAACTTCCTTTTTTTTAAAATGCGCACCATTCAGTCGGCTGAAGACGTAGTGGAGCGCTAGTGGTCTCGTTTGAGAGGCGGGAGTATAAAGTTTTGTCCTGACACAGTTCAGTCGCCATCATGAGTTGGAACAGTGAGGAGCATGCTTTTGCCATTGAGGCCTACTTTTCGAGCGGATTTGGAGTGGCCAGCCCAATCTCCAGATTTGGCCCCTTGTGATTTTTTTCTATGGGGTTTTTTGAAATCCTGTGTTTATGTGAACCATCCAAGGATCCTACAAGATTTGAAGATCAACATCCAGGAAGAAACTGCCAACATAATGCCTGCTATGCTGGCAAGAGTCAGGACAAACACCAGAAATTGGTTTACTCAGTATATGGAAAATGGGGGACATCACCTACGTAATTTGGTTTTCAAAACTACGTAAAACAAAACTTTAGGTATACACCCACTTCACAGGCACGTCTGGCGGGGATGAGAGAAAGGGCCTTCTCGGTGGTGGCCCCCCGGCTGTGGAACGACCTCCCTGCTGACATCAGACAGGCGCCTTCCCTTCTGTCCTTCCGAAAGAGCCTGAAGACCTGGCTATTTGAGAAGGCATTCAACTGAGCGCTACGGCAACTGGTAATTGACAACTGGAACGGAATACGGATTACGATATTGGTTATGATTCTATGATGTGACGGAGCGGATTATTTAGTGTAACTAGATTATAGTGTATTATTGTTGTACTGATTCCCTGTTTTGCCCTTTTTGTAAACTGTTTTTATATGTTGTGCACCGCCGCGAGTCGCCCTAGGGCTGAGAGTGGCGGTCAATAAATGCAGTAAATAAATAAATAAATAATAAATAATAAATAAATTATAAAAAATTAAATAAAAATTTCTGATTCATACAATGGGTTTTATTAAGTTTTGAAAAAAGGAAGTTATGCTGCCTCACCCTGTAGATAGACTGGAGGAGATTAGTCAAAACAGACAAGCCGAACAGTGGCTTTGGTGTTCTGCCAGACTCCGACAGAAAAAGATAAGGGATTCTGAACTAAAGTGAAACCAATCTCTGAGTGCTTGGGATAGTTTAACGAAGGGATAAAAGTTCCAAGTATGGGAAATGTAGCTAGATGAAGCATAGTTTGGAATCAAGTTAAGTTTTTGTCCTTTTTCCATGGAAGCCTTGCTCGGAAGATCCATGCTTAAGTACTTGTTGTTTCATGGTTTTGATTCTTGGATTTTATGATTGCATACTCATGCCTTGGATTAATGTTTCCTAGTTTTCTGGATTTTATTGTTTTTATGGACTTTGCTGAACTTTACCCTGGATTATTTTGTTCCTGCTTATCTTCTTATCTAATTGGATTTACCTATTTTTGAAGTGCTTTCTACTTTGCTGCTTTTTAATTATCTTCAATAAAAGGATTGTTTTCCTATTCAACAGTGTGGTGTTTAAAGTCAGAGGGCTTTTCCTGTCCTGGAGAGCAACACTACCCTAGAATCAACCACACAAAACTGTCCATCTCTGAGTGGCTTGTGCTCCTGTGAACAAGATGGCTACTAAAAGCGTTCTGCAGAGCGGGATCTTCTTCCTTTCATACTAAGCTGAGAAGGCAATCTTAGGGAAACAGCTGCATAGTTTCCCTTCTCTTCTCAATTTTGGTAACAGGGAGAAAAGATGTTCCTACCTGGCTTGGAGAGCGGCATGGGAGGAGGGAAGTATCGCCGGGAAGGCTGCGGAGGGCTGAGGAAGGAAAAGAAGTGATTCCACTGGTGAGATGGCAACTCCCAGCCATCTCACCATGCATTTTAACAGACATACAACACAAATGAAATAATAAGAATATTTTGGATTCGTCTCAAATACACTTTTTCTACTCCTACCTCATCCAAGGTTTTATCATTTTATCTTGTCCATTTGGCCTGCCCATTGTGTTCGATTTTCTATTATGCTATTTTGCTTTGTTTATTTCATTTTGCCACTGTATGTACTTTATTGTGATGTAGTTTTTGTTGTTGTATTTTGCACTTTATTTTGCTGTATTGTATGTTTGAACTTGGCCTCATATTAGCTGCCCCGAGTCCCCTTCGGGGAGATGGTGGCAGGGTAGAAATAAAGATTATTATTATTATTATTGACACAAAAGCACAGTATGTCACAGCAAACGAGATCTATATGCTCGATTTTGTATCACAAAATCGCAAGTCAAACACTTCCCAAGCGTCTAGGACTGTATGATTTATTATTATTATTATTATTATTATTATTATTATTAATAATAATAATAATAATAATAATAATAATAATACCCTACCACCATCTCCCTAAAGGGGACTCGGGGCGGCTAACATGAGACCAACCCCAAAGATACAATACAGCAAAATAAAATACAAAATACAGGCAACAAAAATTACATCAGAATAAAATACATAAAATATCAAAATAAAATAAACAAAGGAGATCGACATATATAAAATCGAACACAATGGGCAGGCCAAACAGACAAGGTTCGAACTGTCTGCACAGGAAATACCATATGTGCGATTCACAGGGACCACGATGGGGAATAATAAAACCCTGGTTGAGGTAGGAATAGAAAAATAGTATTTTAATCCAGGAATTAATGGTGCCTCTGGTGGCACAGTGGGTTAAACCCTTGTGCCGGCAGAGCAACAGGTCACAGGTTCAAATTCGGGGAGAGCATGGATGAGCTCCCTCTGTCAGCTCCAGCTCCCCACACAGGGACATGAAGGAAGCCTCCCAGAAGGAGGGTAAAACATTTGGGCTGCCCTGAGTCCCCCTTTGTGGGGAGAAGGGCAGGGTATGAATACAGGAAATAAAAGAAATAAAAAAAAGAATATTGGCCTTTTGTTGAATCCAACATGGCTGCTCTTACGTTCTGTAAACACATCCCATCCTCCCTTTAAGAATTGTTTCAGCGATATGTGATATTATTTCACTTCCGTGTGACTCAAAGGACACCCTACTCAGGTACCTGTTGAGATCCTGCCCCTGAAGGTGGAGCGGATGTTGCTGATAGTGCCCAAAGACTTCAAACACGATAGGCTTCGTCTTGATGTATTCCACAAAGGATTCTGTCACTTCCACAGAAATCTAATGGAGGGGAAAAGCGAGATTACGTCACTTGGCCTGAGAAAACAATCTGCAACACTGGGTTGCTGTGAGTTTTCCGGGCTGTCTGGGCATGTTCCAGAAGCATTCTCTCCTGATGTTTCACCCACATCTATGGAGGGAATCCCCAGAGGTTGTGAGGTTTGTTGGAAACTAGTTAGGTCAGGCATATAATATATATATATATGGAAAATCCATGGTGGGAGAAATAACTCTTGCCTGTCTGAGGCAAGTACGGATGTTGCAATTGATCACCTTGATTAGCATTGACTGGCCTTGCAGCTTCAAGGCTTAGTTGCTTCCTGCCTGGGGGAATCCTTTGTTAGGGGGTGATGAGCTGGCCCTGATTGTTTCTTGTCTGGAGTTCCCCTGTTCTTTGAGTGTTGCTCTTTACTTACTGTCCTGATTTTAGAATCTGGCTCCCAGTATTTAAAAACTCTAAAATCAGAACAGTAAATAAAGAGCAACACTCAAAAAACAGGGGAATTCCAGACAGGAAACAATCAGGGCCAGCTAACACCTCCCAACAAAGGATTTCCCCCAGGCAGGAAGCAACCAGGCCTTGAAGCTGTAAGGTTCTTTAATGCTAATCAAGGTGATCAATTGGAACATTTCCACTTGCCTCAAACACATAAGGGTTCTTTTTCCCACCCTGGACATTTTATTTATTTATTTGCGACATTTATATGCCACCCTTCTCACCCCGAAGGGGACTCAGAGCGGCTTATAAGATATATATACATACAATACATTATATTATTAGCATAGTACAATATCAGCATTATATATTACTATATTGTACTATACTGTTATATCGTAATATTATTAGTAATATAAAATATTTAATTATAATATATTATTAGTAGTATTATATTGTATTACATTATAATGTTATAAATATTATATGTATATACAATACATTATATTATATTATATTATTAGCATAGTTGTCCCCTGGCCCTCGCTCTCTTCACTCTGGCCCAGAGCAGCAGTTGGACATCATTCCACAGATATATAAACCCCATTTTCCTAGTTTCCTAGTTTCCAACAGATTTCACAACCTCTGAGGATGCCTGCCATAGATGTGGGTGAAATGTCAGGAGAGAATGCTGCCATAACATAGCCAGACAGCCCGGAAAACTCACAGCAACCCAGTGATTCTGGCCATGAAAGCCTTTGACAACATATTTTCTACAGATTCCACTGTAAACACTGCATGTGTAAACACCTAAAATAGCCACTAGGTGGCATTCAGAAAACTTTCACTGCCTAACATTGTACCAAGAGGACCCCACCAGGGCCCCCAGTTTAAGAAGGAGTGATCTAGATGGTCTCTTTTTGCCCTTCCCTGGGTCTAAGATAGCACTATATCCCATCGCACTGAATTCCGAAGTTTCCCCAAAGCAGGCAGCATTCACTTACATTCTGGACATGATAGAAACCCAGAGGCGTCCCACGGCCGTTGTTTTTGAGGGGTTCGGTTGAGAATGCTTCATCGTGTCTGTGCAGAAAGCTAAGGCAACCAAGGAAAAGAAATCCCCATCAGAAACCTTTCTCTCTTTGGATCAGTATTTTTGTGTAATGGATCTGGTGACACCTATGTAGGATCGCAAGCAATTCTAGCCGAGGGTCTAATAATTATTGCAATTTCAAACCAAAGGAACCGAAACAATATTTCGAGATCTCAGCAATTTCGAACCTAAGGAACCGAAACAATATTTCAAAATCTCAGCAATTTCGAAGGAACCTAAACAATATTTCGATATCTCAGCAATTTTGAATATAAGGAACCTAAACAATATTTCGATATCTCAGCAATTTCGAACCTAAGGAACCTAAACAATGTTTTGAGATTTCAACCATTTCAAACCTAAGGAACCTAAACAATATTTCGAGATCTCAGCAATTTCGAACTTAAGGAGCCTAAACAATATTTCGAGATCTCAGCAATTTCGAACCTAAGGAACCTAAAGAATATTTTGAGATCTCAGCAATTTCAAACCTAAGGAACCTAAGGAAGCTAAACAGTATTTTGAGATCTCAGCAATTTCGAACCTAAGGAACCTAAGAAACCTAAACAATATTTTGAGATCTCAGCAATTTCGAACCTAAGGAACCTAAGAAACCTAAACAATATTTTGAGATCTCAGCAATTTCAAAACTAAGGAACCTAAGAAATCTAAACAATATTTTGAGATCTCAGCAACAACCTAATGTGATTTGATCTTTCAAAGCAGCACCAGATCGATGTAAAGTCTCACTGCAGTTACATACTTGAACTGGCAAAAGATGTCTGCATATTCTGGGAGGATCCCACTGGCTTGGAGCACCGTCACACGGAACGTGAAGACGCTGCCCAGCTTCAGGTGGTCACCAACCTCTTCGGTGAAGCCTTCCAGGGCCGTCTTGCCATCCATCAAGGTGCCAGACTTGAGGTCTGCAATAACGAAAGTCAGAAATAGAATTGTTCCATGATGATAGGGCACCTTTAGACTGCTTTCTAGACCGTTATTTCTGTCTAGCTCAACACCAAACTTTCCTTTTCCTTTTCCAAGAGATCTTTCTCCTAACAACAGCCTTCATATTGGAGCTTTCTCACATAAGGCTCCTCTCACACTGAGGTTTACCTCACTCTCCTCAGGATGACACTAGCTTTGCCCCACTGACCCTAAAAGGCTTCAGCCTACTCACCACTACTTCTGTCTAGCTCAACACCAAGCTTCCCTTTTCCTTTTCTAAGAGCCTTTTCACCTGCCAGTGAAACAGCAGCCTTCACACTGGAGCTTTCTCACATAAGGCTTCTCTCACACTGAGGTTTACCTCACTCTCCTCAGGACGACACTAGCTTTGGCCCACTGACTCTAACAGGCTTCAGCCTACTCACTCTCCTCAGAACTTGACTCACACTTTTGTAATCAAAAATACCTAGTTAATATTTAATATTTCTGACAGGGCCCAAGTTTGCCCATGCCTGCTTTAGAAGTTATAGAGTACTTCCTCAGGAGGCTTTTCTCTGTAGTAAAATAATATGGTTGCACTATTTACAAGAACAAGGTGTCCATAACAAAAACAAAGTTCTTTATACTTCCTTTTTTGCTTCCATGCTGGGCTTTTTTTCTCATGTAGATAAACAGCTTTGCTCTCACAAAGCCCCCTCTCACATCAGTTACACAGGAGCTTCACACAGTATGTTTACACACGACCGCTTTCATATTGGAGCTTCACACAGTATCTTTACACATAAGACATTCAACCTGGGGCTTCCTCTCACCAAAGCTTCTCACATCAGGCCTTCTCACACTGTGAGGCCTTCTCACAGACTATAGCCTATCTCACACGGTGAGGCCTTCTCACAGACTAAGGCCTACTTCACACTGTGAGGTCTTCTCACAGACTTCTCACACTGTGAGGCCTTCTCACAGACTAAGTCCTACTTCACATTGTGAGGCCTTCTCACAGACTAAGGCCTATTTCACACTGTGAGGCCTCACAGACTAAGGCCTATTTCACACTGTGAGGCCTTCTCACAGACTAAGGCCTATTTCACACTGTGAGGCTTTCTCACAGACTAAGGCTTACCTCACACTGTGAGGTCTTCTCTCACAGACTACGGCCTACCTCACACTGTGAGCTCTTCTCTGACAGACTAAGGCCTACCTCACATTGTGAGGCCTTCTCACAGACTGAGACATTTCTCCTACTGAGGCAAACTAACACAGAGGTCTACTAAGCTACAGGAACACCTGATTATTGTATGTCAGCCTGTTCAGCCTGTGATTGTGTCTGATGTTCATGGTGGGAATGAGGATGATGTTCCTGGTGGTGGGCCTGGGTCTGTTAGCAAATGGGATGAGGGTTTGCTTGGGCCTGAGTTAAGCTCAGACAAGAGGCCCGAGCTGTCTCAGGAAGATTCACAAGGCCACATTCCTGGGAGAGGCCCTTCACAGCTTTTCTCAGAATAACTGTCTGAAGATGATTTGTTAGGTGCGGAAGTTAATGAGAGTCAAGTTCATGAGCATAGATAGAAAGCAAAGCTCTTGTAAACAGAGACAGAGCCTTCAGAGGCTTAGACAATCAGTTGGTTTACAGGAAAAGAGAGATAAGAAACCTTTATCCGGTAAGGTCAACAGAAATGCTTTCCTTTCAGTTTTGGGATCTGGAAAAGCCTGGGAAAAAGCTGCCTCAGTCGGGTCAATGTTGGAATTTAATCATGGTTTTATTTTCAAGTGTTATTAGTTTCATGTACCAAGTTTTTGCCAAGCTCTAGATTTGTGTATTAGATTTTTGCTTATATTCCTGGACTCTTGTATGCTGCGGTGGTCATAGGTGTTTCCAGGCCTGGAGTGCAACGTTCATATTGTTTACATACCCAAGTCAGTCATCGGATTGATTTCTTCAGGAGGCGTGATGACCTCTGAACTCTGGCCCTGTCCTTCCACAATTCTCAGTTCCTCCAATGACAATCCAGAACGGGTCATTGCAACAGAGGAGAAGTTACTCTAAAATAAAGAAAGGATCTGTGAGTTGAGTTTCCTGTTCTTTTCCTATGGCAGGAACTAGCAGGTACATGTTGAACATTGAGTCAAGGTTACCTTATTAAAATACTCGTTGTCGAAAGAGATCTTAGCCGTGCCAGACTGCCGGACGCCAGATCCATAGTCAGGGGCTTCCTCGTCAGCTTCAATTTAAAAGAAAATGAGCAAATGAATGAGAGAAAGCACTCAAAGGAACAACTGGGCCTCGAACCAACGGATGGTTCAGACACAGTGAATGACCCTGACTGGTCTTGTGAGGTATATCTCCCAACCTGGACATTATTCCATAGGTATATAAACCCCACTTGCTTAGTTTCCAACAGACCTCACAACCTCTGAGGTGGTCTGCCATAGATGTGAGCAAAACGTCAGGAGAGAATGCTTCTAGAATATGACCATACAGTCCAGAAAACTCACAGCGACCCATAAAAGCCTTTGACAACACATAGAACACCTGTCTGTTTGAGGTGAGTGTGAATGTTGCAACTGGCCACCTTGATTAGAACTGAATGGCCTTGCAGCTTCAAAGCCTGGCTGCTTCTTGCCTGGGGGAATCCTTTGTTGGGAGGTATTAGCTTGCCCTAATTCCACAGTTTAGTTTTCAACAGACCTCTCAATCTCTGAGGATGCCTGCCATAGATGTGGGCAAAACGTCAGGAGAGAATGTTTCTGGAAGATGGCCAGACAGCCCCGAAAATTCACAGCCATCCAGTCATTCCGGCCACAAAAGCCTTTAACAACACATAGATCTCTTCTCTGTTTGAGGCGAGTGTGAATGCTGCAATTGGGCAACTTGATTAGCATTTAATGGCCTTGCAGCTTCAAAGCCTGGCTGGTTTCTGCCTGGGGGAATCCTTTGTTGGAGGTATTAGCTTGCCCTGATTCCACAGATATGTAAACCTCACTTGCCTAGTTTAGTTTCCAACAGACCCCTCAACCTCTGAGGATGCCGAACATAGATGTGGGCGAAAGGTCAGGAGAGAATGCTGCTGGAACATGGCCAGGCAGCCTAGGAAACTCACAGCAACCCCAAAATAATAATAATAATAATAATAATAATAATAATAATAATAATAAATAGTTGTCCCTCTCTCTATCTTCACGAATTCTCCATAGATTAAACGGCCCCTTGAAAGCACCCATGAGGCTGATGTGGCTCTCCATGAAAATGAGTCTGACACCCCTGGGAGACCGAAACATATCTCAAACCTGGAGGAAGCGTTGTGATCTTACCGGCAATCGCTTGGACGGCCACACGAAGAAATCCACGCACTTCTCCTTTCTCGCTGACCACAGCCACTCGGTGGATGAGCGGCACGGGATAAAGGAGGTTGCTCAGGTACACAAATGCCCTGGCGGAGGGAGTAAAAAGTAGAGGACGAGATTAGAACCAAGTACAGACATCACACTTCCAACTGGCTCCCTAAATACTTTGAGGTCGGCCATCTCGCGAAGAGCAGCACTGCGTGTTCAAGCTGCAGCTAAGATTTGCGGTAGAGAATCAAACCTCAACAGAAACGAGCTCAGCGCTCATGATGTTGGTTTATCCAAGGTGGTTTTCTGAAATGGAACACAGCTAGTGACGTTTTGGTTCGACGCATCTCTAACAAGGCCATGTAGAAATGCCTCAATGAGTGTTAGGGATTGTCTTAGTTCTGCTTCCCAATATATTCTGAGCAGGCGCTTTCGAAGGTAGCCCATATTGCTTCATGTTGCCCAAGTTGGGAACTTGAGCCTGTATTCCTTAGGCGTTTATGAGCTCACATGTATTCGACATGACGTGACACATTTATTTCAAGCTTGAATAGCATTGAGCAGCTATGAAGTTTGCAAAGTCAATCAGTGAGGGTATCTGCATAGAGGTAGCCTGGCTTCTGTTGCCTGGAGGCACCCTCTGTTTGGGAGGTGTTAGGGTGATAACTGCAATGAGCAAGCTTGAATGGCATTGAGCAGTCATGAAGTTTGCAAAATCAATCAGTGAGGGTATCTGCATAGAGGTAGCCTGGCTTCTGTTGCCTGGAGGCACCATCTGCTTGGGAGGTGTTAGGGTGACACTTGCAATGAGCAAGCTTGAATGGCATTGAGTAGCCATGAAGTTTGCAAAGTCAATCAGTGTGGGTATCTGCACAGAGGTAGCCTGGCTTCTGTTGACTGGAGGAACCCTCTATTTGGGAGGTGTTAATAGCACCGTTCACACTTGCAATGAGCAAGCTTGAATGGCATTGAGTAGCCATGAAGTTTGCAAAGTCAATCAGTGAGGGTATCTGCATAGAAGTAGCCTGGCCTTTGTTGCCTGGAGGCACCCTCTGTTTGAGAGGTGTTAAGTGCAACATTCACACTTGCAATGAGCAAGCATGAATAGCATTGAGTAGCCATGAAGTTTGCAAAGTCAATTGGCGAGGGTATCTGCATAGAGGTAGCCTGGCCCCTGTTGCCTGGAGGCACCCTCTGTTTGAGAGGTATTAGGGTGATAACTGCAATGAGCAAGCTTGAATGGCACTGAGTAGCCATGAAGTTTGCAAAGTCAATCAGTGAGGGTTTTGAAGGTACACGGAAGACTGAGTTGTACAGAATTGATTTGCAAGCAGCAAGAGAGAAAACTACTAATTAATGGGTTGTCAAAGGCTTTCATTATTATTATTATTATTATTATTATTTCATTAATTATTAACAATGCACACAGTCATTATTTTTTCCCAAGACTGACAGAAGGAGTGTCACAAAGGACGAAACCTATCCATGTGCGGACATGCCTGCTCAGAAAATACGGACGAGTAATTTGTAAGACATGGTGAACTACAAAGGTTGATTTCCCCCTCGCCCCATTAGATGGATGTTTCCTGAAATGAAGAGGAGGTGAGTGATGTAAAACACAAGCTGACGTTATTAAATGTGCATTAACACAAATGTTGACAAAACAGCGGTGCAAAAATATAAATTAAGAAAGCGTTAGCAGCAAACACAAAATGAAAACATGAACATAAACGGATGCAAATCAGTTCTCAAATACAGCAACGGGGATCTACTTTTTTCAGTCTGCTCAGAACAGGGAGCGAAACAGATTGGACTGGGAGGAAAAACAACGTGTTGTCGGTGATTCCGGATTAAAAGAAGGATAAATATGGAATGCAATCGAACGGGTCTGGAAATCAACACCTTGCCTGAACTCTTCGCCACTAACTTTGGAAAATCTGCCTGCGGATACAGAAAATCTGCCTCCGGATATGGAAAATCTGCCTCCAGATACAGAAAATTTGCCTCCAGATACGGAAAATCTGCCTCCGTATATGGAAAATCTGCCTCCGGATACGGAAAATCTGCCTCCGGATATGGAAAATCTGCCTCCGGATACGGAAAATCTGCCTCCGTATATGGAAAATTTGCCTCCGGATACAGAAAATCTGCCTCCTGATACGGAAAATCTGCCTCCGTATATGGAAAATCTGCCTCCGGATACAGAAAATCTACCTCCGGATACGGAAAATCTGCCTCCGTATATGGAAAATCTGCCTCCGGATACGGAAAATCTGCCTCCTGATATGGAAAATCTGCCTCCGGATACGGAAAATCTGCCTCCAGATACGGAAAATCTGCCTCCGGATACGGAAAATCTTACAACTTCAGGGAAGTGCTTCCAAACACTTTGAGATCCTGGGCACAATCCAGTTTAAGTGCTGTTATGCTTAAAAGTATATGCCAGACAGCCTGGAAAACTCACAGCAACACAGACAAGAGTTCTTTCTCCCTCCCTGAACATTCAACAGGTATATAAAACCCACTTGTCTAGTTTTCCACAGACCTCACAACCTCTAAGGATGCCAGACATAGATGTGGGCGAAACGTCAGGAGAGAATGCTTCTGGAACATGGCCAAACAGCCCAGAAAACTCACAGCAACCCAATGAGTCCAGCCTTGAAAGCCTTCGACAACACATTTTCTATAGAGTCCACTGTAAACACTGAATGTGTAAATACCTAAAATTGCCACTAGGCCTTTCTCCCACTGAGGCAAACTAACACTGAGGCCCTCCTCCCTCAGAGACCTCTCACAGATGAGGGCTACTAAGCTACAGGCAGCTTAGCATTGAATCCTTTGTTAGGAGCTAATAACTCCAGGGTCGGCTAACACCTCCCAACAAACGATTCCCTGAGGCAGGAAGCAGCCAAGCTTTGAAGCTATGAGGCCATTCAGTGCTAATCAAGGCAGCCAATGGCAACATTCACACCTGCCTCCGACAGACAAGAGTTTTGTCCCCCACCTGGACATTCCACAGATATATAAACCTCACTTGCCTAGTTTCCAACAGACCTCACAACCTCTAAGGATGTCGGACACAGATATGGGCGAAATGTAAACACTGCATGTGTAAACACCTAAAACAGCCACTAGGTGGCATTCAGGAAATCTGAATGCAATTTTCTGAACCAGCTGATGTGATCTATCCAATGCAGTTTTCTGAATCAGCTGGTGTGGTCTCTCCAATTTTTTGAATCAGCTGATGTAGTTATCCAATGCAATTTTCTGAATTAGCTGATATGGTCTAGCCAATGCAATTTTCTGAATCAGCTGATGTGGTCTATCCAATGCAATTTTCTGAATCAGCTGATGTGGTCTAGCCCATGCAATTTTCTGAATCAGCTGATGTGGTCTATCCAATGCAATTTTTTGAATCAGCTGATGTGGTCTATCCAATGCAATTTTCTGAATCAGCTGATGTGGTCTATCTAATGCAATTTTTTGAATCAGCACCCCAAATAACCCATCTGAATCTAACCTTGATCAAAAACCGATCCGTATCCCTTTTGATACTAATGTTGGAGAGTGGTCCCGGGTCAAAAAAACTCCTGCCAAATGTTTTGGGAGCCCAACATTGCGCCAAGGGGACCCCATTTGGGGTCAGGACCCTCAGTTTGCGAAGCAGGGGTCGAGATGGCCACTTTTTGCCTTTCCCTGGGTCTAAGATAACACTGAATTCCAAAGCAGAAAAAGGACTTATTTCGCCTATGAGCTAAGCGTCATGGAAGGAGTAAGGATCTGGGTATTCCTCAGGCAAGACAACAGCAGACTGAAAAAGGGAGGGGGAAGCTATATTAGCAGAAAGATCGGTGAGGTGAACGTCCACAAAAATAAATAAACCAAAGACAGAAATAAAACTTTAATGTCGGAACGCAATGAAAAACAGAACTCAGGAAAATGATCATGGCGGCTTCTTTTGTGTCCTTGAGATAAACGCAACATCAGGGCCCGGGCTTTCCAAAGGGGAAGAGGTGCTGCCCAATTCCCATTCTCCGCCTCCCCTCCTGGTTCTCTTCTTCCTCACTTAGAGTCCTATGTAGTTATAGCAGAACCATTTTGCTAGGGAATGCCCAAGTTTGCAGACTTCCAGAATTTTAAATACCTCCCCAAATTACACATCCCAGGAGTCACAAAATATAGCCATGGCAGACTCAGTGCTATAATTCTGTAGGGTGAAAGGGCCCCTGGTTGGCCATCTCCACTTCACTGCCTTCGCCCAAAATTTGGGACTTTTTGTGACTTTCCTTTTTTGGGAAGTGCCATTCCAATTTATGACTTTCGCAATGTTGTGAAAGCAACTCTCAGTTAACCGTTGGCGTTGACATTTTGGAACTCAATCATAGTTTCAACCAGACATGGACAAACATTCTAACTTTGGGGCTGCATGCTAGCACTTCCTGCTGAGAGGACTGGCTTCCTGGTGATGGAAGGAAGGAATGGAAGGAATAGAGAGAAGGAAGGAAGGAAGGAAGAGTGGGTGGAAGAGAAGGATTGAAGGAAGAAGGAAAGAGAAAAGGAACAAGGAAAAAAGGCAAGGAAGGATGAAAGGGTGGAAGGGAAGGATGAAAGGAAGGGGAGGAAAGAGAGAAGGAAGGAAAGACAAAAGGGAAAGAAGGATGAAAGGGTGGAAGGGAACGATGGAAGGAAGGAGGAAGGAAAGAGAGAAGGAAGAAAGGACAGAAGGAAAGGATGGAAGGAGAAGAGGGATGGAAGGGACAAATGGCTGGACGGGAAGGATGGAAGGGAGGGAGGAAGGGAAGGAGGGAGGAAGGGAAAGAGAAAGGCAAAAGAAAAGGAAGGAAGGACGAAAGGATGGAAGGGAAGGAATGGAAGGAGAAAGAGGAAGGAGAAGGGAGAAAGGAAGAAAGGAAAGAAAGGAAGAAAAGAAGAAAAGGAAGGAAGGACAAAAGAGTGGAAGAAAGAAAAAGGAAAGAGAGAGAGGAGGAAGGAAGGAAGGAAGAGAAGGAAGGAAGGAAGGAAGGAAGGAAGGAAGGAAGGAAGGAAGGAAGAGTAGAAGGAAGTAGAGGAAGGGACAAAGAGTGAGGTAAGAGAGGGAGGGATGAAGGGAAGGAGAGAGAAAGGAAAGACATGAGGGAAGGAAGGAAGTAGAAAGAGGGACGAAAGAGTGGAAGGGAAGGAAGGATGGAAGGAGAAAGAGGGAGAGAGGGAAAAAGGGAGAGGAGGGAAAAGAGAGAGAAGGAAGTAAAGACAAAAGGGAGGAAGGAGGGAGGAGAGAGAGAAAGAAAAAGGGAAGGAAGGAAGAGAAAGGGGAGGTAAGGAAGGGAGGAGGGAAGAAGGAAGGAAAGACAAAAGGGAAGGAAGGATAAAAGGGTGGAAGGGAAGGAGGAAGGAAAGAGAGACAGAAGGAAGACCGAAAGGGTGGAAGGGCATGGAGGGTGGGAGGGAGGGAAAGAGAGAAGGAAGGAAAGACAAAAGGGAAATAAGGAAGGAAGGAAGGAGAAAGAGGGAAGGAGGGAGGAAAGAGGAAAGGGGGGAAGGATGAAAGGGTGGAAAGAAGGACAAAGAGCGAGATAAGGGAGGGAGGGAAGGAAGAAAGAAAGGAAAGATGGATAGCATGGTGAGAGAAAGGAGGGCCAGCGAAAAGAGCCTAAGGGGCCACATCCGGCCCATGGGCCTGGGTTTGCCCATACCTGGTTTAGACTGAAAAATAAGTGTAGCAAAAATGCTTTGCCGTACTGACTGTGTAGAATCAGTAAAATATCTTCTTCTGAACCTATGAGACCCATCCATTCTGCCAACAGGAGCAACGTGGAGGAATTGAGTTCATTTAAATTTATATATGTCCTTCGGGAAGCATTAATTTATACTGCTCCTAAGGCAGATTTACTGCAAGCCTCTCTACCCAAGGCAAGTACATTTTATACCGGAATGGCACAAATAAATTACTAAAATTTAGTTGATGCTGGAATTGGAACAACTTGAATAATTTATGTCATTTCTGCTGGAAACAAGAAGGAAGCACAAGAAGTACCAGTACGGTAATAATGAACTGCCATAAATTATGTGGGCACTTCTGACGTCTTTCACAAAGTATTTCCCATACCCAAGAGCCACGTGGACTAGAAACATGGCTTTTTAGAAGTAATAAAGGCTTAAAATATTAAATTTCATCTTTCTATGCTCTTGCGCATACAGTGTTCCCTCATTTATTGCGAGTGTTACATTCCAGGACCACCCACGAAAAGGGAAAATCCGCGAAGTAGGGACTCTTTATGTATATAATATATTATAGTATTCATATATTACTGATGTGCTGTACTAATAATATATTACTGATGTGCTGTACTAATATAATATTATCAATATTATATGTGTATATAATATATTACAGTATTAATATATTACTGATGTGCTGTGCTAATATAATATTATCAATATTATACGTGTACATAATATATTATAGTATTAATATATTACTGATGTGCTGTGCTAATAATATATTATATACACATAATATTGATAATAATATTATAATGTAATACAATATAATGCTAATAATAATACAATATAAGCATTATATTTTATATTACACATAATATTACTAATAATATTACAGTATAGTGGTATAGTACAATATAGTAATATATAATACTAATATTGTGCTGTGCTAATAATATAATATATTGTATACACATATAATATTGATAATAATATTATAATGTAATACAATATAATAATAATACAATTACAATATAAGAATTATATTTTATATTACATGTAATATTACTAATAATATTACAGTATAGTGGCATAATACAATATAGTATTACATAATATAAATATTGTGATGTGCTAATAATATATTGTACACACATATAATATGAATAATAATATTATAATGTAATACAATATAACACTAATAATAAAATAATTATATTTTATATTACATGTAATATTACTAATATTATTACAGTATAGTGACACAGTACCATATAGTAATACATAATACTAATATTGTGCTGTGCTAATAATATAATATATTGTATACACATATAATATTGATAATATAATGTAATACAACATAATACTAATAATAATACAATATAAATATATTATACATGTAATATTACTATTAATATTACAGTATACTGGTGTAGTACAATATGGGAATGTATGTTACTAATGTTGTGCTATGCTAATAATATAATATATTGTATTTATATATAACTTGTAAGCCGCCCTGAGTCCCCTTCGGGGTGAGAAAGGCGGCTTTCCCATCGTGGTCAACTGTGAATCGCACATCTGATAAATTCTGTGCCTGAGCAGACAGCTTCGGAACCTCCTAGATAGATTTGATAAACTTTGGCGGTTGGCCCCGCTCTGAGTCCCCTTCGGGGTGAGAAAGGCTGCATATAATGTCGTAAATAAAGAAATAAATATTGCATTTCATGAACAGGGAGGCAAAAACCCGCGAAAAAGCGAGTCCGCTAAAAGCGAACCGCGAAGTAGTGAGGAAACACTGTAATTGAAGAAGCACAGAACATAGAGAAATGCCTTACAATGAGGCAGATATGTGTGTCCAGAAGTCACCCACTGGCGAGGGAAATCTTTGGCCCTCCAGCAAATTCAGACTGCAATACCTACAATCCCTAACCACTGGATATGCTGGGAGTCGTAGGCCAAAATATCTCAGAGCTAGCCAGCCCGCCGGCCCTTGCTTAGAGTTAACCTCACCAACCTTCCCACTAAAATGAACCAAGGGGACCGGTCGTAAAACGGGTCGTGCCCATCGTTGAAGAGGTCCGACCCCTCCTCGGTGCCGGCGTCGGAGCCCGTGTCGTCCACAAAGGCCTCGTCGTCAAAGTCCTCCATCTCGTCCTGCTGCTCGTCGGCCAGTTCGGTGATGTCGGAGTCGGCCGTGGAGAAGGTGGGGGAGGGCGTGCGGTCCGCCAGGCGCTCATTCACGCAGCCGTGGAAAATGGGGGAGCTGGGTATATACATCGGTGAACGGAACAGGTTTGGTTAAGGCGGCAAGGGAGGAGAGAGACAGAAAGAAAGGACAGGCTTCGCGGGACAAACTAAGCCCAAGCAAAAGGAATTGGGAGGCACTGGGAAGAGAAACACTTCAGAGAGAAGCAGGGAAGCATACTACACGACACACGGGGCTTTCCTATGCTGACGTGCATTGTTCTTTGTAGATCAGTGGTTCCCAACCTGTGGTCTGTGGACCACCAGTAGTCCGCAAGAACGAAAATATGGTCCTCGGCCTCACCATTACTACAGCGTTGCCTCCAAACCACACGACACTGAGGGCAACTGGTCTCACAATACCCTCTCATGGTGTTGAGGCAACAGGGATGTCCGAAGGGGAGAGGCTGAATACCCACAAAAGATTACTACGACCACATCAGCTCTAGATTATGAAATATGGTTTTCTGTAAGTGAGTAGATGATGACTATTGGATAGCATATGTTCTGTATCCGAAACTAGAGCTGATGTGATTTTCTGAATCAGCTGATGCAGTCTATCCAATGCAATGTTTTGAATCAGGTGATGCGGTCTATCCAATGCAAATTTCTGAATCAGCTGATGTGGTCTATCCAATACAATTTTCTGCATCAGCTGATGTGGTCTGTCCAATGCAATTTTCTGAATCAGCTGATGTGGTCTATCTAATGCAATTTTCTGAATCGGCTGATGTAGTCTATCCAATACAATTTTCTGCATCAGCTGATGTGGTCTGTCCAATGCAATTTTTTGATTCAGCACCCCAAATAACCAATCCGAATCTAAAGTTGACCAAAAACCAATTCGTAACTCTTTTGGTACTAATGTTGGAGAGTGGTCCCTGGTCAAAACAAGGTTGGGAACTATTGGATGGCATGTGCTCCGCATCAGAAACTAGAGCGGATGTGGTCTCTCCACTGCAGTTTTCTGAACCAGCACCCCAAATAACCAAACCAAATCTAGAATTAACCAAAAATTGATTCATAACCTTCTTGGTACTAAGGTTGGAGTGTGCTCCCTGGTCAAAGTGGTCCCTGCTCAAAAAAAGGTTGGGAACCACTATTGTAGATCATTGTAATAGGCTCATTACAACACCTTCCAGTGTTTAGTTTCTACCTGAAGGTATACACAACAACAACAACAACAACAACAACAACAACAATAATCTTTATTTATACCCCGCAACCATCTCCCAAACGGGGATCCACCTGGGCTTCTAAGAGGCACCCTGTTGTTAGAGATGTTTATATAGCGGGGAAGTGCATCTCACAATTGAAGAAATACAACAGTAGCAGGACCAACAACAACAGTAATAGTAGTATCATGTTTCAAGCTCCAATCATGTTCTAAGCTAGAATGTGTATCAGAGAGAAGACTAACTATATATTCAGAAAATTATAGACAAACACAAAACTTTCTATTTTCTTTCAACTTCTGTCCAGATTTTATATCGAACTCTGCTAAGATTAGTAGATCAACTGTCAAAAAACCAAGATCAGCATTAAAACCTAATTGTAAACCCATTCCTTCTTTCTCTTAGGAAAAGCGGCACTCATGGTATCAAGGCATTTCAAGCACCGACTCGGCAAAAGAAAACAAAAAACACAGAGACAAAAAAACCCGCAAGACCATTCATGCCCCACTGCAGGAATGGTTTGCTGTGAATGGAGCAAAACATCGGGTCTTCAGATCCGCGATGAATGGAGGAGGTGGAATGGCCAAACAGGGGAGGTTCTCTTTCCCAGAATCTCCAAAAGCCGCCCTTTCACTCCAGAGGCACTCAAAACACTTTCGCTCCACAATGGCACATGTATCATAAAAATGTAAGGATGGATCTGTCATTCAGATCACCTACCAATTCTTCCATTGAGCATCACAGCTGTGCTCTTGCAACACTCCCATAAACCAGGCCATTCGTTCTCACCTACCTCCCAACCAGCTTGAACCAGTGGAAACGGTCGTAGAAGGGATCGCTGCCCGTCATGGTGCTGTCGCCCTCCTCCGGTGCGTTGGAGGCCATTTCTCCGGCTCGGTCATACATCTCCCGCATCAACTCCAATCTCTGTCTGCAAAGCAGTAAAAAAAATGGTTGCCGAAAAAAGTCAACCCTGAGTCCAAGAAACGGGGTTCACTTCTTGAGAGTGGGAAGGATCCAACATTTGCAATTGCTTAATTGTGCATCTGGAGCTGACAACTGGTGTCCCCATACATAGCTTATGCTAGAGCAGTGCTCCCAAATGTTAGAATTCAATTCTTAGAGAGTAATGTAAAGTAGGGAGGAGGACAGCCTTGAGCTCACTGAAGGGAAAGGTGATTACCGTATAAAATCAAAGATAAGCCGAGTTTTTAAGTCCTTTTTTGGAGCTGCAAAAGCCTCCCTTGGCGTACAATGTCAAGCCGGGCAATGGAGCCTGGAGGCCATTGCTTGCAATATACGATCTATTTCTCTCTTCTCTTCCCCTCCCTAAACAGTGTGTTTCCTTTTCGGCTTCTGCTCTGCTTCTCCTCTCAGGCTGGGAGGAGGGGGAGAGAAACCCTTGCAATGTATGATCTATTTCTGTCTCCTCTTCCCCTCCCTAAACAGCGTGTTTTCTTTTAGGCTTCTGCTCTGCTTCTCCTCCTCGTCTGGAAGGTTTTGAAAAGGGAAAAGGAGGGGGAGAGAAGCCTTTGCAATGTATGATCTATTTCTCTCTCCTCTTCCCCTCCTTAACAGTGCGTTTCCTTATCGGCTTCTACTCTGCTTCTCCTCCCAGGCTGGGATGTTTTGAAAAGGTAAAGGAGGGGGAGAGAAGCCCTTGCAATATATGATTTATTTCTCTCTCCTCTCCCCCTCCCTAAACAGTTTGTTTTCTTTTCGGCTTCTGCTCTGCTTCTCCTGCCAGGGTAGAAGGTTTTGAAAAGGGAAAGGAGGGGGAGAGAAGTTAATATGTTTTCCCAGTATTTTGTGGTAAAATTAGGTGCCACAGCTTATATTCGATTCGGCTTATACTCAAGTATATATGGCTTTTTTATAGTTTTTTTTCAGAACTTAGAAAAGTTACATTTCTGAATTATAACTCCCAGAGCACCCCATCCAGCAGGATGAAAATACAAAGGGTAAGAAAAGAGAAATTAATGGATTTCAAATAAAATACAATCTCGATGCTTCTTTTCCAAATGATCCCTACGTACTTGAGCTTCTCCAGAGACCAGTAATGAGTGGCTCCATTCTTCAGGTCCTGGACTTCCACAGCCACCACTGTCCGAGGGAAAGGACGGCGGTCATTTCGGGTCTTCTCTGTCTCGGGCGGCAGAAGCTCCGGAGGCAGCGGGGAATAGAGTGTGTCCGTCAGCAGGACAAACTGGAACTGTACCTGGCGGGGGAAAAAGAATAGATTTCGTCAGGATCCAAACCATTATGTCATCTATGGATGCCCAAGAAGACAAGTGGCATCCAGACGTCCAAAAAAAATCTCCTAAACTGGTGCCCTCTAGTTGAGACTGCAACTCCAAGAATCCCCAGCCAAATTTCTGTACACAGAGATGCCTCAAAAGTCATCAAGGTCCACGTCTTTGGGACTCCAATTCCCACATGCTTGTGGATTTCAATAGCTTCTCTGTGAAGTCTGACATGGTGGTTGGTAGAGTGGTCCAGCATTTGGTGTTCTCCAACAATATGCTGTGTCCAGGTTGGTGTCAGAAATATTAAAAATTAACTAGGTATTTTTAATTACAAAAATGTAAGTCAAGCACTGAAAGGGTTAAATGGATGCAAGGACTCAGCAAAAGCTGCAGTTCAATATAAGCAGGTGTGCCTGTAGCTTAGCAGCCCTCAGTCTGAGAGAGCCCTCAGTGTGAGAGGGCCTCAGTGGGAGAAAGGTTTCAGTGTGAGGCCTCAGTATGAGCAGGCTTGGTGTGTGAGAAGCTTTGGTGAGAGAAGCCCCAGGTCGAAGGCCATCATGTGTAAAGCCTGCTATGTAACTCAACTACGGAAACACAAATCTCCCAATGCAAGAACTATGCATTGGCCTATGCTTCCAAAGGCTCAGGATCCAATGGAAATGTGCATCTCCAAAGTGCCTAGAAGTGATGTTTCACACACTGGTTTAAAAACTGGCTTAGTCTGGGAGAGGTCTCTGTGGGAGGAGGGCCTCAGTGTAATAAGCCTCAGCGTTAGTTCATCTCAGTATGAGAGAGGGGTCAGTCTGAGAGAGCCCTCAGTGTTCATGTGCTCATGTTTATCTGCATGAGAAGGAAGCCCAGCAGGAAACAAAGAAGGAAGTACTTGCTTTATGGACACTTTGTCCATGTAAATAGTACAACCATATTATTTTGCTATAAAGAAAAGTCTCCTATGGAAGACATAACATTGGTCTGTGTATTTTTGTTATTTTTATCATTTTTTGTTATTGGTGCTGTTAATAAGTGACTCTGCTATATGTTTATGAGGAGGGTCTTTTGTTAATAAGCCCATTCGCCCAACAGTTGGTTCATCAGGTGCTCTGCTATGACTGACCTCTCAGGTTGAATTAGTTTGCAGTGAAGTCTATCCTATACCACGCAGCTGTGGACCACCAAATGCAGCATTGCCGAAACACGAATCAAGGTACATGAAAGGTATTGCAGACTAATTCAATCAGAGAAGTCAGTATGTGATGAACCAACCTGGGCTCAACAACCCACTCTATCATGGTAGCCCAGATGAAAGTGTCCGTGCTGTGCAAATGCTCCCTACCTTCTTTTTCAGCTCTACGCTGATGGCGTTGCCTTCCTTTAGGTAGACCGCATTGCCCCACAGTTGATCCCGCAAGGAGGTGAATTGGTGAAACTTCCATTTCCGGAAAGCCCACTGGGCAAGTTCGTACTCATGCTGAGTCCAGGGTACTATGGGAAGAACAGATTATTGTTCCCCTAAGGACTGTGATATATTTTTTTTTATTTTTGCCTTACGCCTGTGCATCCTTCCTCCGCAATGCAGTGAAGTATCTTCCCAAAGTGCTTCTCTCCTCTTCCCCTCCCCTTTCCTTATCGGCTTCTACTCTGCTTCTCCTCCCAGGCTGGGATGTTTTGAAAAGGTAAAGGAGGGGGAGAAAAGCCCTTGCAATGTATGATCTATTTCGGTCTCCTCTTCCCCTCCCTAAACAGTGTGTTTCCTTTTTCTGGCACTCACCCTCTTCCTCTTCCTCCTCCTCCTCTTCCTCTGTGGTCTCGGCGGCCAAAGACCGAGTCTCCACCTGCTTCTGCAAGGCCTGGAGTTTACTCTCATAATCCTGAAGGAGACAGAGGAAAGACCGTGTAGAAAAGACAGACAGAGGACAGAGAGAGGGGGAAAGTCAACAGCCAGAGGAACATAGAAAATACACCAGAGATGAGACTGACAAACGGAGACAGAGCAGTCACAGAAAAATCCTTTCCAAGGAATGAGATGAGGTCCCACAGCAGTGCAAGACTTCAAAACAGGGGTCCTCAAACTTTTTAAACAGAGGGCCAAGTCACAGTCCCTCAAATTGTTGGAGGGCCAGATTATAATTTGAAGAAAAAAAACCCACATGAATTCCTATGTACATTGCACATATCTAATTTGTAGTGCAAAAAAAAACTTAAAAACAATACAATAATTAAAATGAAGAACAATTTTAACAAATATAAACTTTTTGGTATTTCAATGGGAAGTGTGGGCCTGCTTTTGGCTGATGAGATAGGATTGTTGTTGTTGTTGTTGTGTGCTTTCAAGTCATTTCAGACTTAGGTTGACCCTGAGTGAGGGCCGGGTAAATGACCATGGAGGGCCGTATTCGGCCCCCGGGCCATAGTTTGAGGACCCCTGCTTCTAACAGAGACTCTCTTACACTACAACTCCCAACTCTTACTGTTTCCTATCTAGTCTTGTGCATTTATATCAAATCGTGATCCGTTTCTGTTTGTTTCATTTGTAAGGCCCCGTTTTTGTTTTCGAGCGCATCTCTCAAAAACAGGCACCTTTCCAAATGAGCTTTTTTGTTCTCAATCCGAAAGAACACAATTTTTTGGACCACTGGCCAACATCGGTGGCCTTTCCAAGTTCCTCTTCCCCTCAGTTTTAGGGCTAGAGGGGTAAAAATGGCCACACATGGAGGGCACATCTACCACTCTTAGCCCACCAAGATTTATAACCTTTAGGTCATCTCCCGATTTTAAAGAATTTTTTCCCCTTCCATCTGCAGAAGAGAATTGAGGTTAGAGAGAGGGCTTAAGATGACACTAATTCTGAGTTGTTTCCCCCTCCATCAGCAGAAGAGATGTCACCTTGAGCCCTTGGAAGAAATTGTAATATGTAAAAGTAATATATTAATATGTTGAGGGCAAAGGAGATCTACCTAACTTGAAAGGTCTTCAAGGAACAGGTATTCCTGAAAGACGTTTCTATGAAAAACAACCTTGAGAGCTGTTTCTGGGATAGAACACCCATTGCCTTCTTTGGTTGTGTTGGTCGGGAATGGCAAACCATCTAGTCCCTGTCAGAAATATTAAAAATTAACTAGGTATTTTTAATTACAAAAATGTGAGTCAGGCACTGAAAGGGTTAATGGATGCAATAACTCCACAAAAGATGTAGTTCAACATAAGAAGGTGTGCCTGTTGCTTAGTAACCCCTCAGTCTGAGAGAGCTCTCAATGTGAGAGGGCCTCAGTGTGAGGTAGGCCTCAGTGTGAGGTAAGCCTCAGTATGAGTAGGCCTGGTGTGTGAGACAATTTGGTGAGAGAAGCCCCAGGTCGAAGGCCATCTCTCTGTGTGAGAGATTGCTTCAGTAGGAGAATACGCCTCATTGTTAAGAGGCCTGATTGTGAGATAGGCCTCAGTATGAGAAAGCCTTGTGTATGAAGCTCCAGTGTGAAAGATGAAATTTATTTGTGTCATGGAAACCTTGTTCTTGCAAATAGTGCAAACCACATTATTTTGTTATAAAAAAGCCTTCTAGAGAAGATATATTAGTCTGTGTACAGTGTTCCCTCACTTATCGCGAGTGTTACGTTCCAGGACCACCCGCAAAAAGTGAAAATCCGCGAAGTAGGGGTGCTAGATATATATAAAGATTAAGAGTTTTTGGACCCCAATGTTTGGATTGAGTTGGGTGATGATTTTAACTTGGCAAACAGTCTTTTATATGTATTTTATTTATTATTTATTTATTTATTACTTATTTATTTATTATGTATGTTGTTTTTAAAATGTTATTTATTGAATTTTTGCTGTTGTTAGCCATTCTGAGTCCCTCCACGGAGGTAGAGAAGGACGGGATATAAAAGTTCTATATATATAGAATTCCGAGGGTGAGATTTAAAAGCACCGCACACTTTTTTTTGCTAGCTATAAGGAAGGAGCTATAAGGCCGTGATTTACATACTGCTTTGTATCTCCTCTCTCTCTTTTTTTTTTCACCCTCTCCCGAGGGGGAGGGTGAAACCCCCATCCACACTCCATTGTTGCCAGGAGGCAAAAACCTACGAAACAGCGAGTCTGCAAAAAGCAAACAGCATAGTAGTGAGGGAACACTGTATTTTTGTTCTTTTCATCACTTTGGGCTACTGGTGCTGGGTCATCTTGCTGCTAATAAGTTACTCTGCTGTACATTTATGAGGAGGGTCTTTTGCTAATAAGCCCACTCGACCAACAATCCCAACACAACATAAATCTTCAGTCAGCTCCAGAAGGCCTTTAAATTCTTCTGTGGTTCTCTTCCTGAGTCCTAGAGCCAGTTGGGAGCTATCTGCATTAAATCACTACTGACCAAGAGGAACCCCCGCAATAAGTAAAAATTCGCAAAATAGGGGTATTCAAGAGTCGTCGTTCACCTATGTCATGTATCATGTTCTGCAGTTGATGGTGGTTGGTGGTGGTAGGCCTAGCAGTTGGTGATGGAAGGGTTAATGTAAGTCTTGGTTCTAAAGGGTTGAGTAATCTGTAAGTAAGAGTTCACGGGTGAAAGCAATTAAGGGTGGAGGTATGCAAGAGATGGGTTGGCGCTGGGTGTTTCTGGATATAAGGAGCTAGCCTTGGGACTGATCTTTGGAAGAAGAGTATTTGTCTTATCTTGGTGGTAGATACTGCTGGTTTTTCCCCAGGTTTGTGGATTTTAACCTGTCTCCTATAGCCTTGAATCTTGGACTGGTTTTTTACTACGGTATAGACCCTTGATCCCTGGACTTTGATTATTGAACTCTCTGTGTTTGACCATTGGACTGGACCTTTTGACTACGGAGTTATCTTGAACCTACAAAAGTGTTTGCTGTTTTTTGTTTTGTATTCTGTAACTAAGTGCAATCTTTATGTTTTATATTTTGGACTATTAAAAGAGCCAGAAAGTAAGTGCTGATTTAATTAAATTGTTTCATTCAAACTGGGTTGTTGTTTGGTTCATCTCTGCCTCTGTAAAGGCAGAGCCCTGGCAACATGACAACCTACAACCAGAGAGCACTATGGACTCAAACAATTATGGATGTGCACCAAATTTTGCATGAATACAGGGAAGGAGGGAGCCCAAGGCAAGCTGAGGAGGAAGTCTGAGGAGACATAAGCCCCCCCCACCCAGCCAAAAATTGGTCCAAAGAAAACCTGCTTCAAACCAGTGCTTCCACCACCAAGTTCGCCACTGAGAGAAGGCACACTACCTAGCGTGGCCTTCCACAGCTCAGCCAATCGAAGGATCCACCTCCCACTGGCTGGGCTGGTCACTCCACTGGCAGGAAGTTCTCCTGCTGCCAAGGGGGCTGCTGGGAAGAAGAAGCCCCTGACACAATGGCGGAAGAAGGAAGACAAGGGGGGAAGGCGAGAAGGAGGAAAATGGCTGTGAGAGCACAGGAAAACCCGCGAAACAGCGAGTCCGCGGTAAATGAACCACAAAGCAGTGAGGGAACACTGTATATCTCTATTCAGTGACTTCATGCCATTTGGTTCCATGGGGAAAGCCCTGGCCCCTTGGGCAAACAAAGTCCTGCTCCCTGCAGAAGAGCAGACGAGAGACTTACAAGAGTATTCCATCCTTTATTGAAAGCGCTTGTTAAAATGCACAGGCGGTTCTGCTTCCCACAAAAGGCAGACTTGCTCAAAAACAAACAAATACGGTCAACGCCACTATTTTTTTTTAAAAAAAGAATAATAAAATGAACAAGTTCCAAAAACTCATCGTTTCACTAGAAGAGTCAATTCCTCTGTAATAAAACAGTAATTTCTGAACAGATTTTGCACACGGAAGTGCATGAAATAAGGCAACCTTTCATCAAACCACTTGTCTTCATTGATACACAGGTTCACAAAGAAATGGGACAGAAGTGGGCACAGCACAGGAGTGAATGGAAAAAAAGATCTGCTTGAATCGCCATCCAAACACCCATAACATCATTTGCTCTAAACCTGAGCCCAGGAAGAGAATGCCGAAGAGGAAGGCAAAAAGGAGACATGTTTTCAAGTATGCCACTGATTCAAATCAACATATACACACATAATAAAAGTGAAAATACATGTGTGTGTGGCTGAGGTGTCCACTTACACAGATGAGCTTCCGCCTCCACAAACAGTTATAGCTCCCACTACTCAGGAGATACCAATGGCCCTTTCTCCAATGACACTGCAGGTTATAGTAAGCGCCAAGAACATGTCCAAGAGCTCTGCCAATGTCCTCCACCAACACCACACTGCCCACCACCCAAGTGAAGGCTTTCATACGGGGACAATTTCACCCTAGATTTTCAGTTTTTCCTCCACCACAGACATCCCAGTGTTTCTGACCTCCCACAGGATGGTAACACATCCAGGCATTCCCTGGGCAACGTCCTTGAGGACGGCCAATTCTCTCACACCAGATGGACTGTTTTCCGTAAGGTTGGTGATTTGAATCTGGGGAATGGGGCGAGCTTCCTTCTGTCAGCTCCAGCTTCTCATGCAGGGACATGAGAGAAGCCTCCCACAGGATGGTAACACATCCGGCCATCCCCTAGGCAACATCCTTGAGGACGGCCAATTCTTTCACACAAGAAGCACTGCTGACTGAAAGGTTGGCAGTTCGAATACGAGGAGCAGGGTGAGCTCCTGTCTGTCAGCCCCAGCTTCTCATGCAGGGGCATGAGAGAAGCCTCCCACGGGATGGTAACACATCCAGGCATCCCCTGGGCAACGTCCTTGAGAACAGCCAATTCTCTCACACCAGAAAGAAGCAACTTGCAGTTCTTCAACTCGCTCCTGGCAAAAAAACCCCAACTAAATTGTGATTAAAAACTAACTAAAATGAAACTTT